ATAGCTGTTAGAAAAAACTCTTCCTTAAACAATTTAAACAGAATTTAGCAATATGAATATTGGTTATTTAAGGCAAAATTTTTATAATGGTTGAATCTTCATTTTCATATTTTATGATTATTTATAATCCATAATAATATCTCTTTATTAATATTTATTAATAAACTAGTTTATTCATTGATTTCACTGCAATAATACTGGAAATTATTCATGAAAATGATTTTGTGCCTTGGTAGTTCACAATAAAAAACTCTACCTTCTTCGAATATTTTCGTTGTTTTCACAAAGTATCGCATCGAATTAATGCTAACAGATCACTTTATACTAATTTTATTGTAGATTCTTCAGCTATTTTTTCCTAAATCGAATCACTTAGAGATTCGAAGTTTTTCAACCATAAATGTTTTATTCAATAATTCCTCAAATATTTTTTTATTTTTTGTCATTTAAACCATTTATTTTGCTATGATGTGATACCATTGGATTTGTTTTCAGTCGTTAACCATAATTAATTTCCTTAAATTTGCCACTCGTAGATTCCCGTGGTGTGATTTTTCTCCTTATTCTGAAGGCCTTTCCATTTCTAGTTTAGATGGCTTCATTGGCTATTAGAATAAACACTCCTTTCCAAGGAATCAGCTAAAGGATAAAGTTGGTCCCCAAATTTCACTGATTGCCATCCTTAAAAAACTGGCTTTATGGTGAACTCCTCCATCTTTAATTCGTTTGGAATCCAATAGTTAAAAACTATACGTTGAATTTTCGTTCATAAAATAATATTGAATATTGTTGCACTGCGAAAAGAAATTGTCACTTTAATAAAATAAAAAAAAATCGAATATTAATTAATTCTCTGAGTGGGTGGAACAGATTCTTCATTGAGTAATTCATGAAGGAGAAATTGAACTGTTTATTCGTTTTCGACGATTAGATTATAATTTTTCAGAATGCCACTCGGAGGATTTAATAACATTCATGAACATTGGTTAGTCGCTAAAGAAGCACCTTTTAGAATCATTCGTGCCATAGTTTGCCACGAATTTTTAGGACGACAAATTGGCGAGGTTTCACATTAAACTATTCATTTATAAATTATAAAAACGATAAAAAGGCTTAAGCTAATTCACTCAATTTTTTTAGCTCAATTTTAGATTGAATAGTTAATGCTTAATTCATGATATTTGCAAGAAACCACATATTTTAAAATGAGTTTGGCTCAAAAATAAGTTACTGAAATAAATCCAATAGACTGAATCTGATCAAGCCTTGCAGATCATCGATGACAACGAGAAATTCTCGGTTTCGATTGATATCAAGAATTTTTTAGAAAATGAAATCGAGGTAAATCTTTGAACATCTCGACGAAACTTCAAAACCGAAATCTTAATACAATGAAACCAATGAAATAAAATCCGATTTCTTGAATCCTAGCCAGAAGCTTAATTAAATAAAGATTATTGCCTATAATTTCTGGTTTGTCCCACTCCTCCATTTGCGCTATTAAAAATTTTTGGCGAGAGTTCATTCGGTGACAAAACTCTAATCACCAATATCACCTGAATTTTTAATGACAGGTTTATTCTTATCAGCTGGTAGAAACCAAACTTTCTTCTCAGCATCTAAGCTTATCTACCATATACTCGTTTTTCCTGTTCTTAGTGAACTAAGTGCTTTATATAAGTAGCTTTATCCAAATATTTTTCATAATTGACAGCCGTTAAATTTATTGAAAATTATTAGGTGAAACTTAATGAAAACGAGCTAATGATCGAAGGAAGACACGAAAGCCAGGATTTTTTTGGCAAAACAAAAGTAAAATTTGCTTTATTTAAATATTGATTCAATAAGATGATGAATGATTTTATCAATCTCGATTTCTGCTTCAGAATCACTCTGTTCGAAAGTATAAAATGCCAGAGAATGTCAATAAAGGACTCCTTCAAACGTATTTTGATGGTAAAGATGTTTTCACCATTATTTTACCAAAAATAGTTCATAAAGAACAATAAATTTTCAATAATATAATTAAAGAAAACACTTTTGTACGACACTGTACGAAGGCAATCATACGATTTCCCCTATAAAAACAATAACAATTTTCTCTTCTTGGTTTGATGAATTATAAAATTGATAAAAATTATATGATACATAAAACTTTCGAAGCATAATATTAAAGAATCTCCTCGAATCCTAAAATAACCGCAAATCACGTTGCGAAACTTTTCTGTTCTATCATATTGCTCTCAAAAAACAACGAAATGATTTACATCAAATTTATAAACCTATAACTTACCTGAATTCTTACCTGAATTTCATTTTTATGGCAGTTTTACTTCCATTAAGACGAGGAAATCGCGTTCGTGCTTATTTAATCTTAGGCGAAATACTTGTTGACAATATTGTGGGAAACTTATTAGAACAAGCGAAATATTCAAATTCGATTAAATCGATTCATTTCATCTTTATATATCACCCATATCGATATTTTATCATTCATATGGTTTCATCCAGAAAATAGAAAATCGTCAAAAAATAGCTTTTAAATTCTGAAAATTTTCTGGTATTTAAATAAATATTGATAATCTTATTATTTATTTAGTTATTTACAGAAGCGAGGTATTATGCGATGTCTTTTGCAACATTGCAATAAGCTGAATAATGATAATAACCAAAGATAAGGAGAAATTAAACGTATAAAAGGAAAATTAAAAAGAAAAAGCAAGTCGTAATAATGCTTTAAAAAGTCCATGAAATGAAATTATTTCTGCATTTGCCCCACCATATCGTCCGATTGAATATCTTTTAAGAGATTTAATACTAAATAACAAATGAATTCAAAAAAAATCTTAAAACTGGGAGATTTAATAGTATTTTGCATTTGACTCCGTACTTTGAATGAAAATCTCTACTTTTGCTTCGATGTTTGTTCAAATTTTGTTATTCTCATTTAGTTGATTACCTATTTTCTCCACACAAAATTCACAAGCTGACGGCAGGATAGCTGAGTGACTCAGATTATTGTAGTCAAAGATAGGAGGTTTGAATGGCTTGTGTCCACAGGAGTAAATCTACTATTAAGATAAATGAATAAATAAATAAAAATTACACATGCCAATATTTTATTTTTTATCAGAAATGTCGATATCTTAAAAATTCTTGTTAAACAGTGAAGTCTAATAATGGCTTGAAGGTCATTGATTTGTGCTTAAACAAGAATACACCAAATTATAGCCGATTTAATTATATCGAGCAATTATAATGGTCATGACCATCATCCGTCCAATCATGTTCGAGGTCATTCGGCCATTTCCTTTTTATTATTTTAAAATCATCTGAATGTAACCAGATAGCAACCAGATAGTCGTTGCGCTTTTTTAATTTGATTTTTAAAATTTATTCCAATAATAATATTCATTTATTCATTGATAATAAAAAAATATAAAAAAATATCATACAAATTAAAAGGGACTTTAATTAATTACATGCTAAACGAATAGTTTTAAATTGTTCATTTTAGTCCTCAGGAAATTTTTAACACCAATTCAATAATATTAATTTTTGCCGAAAAAATTATTTCATCAATTTTATCCATAATTTAATTGGAAATTGGAAAGAACGACCATCCAATGCAATTTTCTACTTCTTAAATTTTTTATTTATTCTTAAATTCTGCATATTTAATTAAAGGAATTTGTGGTTACTATTATTAACATCTTCAAATTTCATTATTTGATATTTCTTTATTCTAAAATATGAGGAAAGCTAGCCGAAAGGATAGTGGGTTAGATTATTATTAAGAGGCCAGGGTTCTACGGTCTCCAAGAAAAGAGTAAACTGTCTTTAGAAAAACCGAGTGGTGCTAACGATAATGACACGTGTATTTCTCTCTCGAGATGATTTTCTGATAGCCAGTTAACCAGTCGAATTAGTCTAATTGGAAGCATTGACTACCTATTACAAAATTAATATTCTATTTATAAAATTAATGTCCGCAAACATTAGATTGTTAAGAAAACTGGACGCGAACTGTCTCTTGTTGACCCAAAAGTAATTTCAGATCAACCTACAAATTGCGTGGTTCAGGTGATATATTCCACCTTTTCCGCTTAAATCAAAATTCTTCCAGCAATTAAAGCAGCAGTTATAAAAAAGCTGGATTTTCGGCTTTTTTCGGAATAAATTCCCAGTTTCCCAGATTCCATTCATTTCTTCCATATTTTAAATGCTACAATAATTGGTTAGAGGCTAATGATCATTTATATATTTATCACAGTTCGTTTGATTATAACAAATGAATGTATCGCGGAAGAGCCAGTGGATGTACCAAAAATCATTTGTAAGTGATTTTCCCTCTCAAATATATTAAATGTTCATTTACACACAACAAATAAGAAAGAAAATGATAAAAATTTAATGAAGAAAAAGAGGAGATGAAAAAGAAAATCCGCGTCCATATAGGTGCAATTTGTTTGATCTTGCTATATGCCTGTGAAACACGGCAAATGAGAGTGGAAGATGTTAAGATGTTGCTATCAGCCTTTGACCACTTATATCTAAGATATATTTCACGGATTCGTCGAGCGGATAAAATCGCGTATAATTGTATTCATCTTCGCTCAACTATCACCTATATTAATAATGTTATCATTATCACAGAGCGTCACTTTCGCTGGTTAGAACACGTTCTCCGTCGTCCACTACAGGATTTGACGCATATTTCATTATTTGTTAAACCCTCTAATGGTTGGTGCCAAAAACGAGGAGGACCAGTCAAAACCTGGACTGATACGTCAGGAAAAATTTTGAACTTATAGGGAGACCAGCGATATATGGACTTAAACGATAAAAATGACTTCTATTACCAATAGCGAAGGCGTCGGATCGAGTAGCTTGAAGATGTCTTACTTCTGTAGCCAGTGGATTGTTAGAAGAAGAAGAAGATTAACATAAAGAATTATTTAAGAATCGGGTGGCACTAAATTTACTAGTAGAACAGCTAGTTCATATTGTCGTTAAACCTCATTTACCTTCAAATTATTCTTTTTTCCTGACGAACAGAGTTGAAATGAACTAAGCTTCAGCTGTAAGTGCAATGTGTTCACCTGAGGAAGGAATAACAGCATCTATAGATTTCGATCAACCGTTCAGTGGAAAGATCTATTCAATGGAATATTCGACGGTTCATGAGTGCATTTATTTCAATACGGTAGAGATGAAATCGATTTTATTCACAATACCGATTCATCGATGCGGAACGAGGTTCACCAAAAATACTAGAAATGTTTGTTTCCATTTTTTTGGACGAAAATTCATTATACGATCACCTTTGTCACCCTAACGATCAAATTTTGTAAGAAAGGTTTAAGGTTTAAAAATGTAAAAAACCAATCCAACCCCCATGGTTTGTCAATCATTTCAATCATTTTTAATTTCATATTCAAATTGTTAAATTTTCATTTTTGTTGCAGAATTATTAAATTTTGTACAATTTCACGGATTATCGTTGAGTCTAGCAAGGCTGATATTAAACAGTAGTGAATCAAATTAATCTGCGGATTCTGTTTTGGCAAATAAGTAAATAAGTGGTTAGCACTCATCATTTCTGGTTAGAATAGCTGATTGTTGTAGGGTTAGTTTGTCAGAGATCCGTGGCGATAAGCACAATTATCTGTAACTAGCACAACCTTTTTCAACAACTCTCAGTGGGCAGATATCTCACCATTGACCACTACCCATTGTCCTGCTTTGCCTTGGTTTTGCCTTGGCAAGTCAATAACTTCAACTTCTTGATTGTAAAATTTGTCTTATTCTTCTAATACCAAGAATCACTTCTGCCTTCATTAATTACTATGAAGTTCCTTCGATGGAAAGTCACTTGAGAAATGCAGATGTTCAGTCCATAATATCACCCAATATAAAACTGCTACTGAAGTATAATTGCAATTTTTTTCTTGATTTTGATTCGTTTTGCTGTTTTTGATAAATAAATTTGCTTAGATAGAATTGGTGAAGTAATTAATTAATGGAGCAATAATAGATCGGACTGACTGCGACGAAGATATAAAGAAAGTGTGGATGGTTAATCTAATTGATAGGCAATACAGAGGAATTATAATTGTGGTATGGCTGTGTTGGTTGAATCTCTGAAAATTATCAATGATTGCTGTCCATATAAAAATAGAATAAGTGGGATAAGTGGCTGATTATTAAAACATGAATTACTACTGGCTTATTAGATGAGATGGGATTTTAGCACATAAAAGATTATTTAAATTATTTAAACTTGTTTTAAATTTGCTTACGAATATTTACGAATATTCGTTCTCGCATTCTCAGATTCGCAGATCCAATGGATAGCTAATTGCATAGCGAAAATGAAGAAAACTTGCAGAATCCTAGTAGAAAAGTCCCAGTAGAAAAAGGATTCATTCTACAGCCATTTTTTAAGGTGATCGATTCAATGGAAAATCGAGTTTATATACAAATGGATAAGGATGCTCAAACAGGCTTGGATCGACAATATTCATTTATGTGTCAATTGGTACCAACTTTAGAGAGCACATCAAGTGTTCCTTGGCTGCAAAATGCCAAAGCAAATCAAATAATCTTTAGTGACAGAGTGCAGGTTTTTTAAATTTGATTCTTTTTCAGAGATATTGCATTAGTAAAGAATAAATAATTGATAATTGATCGATGACATGCGACTTCATGAAAATAAATTCTCGTTAAGTTAAATTCTCGTCATTATAATTAAGTTTATTAATTAAGTTTATTATTGTAAGGAATAATTAAGGAAAATCGAGGAAGAAGACTCGAGCATAATTGGGGAAACTGGCCAATCTATCCATTGTCAGCTGAGACGAAAAGACAAGAAATGCAGAAATGGGAAATTGAACAAAAAATTCTAGAGAAATCTTCCAGTCACGCAGATTCGCCTCAACAAACAAGTTTAAGCAATGCAGATATCTTTTCAGAGCGAACTGTATTAGATATGCAAAAATGGAAGGAAAAAGTCTTTATACCCACCGATAAGCGGCCAAGAGTGCATAAAAACCAAATTGCTAATCACGTTATCTCTTCCACAATTGGAAAATCGGCCTTCAATGAATCGATTATTCCAATTACTAGGTATATCTTTTTCTGACTTCTAGAGACTTCTTATGAATTAACGAAGTTGATCATGGTAAGGATTCTTTCAGTTCTGTGACTCTTTCAGTTCTGTGACATTGTTCCAAGTCATTTGTTTCTTTGAATCTTACCAAAAATTATGTTCTATAGAGGAAATTTTCTCGTAACAAACATCAAAAATTATTTTGCAGCGTTCATTCAATGGAAGCCATAAGAATAAATGCTAAACAGACCGAGTATAAAAAAGAATTGATCGAAGATATATATTTGGAAATCCAATACGGTGATGGTCCTTATGGTAGTACGGTAAGCAGACCTATTAAGCTCGGAGAAAACATTTCACTTGTTGTAAGGGCGATAACCCCAAATACAAGTAATTCTGCTTTTGCCATCAGTCCTGTAAAATTAATCCAAAAACCGATTTATCAAAGTTTGGAAGACAAGGATTAACTAAGGTTAAGAACCTTAAAAGTGCCAGATAACTCATCTAATGGAAAGAATAAAAAGTATAAAATTTTTTCTTTGACGATAGAAATACAGGTGAGTCGCCAGCAGCGACTCGATTAGCAAGGTCCGAAACCGGCCTCCCATCATGATAATCTTTCTACTCGGTTATCTTGCTTCCCATTAAAGATATATTTATTTATTACAGAAGACAATGAATTTAATATATTTGTTCATTCATGTTATGCATCAGATGGAAGTGAATCCACAAAACTTCAATTAATCAATGAGTTCGGGTAAGTCAATTCAAATCAATTTTTTCCAATTTTTTGGGAAAAAATTCTTTAATGAACAATTAAATAATATTATGAAAGATATACTTGTATTAAATATATTGTATAAAATTAAGATGTGTTACTAAATCGAAATTAATTGGTGAGATGAAACGAAGAAAAGATCGAAATCAAACTTTTTATTATTTTCGACTAAATGCTTTTAAATTTCCCGGCCCTAACGATGTGTATTTTTCATGTGCTATCGATATATCACCGAACGAAACTTTTACGGTTATTTTCTTTAATTTAAATGCAAACTGCACTCACTATAAAGAGAAAACACTTGAATTTAAGATTTAGCCAACGTGTATTTGATTCCTAGTGACGAGACTAAAACGAAATCCGAGGAGCTGGACGTCCCCAACATGGAGATAACATGGAGATTATCATTCTAGCCTGTGGAGCACGTAAGCCAAACTAGAAATGGTGCACAATTAGGAATATAAGAAAAGAATTCACCATCTTTATAAATCCTTCTAACCTTTGCCTTTTTCGTGATTTTATTTCTTTTTGTTTTATTTCATTTTCTTTTTTCTTGTTATTTAAAACTGAGTTGTGATTAACTCATTTTTCGTATATTTTTCTGAATAAGTACTTTCACCATGGTTGAGTTCGTTTTGATGGCTAGAAATTATGCGGCTAGGAATTTCCGCTAAGAAGGTTAGAAGTCACCTGGTGAAGTCACTTGAATATATGCTCCAAATTTAAGCGCAGATGACCGCGATAAAGACATGTTCGATGCGGAACAACTTCAAATTCTAACAACATCTCTAGCGAGAGGCAACATGGTCACGATGGGGGAGACTGGAATATACCTGTAGGTGATGATACCGTTACGATAACTCTCCCAAGACCTTTCAACTATCCCAGATTAAAAGATTGGGAGGCAGTAAGTGCACCGAACTGGAAACACTCGCGGCTCGTTACCGTCGTGTTTTTAGTGACAGATTGACTTTTGGCATTCGACGCAAATCGAAGCAACCAAACGAGCTGATCATCAGTCTCCTACTTTTGGATGTTTTTTCCTTTCCATTCTCACTTTTTCAAAGTTTCAACTAACTTTAATTATGCATTTTTAAGTTCTTTCTGTCAACATTTTTCTTATTTTTCTCTTAATTTAAAAATGAAATTCTTGGAATTTCTACTTTAAAATCGATGGAATTCAGGACTTTTGAATTAAGGAAATTTGTCCACAATCGAAGAATAATTCGTCGAGAACACGCAGATCCTTCATTAATAACGACGTTTTTCACCGAATTTGGCGTTATGGCGATATAACTGTGAAATTAAATCGTTTAACAAACGAATCGCTCTGCGGTGACTTTTTTAAAATAGCTGAATAAATAGTTAGCTATCACCATTTCTGGTTGGGTTCGTTTTTTGGGCTGTTGGTGCGATTAGGAATTTCGTCAGATTTTCCACTTGTTGATGGAAATTTAGGTGCTACTCGGTTTTTAATGATCAAGAAATCGAGTCTCTTATGCTCGATTCAGATTTCTCACCAATCTCACCTTTGTTATTTTATTCTTAAATTGATTTTTCAATTCGTTTGCTCTCAACAATAGTTTAAAAATAGCTTAATTTACGACTTTTTCAAAATAATTTCATGCAGATTCAAGCCATAATTTTTAGCTTTAAATGCCATTCACTGCATTAAAAACTCTTGCATAACAGTTGCATGCGAGATTATGAGGAATATGGCCCATGACCTATAACTCGTAACCTAAGCGGTCAAAAATATCCGACAAGCATAGCTTTTTTTGCATGCAATATGCCATCCCTCAGTGAATAATTTTCCATAATTGATTAATGATTCTTTTTTAAATTTTTAATCAGATTTTTAATCAGCCGATCTTTTTCAGATGAAAAAACAAGAATAAATCCGTCAAATTACGATAGTGCCAAATTCATTATTGCACATTTGTTCAGTGATTTCCAGCTTTTATTATTAATTATTTCGATATCAATTAATTTCTATCTGTTATTGACTCAAAAAGCGAACGAAAAGAAGATACAGCGAAAACTTGAAATGCAGGCCTCTGATAATTGCGTGCGCGGAAATGCCATCCCTAATTTATTTCAACATCCTCAACTTAAGCAAATTAAGCAGGCATGGGCCTCGCAAAAAACTCTTCCCAAATACACATAGGCAATGAGCCTAGATGCATCTTTTTTCGATCGTTCTTTATCATTAATATTGTCGTAACAGTAAATCACTATTCTAGCATTGTTGCATGCAGGAAAAGACGCGAGAAAGATGCGAATTCTCAGCATTTTTTGATTCGTGCGAAATTTTCGTTTGACTGAACACCCGTAAATCTTTAAAGGACAAACAGACGTCCGTAGCATAAATTCGAAAATCGTGGGTCCGCTAGCGTTCCTATCGAACAGAGAATTTCACGGCTGTTAACTTATCACAGATTGGACGCAAGGAAAGCCCTTTCACAATACTCCACATTTCTTTCAGAGTTGACTGGTAGCATTTTAATCAACCAAACTTCGGTATTTGCAATACATCTTTCTGCGAACTGAGAAAAATTAAAGTGATTACATTGGCTGCTTCGCATTCTGCAGTACTTCGAGCAAAGGCGAAGTCTAGTTATGAAACGAAGGCTCCTTCGGTGCAGTGGACAGACTAAGCAGTTGACCATAGTTCCCCTCGGATTCCTTAACTAATTATCGTTCGAGCAACGATCACCGCCGATCAGCGCACATTACAGTTTTTTTCGTAATATTTTATGTTATTTCTTTTTTGAATATAAAGTTAATTGTTTTCATCAGCAATGGTGATCAACAATCTTTTAAATGGCTTCTGCGAGGTTCCAATATTTGTTGCTGAAAGAATATTTTTCTCAACCGCATCACCCTTATCGCCCTAATCAACTCGAACGAGTCTAATAGAAACCGAAAATAATAGTGAGCTGTAATTAATAGCAATTATTTATACAGCACAAAATTGGCACGGCGCCAACATGAAAAAATTTTTGGCAAATTTTTTTTGATTTCTCTATTTTGCTACTATTAACGCTGAGAATTAATATTGTTCCATTTTCTACTTCAATTTTTCCGGTCATTTATTTAAATTAATTGGATTAATTGATTATTTTATCGACTGCATCAATGCGATTTTTCACAATAAATTTAAGAAATCGATTATTTAATTTTTATAAATTTATAAATATTTTAAATTTTAGTTTCTTAAAAGTTCAAATGAAGCAGCGAATCACTTTGTTTAATGAAATTTTAAATGGATGAATTACTCAATTTCGTTGAGAAATCCCTCTCCACCGCAGTGGGTGGCAAGGATTGTCCTCAGCCTCGGTGCTCTGCCAGAGGCTTGCGAGGCTCCCCTGGCGCTGATGGATCTCCGGCGTTCCCCCTCCGGCGTTTTCCAGGCTTAGGGGTCACGGTTCCAAGTGCTGCAGTTGTCACTGGAAACACTTTGGTCTTTTCTTTCCACGCTTCTTTAGTTCTTGTTTCAGACGCTGGCATTTCTCTAATTTTCTTATTTTTTCAACTTTTCATATTCCATCTTCCTAATGTTCTCCCCTACCACTTGGTATTGCTGTATCTGTCACTAGTGCTGATTTCTGGCTCTTGTCTACTGCTCTGATATCTGGTGGATTCGCCAGTATTTATTTGCCTATTTGCATGGAAAAATGCGCAGGATCTTCTCCTTTCCACGATTTTCTGAGCAATCCTATCTGGCACTGAGAGGGTCTAAGCTTTACACTGAGCAGATATTTCTCTAAATGGCACCAGCGACTTGCTTATGCCTCAGTGTAGATTGTTCTTGCTTGTTCTACACCTTGCCATTATATATTGGAATGTTTCTGGGACTTTTTTGCCAATCTGCTCTTAGAATTCTGTCTAATGTGGTAGATATCTGTACTTCAATAGATCTAGTGCTGTCATATTGTTATGATCAACATTGTTACCTTTTATTCGAAATTTTTCCAACCACTGGTGGAATTTCTCATTGTCAACTACCTCAGATATCTGTCGATGCTCCATCTCACTGGCAGTCATGCTTTGCCATAGTCTTTATAGATCCTATTGACTTTGTATAGAGCCAGACATTTACAGATCCATATGAGGCATCGAGTCACAGGTTTTTTCTTATAGTCGATTCAGTTTATGGCGATTAAATTTTAATCGATTACCTTATCTGTGAGCAGCTGCTTTGGAGTCTCTGATGTTGTTCCCAATGCCTTTTTGAATTGTACTCATATATTGGCTCATATGGTCATGAAGCTTAATGGCTTATAATGCCTGACAGGATTTACTGTGGAGAGATTATTGGCAAGTATTTGGGCGATGTTATCTTATGAAAGTGAATCTAAAGTTGTTATCTTATCTTTTTCATAATCTTTCTTTGTGTTAACTGGTCTGTGTGAGGACTTGCCACAAGCAGCTGATCCATTTATATTGTTAGGCGCTCATGAATTTAGCTTCTTTAGCCAGTAGGTGTAGGTCATATTCGGACCAGGTGCTATCCATTTTTTCATGTTTTTGAGTCGCTGTTGGATATATATGATAGTTGCTGGTTCCTGCTGTGGAAAATTGCTGTGATTTATTCTTTGATTTTGTAGTTACTTTGCATTGATATTGTGAATCTTTTTTTTATCTTCTTTTTCTTCCATATATTCCTATATAATTTCTGCTGTTGGTGACTCTATTGTTACCATATTGTTGCTCTAAAGTTGAGATTATATCTTGGATGATTCCGTAGAGAGCAGCATATATTTTTCTAACCTCTGCTTCTCTAGTATAACTCCTTAGCCTGATGATAAGTGCTGGGAGCTTTATTTAGTCTCGAGGGATTCTGATGGAGTGTAGTCTTTGTTTTTTTTCAGCATCGAGGTAATATTCTTAATCTTCTATAATTTTATCAGTTGTTTAACTTTTCTTCTTAATGCTGTTATCTTATTTTCAAGCTTCTTTTTCCAGGAGTGACATGCTTTGTTATTTTTCTTGATTTTTTATGTTCCAGCGTTTCCAGAATTACAGTGGTTGTGGCGTACATCAATTTATTAGTAGGAATTATTGCGAGGGCTCTATTTGCATCTTCGATATTATCTGATGGTGCATCACTGACCCATGATATTGGTCTGGTTAATTACTGCCAACATATATATTTCATATATTAATATATGAAATATTTCATATATATAATATATATATATATGTATTTCAGCAGCTGTCTTTTTAATACCATCTTGCTGATGTGTAGAGGAAATGTTTGAGGTATCTACAGACATTGGAAAAAGATTAAATAGAGGAAGTACCTTAGCAAAATAAGATTCTCCGTGGATTGGCCCTGGAAAAGTGGTTAGAGATCTCTATCCAGAGGAACGCAATGTTACAAACAACTAAAATACTGCGCAGAACCCTCAGTTTTCCGGGCCTGTGGCAGAGAACTGGAGATTGAGAATAATCCTTGCCACCCACCCATAGGAAGTGAGAAAAGGGTTACATAATATTTATTTATTGATAAAATATTTAAAATATAGATTATAAAAAAATGAAAGATAAAATTTTGTCAATTCGATGGCATTTTTTCGATTATTTAGTAGACGTGATTATTATTCGATTGGCCAAGGTGACGGATCTGATCTGACGTAACGTGGCAATTCTCTCTTCTTTATTTACTATTCGCATTTTATAATAATTTTCCTTCCCTAACTACATTTCTTATAGTTTTTTTTGAGAAAAAAAATAAATTTTAAAAGATAATAATGTATGTCCAATTAGTCTGTTATTGCAGAAAATTTATTTATAAATTTTGATATCAATCATCGAAAAAATGCAAAATTTTATTAATTTTCTGGTCCGAAAAATTCTATAAATATTCATTAGAGAAATATTCGTATTCATAATTTCATGATTTGTAGTGTTCGATTCGTAATATCAGCTACAATTTTAAATATTGAGAAACAAAAAATTTTTCATGAACTGTTGAAACTTTTGAAATTTCAGGGAATTTCTCAGTTAAATTAAATTATATTTGCTAAAATTTAATGGTCGACTGTCAGAAGCAGAGCAATTCAAGTGAAGTCACATCTGTTTCATCACATAGTGAAGAATGGGTTACATTTTTAAATGGCTTGCTTAGATTATCGTTTCAAGTATATAATTCGATCCATCCCTCTGGTAAGAGTAAAATTATCATTAAAAAATCTGGTACTGCTGTGCTGGAATGACTCTGTCATAAATGCCTTATAGCAGCATATGGATCAAAAGCATAAAAAGACCTAAATAGAAATAATAAGTGCTAACCGTTTACCAATTATACTAATTCACTTGGATTGGCGAGATTCACTTTCATCAAAATTTTGAATCCAAAATGATTCAATCACCGCAAAATTGATACCGAGGGAAGGAATCGGATTGATTTCTTTTGAAATTCATGTTTTTATTTTTTTTCCTTATATTAATGGTTGTTTACTAAATGTTGATTCCTTTTGCTTTCCTAAGCCTTCCGTTTTTTTTTATTACTTGCTTAGTGCAATTTAAAAATAGGTAGATTCCGAAGGTTCTTTTTTTCAAGTATATTTGTTCTGAACTTTTATGAATATTTGGCGAAATTTCTGTATAATTTAATCGATTTTTTTCTATCAGGAATTGGAGAACAGTTTATTCATATTGGATAAATTTGGTATTTGTGAAGGTGAAATTGAAGATACAATCGTCTATAGAAATGAAGTAAAACGTCATCCGAAGCATCGATCAAATATAGATGAGACGGTTGCCGATTTGTCAAAAATTTTAACGCTTGGTACAGATCCACTGCAAACAGCAGCATTGGATACAAGAAGGTTCATTTATTTATTTTTTATTTTCAGAAAGTTTAGTCTTAGTTTTTTATTTTAACTTTTTGATGACAGGAATATGCTTTTATAATAGCGGTTTTCAGCTCGATTCTATCATGTTTCAATTGTGGAGGTGACCATGTCATTAATAATTGTCTGGAGAAAATGGATTCAAGAAGAATTGCAATGAATAAAGCCAATCATTTCAACAATAGGCGAATCATTCAAGAGCGATACATTGACGATAGAAAGACGTCTAATTTCAGGCATGGTTGTTTTTGTATTACTATTTTAATTTATTTCATGAAATTTGCACTTAATGAAGGAATTATTAGACTCAAATTACGTGAGTCAGGTTATTTTTTTATCTAAAGTTTTGTTGTGTTGCATTTTTATAGCGGTAGAAAGTTTATTAATTAAAGAACTGAATTAAAAAGTATAAAAAATAAGTGTAAAAAGGGATCTGGCGATGGGCGAGTGAAATTTCAAATAAAAAATGACCATTGCAAGACTACAAGAGTTAAAGGCATTTTACCAATGAATGAATGATTGGGCCACAGCTACGCTATTTATCATATAACAAGAATGGTACAATGTGAAAATGCAACATTAGATTAGCATTTATAAAGTACATGAAAATGTGCAAGATGAAATAAACATTCCACAGTCTAAACTGTTATAAAATAATATTTATGAAACTTCGAGAGTTTTTCGAAATCCACTATGGCTATTGGGGATAGGATGGCTTAGTGGGTTGTTGCTTAATTTGGAGCGTCGATACTAAGATCCCAGCAGGAGTAAACCTGTCCAAAAATCCGGTTGATGCTGGCGACTTATCTGTATATCTATCGCTAAGGGACTTTCTGGCATATTTGTCCATTACGACAAGCCAGCGGAGCGAGTTAACCAGTAATGGAAAAACTCTTAAAAAAAAAGCTATTGTGATACTGTAATTGAATGCGCAAATGAAAAGTAGTTTTTCTATTTAATATCTCCATAGTGTAGTAATATTGCAGTAATAATGACGACTCTCGAGAACAATTCTCAACAAAGATTATTGGTTAAGATTTGTTTTCAGTTTTTAAAATTTTTTTTAAAGTTGCACACTTTTCACTATTTTTTAATTTTAATGTTAATTGATGATTATCACTTTTCAATTTCGCAGCTAAATGTTTTGATTATGACGGAATTGAGTAAAAAAAGAATTTTTAAGGGCAGGAGCGATCAGCTCAGCACTGCGGAAAGCGTTAGGTTTAGGACCTAATGATATTCCAGAATGGATTTATCGTATGCGACGAATGGGTTTCATTAAAGGTTATCCACCAGGATACCTTAGAAAGGTTTTTTAAATACACTTCTAGTATTAGATATTGAAACTCTCTCTGGAAACCTTACCATAAAAATAGTATCAATTATAGTATTATTAATATAATTTTATAGTATTATAGTATTATTAATTTTAAGGGACGATGGAATTCGTATGAATTGTTTTCTCGACTTGTTTCTTAGTATTAGTAGGTTTTAAAAAATAAATTTAATGAGTTTTGATCCCCATATTTGTTGTCTTGGCTTGGCATTAGTCCTAATGAGAAGGCTTAAGGGTTTACGAAGAAAGGTCAGATTTTTAGGTAATTTTTTAGGCTATTTCCGGAGATTATGAAGGTGAAAATGAAGTTTTGGAATTTTTTGGTGATGCGGAACCAGAACACATCAAAAAATCTAGTTTGGCTCAAAAAAGTGATTTTTAAATTGTGATTTAAATGAATCATTTACGATGCAAGTGATTAAAAATTCATTTAATGATGACTTAAAAATAATTGATCTCAATCTATTTATTTTTAGATACAAATAAACCGCCTAAAATTATACCAGATAAAGTGATCAGTTATCTTGGTTTCAATAAATATGCGAAGGGTTTGAATGATGTATTTTCCTTTTTTATTAGTTTTTAATACAAATTTTTTTCCATATTGCTCCTGAATTTTAATGATGATTTTTTTATTTTAGCGTGACGATGGAGATTTTGTCGTGCCTTCAATACGCGACTTCATTCGCTATCATCAAGAATTTATTAATGAACAATATTATGTTAGTCTAATTTGGCAGTCAGTTTTTATTTATTGATTTAATTACTTGCTTATGTTGGATTACCATTTTTTTAGTCAGAAAAATGTCGAAAAAAACCTGAAATAAACAGAAAGAAGCGAAAGAGTTTAATTGGAGGAAGCAAGAAAAAAAAGCAAAAAATGTGTATGCATTTTTAATTAATTTATTTTTTCGAAGTTTTTAAAAGATGTTATATTATAATTTAATGAAAATTTGCAATAATGTTATAATAATTTTATTTTAATTAGAAATATGCATAATAATTGATCTCAATCTATTTATTTTCAGGTACTGATAATGTTGAAATGGAATTTGTTTTCTTTTTTTTTTAATTTATAAAGCAAATTGAAAGATAGAGCTAAAGAAATAGAAATAGTTTAAATTAGGTCATTTCAAGTGGTATTTCTAAATAGAATAAATTTTAGTGATGAAAAATCAGTGTTTCCGAAAAAGGATGTGGAAACATAGTGGAAATTTTTTTTCTTTTAAATTTTGTTTTGCAAATTGCAATAAGGATTTTTATTGCAGCAGATGATTATGAAATTATTGTCATAAGTGATGACGATCAAGATTGCAGTGGAGAAGCAAAATATATGGTAAATAAAACTTCTGGATCATTGCAAAGCAGTTTTTCAGTAAGCTGTTTTGATTACAAATTTGCTTTATTGGTATTTTTTCGAGCTATAAAATTTTACCATGGTTTTTGGTTTTCAAGTTCTTTTTTTCAAGGATATGAACATCGTTATTTTTATTAATTTCATCCAAGTTGCATTCAAAAACAAATGGTATAATATTAAATATTAATATTAATATTAAATGTAAATTTAAATTATAATGATAACTATAGGGTCTAATGAGATTGTTTTATCGCGATAAATTATTGCCTTAGTTAGATTTAATTTTATTTGTGCGTTATTTCCGAAAGTATTTCTCTAAATATTTGCAGAATTCGATTCTGGATATTTATTCAGAAGTTGATAAACAAGGTTCTCCGGTAATGAATATGCTAAAGATGGGAAACACTGTTTCAATTGCTACCGGTACACCTCATCAAGGATTCAATGAGGTATAACATTTTTTTCCTTTCTTATTTTCTGATTGGTTTAAATCATTGTTAAAAGTAAAGATTTTGAAGATTTAAGCAGAAATTGTGAACTTTTAAAATTTTATATCTCATTTATTTATAATTTTATTTATTTAAATTTATTTATAATTATAATTATTTATAATTAAATTTATTTATAATTTTATATATTTATATTTATTTTAATTTTATAACATTTTTATATCTCAATTTTAGGTAAAAAAGCCCAGTTTGGATAAATTTAAAGAAGGTATTGTTCCATTTGAAACAAAAGAAGAGTGTTCATCGAACCGAGGGTTTTTCGACCAATTTATCAAAAAAATTCGAAGTAGAATTCAGAGTGATTAGAAATAGAAATATTTAATTCATATTATGAAAATTTTTTTCGCTATTATCTCAGTAAGATCCAAAATTCTGAGTTATTCAATAAATTTTCCTTCAATAAATTTTTTCAGAAGTTTTAAGATCATTTGCTTCTTTTAGGCTTATGTGCTTTCGTCAATTTTTATTGGGTTTTTGCTTTTTAGATTTTTCGTCTCTAATAAATTTAAATTCAATAATTTTTAAAAATTTTTAATTCACCAGTTATTTTACCAGTTAAAAGTGCTTACCTGTTAATTCATTTTAATTACTTTATTGTCTTACGGAAAGTTTTTCATATTTTTTTTTTCGTAAATTCAAGGTTTCTTTATCATTTTGTTTGGTTCCTTTTTTTTTCTAACCCATCAAAAAAAAGATTAATTTCAAAAGAAGAATGGTGGTAACGTCACTTTTGATTATATATTTTTACATTTTTTTTGCTTATATTTTCGATTATATATTAATTATATTTTTTACTAATGATGTTTTTTTTAATTCTGTGGTTTTGTGTAATGTTATTGTGTAAATTTTAAGAGATATGATTCGTTGTATTTGTTCGTTAAATATTTTGTGTTCAGCATATATATATATTTGTTTGCGTTGTCTAATTTTTGAATTACACTAGAATTCCGAAATATAATATCTTTGGAGTGCAGAACTTCAAAAAAGAATTTAAGAGTAGAGAGAGGGGTGGGAGGAGAGGTATTAAATTTAGTAAGACTATACAATACAATATACAATTATTTTCATATACTGAAAAAAATGAAATTTCTCATTTTTCAATTTTTTTTGTTTCTATTTTAATGATGAATAATGAAATGAATAAAATATTTTATAAAATTTCGGATTATAATGTCGTATTCGTTGCATTTATCTTTTGTTATTATCTATAGATCAATTTTTTATAATTTTTTTTACGTGCACGAATGTTCATTGAGTGGTGCGATGCTTTGTATGGTGTTGAAGGATTTGGTAACTTTCTTTTTAGCGATTTCTTGTTATGAAAGTAAGAATGGCGCTCGAGCTTTATAAAATGAAAGCTACAGGGATGTGACTTTCATCCTGCATATCGACTTGAAATGTTAGAATTAGAAACAAAATTGTTCACTGAGATTTGCGAATTAATTTAATCATTAATTACTGATTAACCGAATCGTTCTTGCAGAAAAAGTCTTGATGAGTGGTAAAAGTGATCGAACTTTTAATAAGGCTAATGTTAATAGTAGCGGGAAATTTTATATGGGCGACTCAAATGGTACAAAATCGGAGGATGATGCACTAACTCAAATGGTTTGTTTCTTCTTCTTGAGTGATTTGTTTGTTTCTCCAAATATCTTGCTAATTTAGTTGATACTAGCGACGACCAGAGTAGGGTACTTAAAATCCGACGTTATTTCTGAAATTAATATGAAAATTATCAAAAATTTGCGTAAAATTTATAGTGCAAGAGGATCTCCATTGCTTAATGCCTCAGATTTCATGAGGTGCCACAGTTGGAAAATTATGTTCTTATGATAAATTTGATTATCCAGATTACCCAGAAAAAATGAAAATTACCTATTAGAACCAGAATGAAAAGAAACAAGTTGTGGAAAGCAGTGGTGATGTTAGCCAATGTGGCCATAAGAAGAAAAATATGCAGCCACAAATCCAGGTGTTACAGAAATGGCCAGAATTTTTCGGATATTCCCCAAATAATTTACATTTGGAAATTTACTGGAAAAATCAGGGATTCTGGAAATGGAAGATGGGTGGTACACGTGAAAAAATAAAAAATTTCTTGTTTTATATTTCATAAACTGTTAAAACGATTTATTCGGCTAAATTGGACATTCTTTATTTATAAAAGTGCTTCACTATCATTCGATGCGGAATTATAGGTAATATAAGTTGAGAAGAAAATAGAAAAGAACAGTGTTCTCATTAATTGCAAATTTCAAATTGTAATAGATGGCATAACAGTTTAATGAAAAATATTTAGAAATCAATTTAATTTAGTTTTATCAGTTTCGTATAATTCTATAAAACTTATTTTGATGAAATTATATACAGAACTTATTTGATTAAATTAAATTAAGTTTATTTCATTTAACTTTTCGAATTTTTTATGTGGATTGTTGGAGTGTGTTGAGTGGAGTGTAGATTTATCGGAGATGTAGAGAAACTGTTATGATTACTTTTTCTCGTTTACAATAGTTTTAACACTTCTTTTTTTTATTGCTAATATTTTCCGTTATTAAAAATTATTTTTAGAGCTATAATTTATTTATCGGTGAGGTTTCTTCGGACGAATCTGATGACATCGCTGTTTTAGAAGATAGTAATGATTTGCGATCATTGCCTTTTAGCCGAAAACTGTCGTAAGTGATGTTCTTCTTTACTGGGAATTTTAGCACTTTTAAGAATCTATATTTACAAGAAGAAATCAACATAGCATATGCTGGCATTAGCAACAAATAAAATAATAAAGAAATAAATAAAAATTTGGTAAAAATAAAGGTGATAAAAAAATGAAAGAAGTAAATTTAAATTTAAAAATGCATACTTCGAGTAATGATATTAATTCCATCAGTTGATGCGACGTTGATGATTCTAGGATACCCTTTCATAATTTCCTTTAAATGAAAATACCTTATTTTCTTAGTTTTTCCATATATGACTGTAATAGATAAGAATTATTAAAATACCGATCGGTCCGATCCCATTATATTTTTACATTATTTTCAAAATTTTCATGCTATTTTTTTAATAGATGTCAAAAGAAAATACAAGAATTATATAGTATGCTTCGTTCAACTGGTGGTAAGCGAATTTTGAAGAAAAATGAACTTGGTTATGATTTATTGGATGTTGATAAGATTGATACACTGAGCGGATTTCATCAAATTGTTCGTTTTACAGTATTTATTAATAAAATTTGAATAATTTATTGAAAATCATTTCTTTTTTGCTAAATAAAATGAAAGTAGTAAATGAACTAATTTTTATCACAAAGGATTTTGGTTTTTTTTGTTTGGTTTATTTCCATTTTAAGGAGTTGTAAAAGTTTGGAATGCTTTTACTGAAAATTTTTTTTATTTCATCTAAAAAATTCCTACTATAAATGAGAAATTTTTTAAGGATTTCACAGGATTCAAAATTTTATTTGTTGAAAAATCTTCGAATTACAACAAATTAAATTATCAATTTTTAGCAAGCTTGTTATATCGATCTAATTGCAAAAGCCGTATTATTTTATGATAAAGGACTTAGTCTGAAAGAAGGAGCAAAAATGATGAATACCACATTTTTTAATTTTGTCACATTTCTGCTAGATTATGTTTGGATAGGTAAATTTTTTTCAGAATATTTTTTTTGATAAAAGTTGAGTAAGAAAAAGTAATTTTTTCTTGAGTTGAGTAAGAAAAAGTAATTTTCTTAAAAAGTAATCTTTTTTTTCGGAAGAAGGTAATGCAATCACGAATTTCGACTTGTCAAAAATTTTAATGCATTTTTCGATTGATCGTGCTCATCTTTCTTTGCTTGCAAAACTTATAAATACAGATAATAAAGTAAAGCTATCGGACATCATCAAAGTTATATTTTTTTATAATTTTTTATAATATTTTATTTTAATACTTTATTTTTATTGTTTGCTTAAATGAAGAAAAATTTTCAACTGAATTAAGCGCAATTTTTAAAATATTTTTTCTTCTAAGAATTTTTAAATTTGAGATTTTTTCAAGAAAATATTTTAAAAGATATTCCATAAAATAAAATATTTTAGAGGAGATGTTCAATTATTGCTCCTTTTTAGATTACTCAGTGTGAACTGTTGGAATTGATGGTTATGCTTACAGTATTGTTAGCTACGATGTTTGATTGGCCTGTTGCTCAAAAAATAAATAAATGTTGGAAGGAGGTTTAATTCAATTTCAATTTTTCGCTTATACACTTGAGGTTATAATAAATTCATTATAAAAGACAATTTATGCTGCAAAAGCCGATCATATATATTTTGATGATTGGTTTATTTGGCTTTTCAAATTCTGCTTTTTATACCTAAATTTTATTCGAAATTCGTGATATAACTGATATAACTTTCAAAATATTTATTATATGTACACACATTAATCGAAATAAAAAAATAAGATATTTCTGAAACTACAGATAGCGAAAGCAGCCATACCATCCGATGACGAAGAATTTTCCAATCCTGGGGATTTTTTTGCCGCTCTTTATGACATTCATTTGTCATTGAAACGACAAAAAATCACCAAAAAATTTGAAGCCAATAAGTTAGAAATCAGTTATTCAGATTATCAGATTCAGATCAGTTATTTTCAATAGTTCTAGAAACGATTCTTTTTACGAGAAAATTTTTAGAGAAATATGGAAAACTGTTAGAGGAATTTTTTTTTAACGCATTGCTCCAGAGGCTTTAAATATATTTTCAATATATATATTGAAAAATTTCATGCTAATTTTTTATTAATAATATAATTTTATAATTTTTTACAGCTATGAACCCCTAGATACTGCAAAAGAAATGAACATAGTTTTTTTGTCTCAAGTACTTTGTCAGGGATTACCAGAGAAATCGGTAGGTTTAATCGCGGCAAAATTGAAATTGTGCTTTATTTTATCTTATTTTTTCGATTAAAAAATATTATTCTTGCAATTTTTTGAATCTCAAAAAATTTATACTTTTTTTTCGCTAATTTTATATACTCGTTAGATGTAACATATTACTTTAGTGCACTTCGAATGCAGCGATATCATCTACTGGATCAATGAAAAGGCTAGAAAATCATGAAATTTTAGCGAACCATTCATTAAAAAGACCAGATATATATTTGGATACTTCTAAAAAAGTTTGTCTATCATCAGATAAATTGCAAGAGAAGTTGAAGCAATTAATTGGCTTAATTGATAGCAAGAAAGTTATTGGCAAATTATAATTGGATTTGAGCGATAACTTATAATATGACCAGTTTTTAATATGTATTTCTTAAAAATGCAAATATTGGAATGGCAGATAATGTTTTCTGTTGTTTCACTCATCTTATTTATTTAAATAATCATCAATTTTAAATATCTTTATATATACTTTAATAGTTTTCAAGCAGTTTACAAAATTTTATGAAGCTTTAGAATTTTGCGGAAGAAATAAGTGTAATCGACTTTAAAGCAAGTAATTCTTTAATAGCTGCATGTAACTTCGTCGATGTTCCGTCATCTCTCGATAAAATTCATATTGGTTCACGTTGTCTAGCTCGTCAGCTGAATGCAGCAAATTATATTGATAGTAAAGTTTTAAGTCAAGTAAATATTTTTTCATATTTTTCTGCTTTATATCATCTTTTCATCTTTATTTGAAGTATGAACTAAAAATTATTTTACTAAATTCACTTTGTTAAATTAAAAATTTATTCGATTCTTCAGTGTGACAGTTGCCATTATGTGGTAATGTTTTATGATGGTAAGGAAGAACAAGTAAATTTATCGCAAATAGCATTTAAAATTGAAGGTCGCATAAGGAATTGGGAAGGCATTCGTGTTTGTGCACTCTATGAACCAAGGTTTGACTGGCATTTATAGTTTTATTCAAAAAAATGCGGTGATTTTCCATTTTTTAATGAAATAAAAAAACATATTTCGTATACTATATTTGAACCTTATTTTTTAAAAACAAATTTAATTTTGGACCAGATTTTTTCTTCTGCAATTCTTTTATTTTTTTATTTTCAGGCTTCGTGATGAAAAGTTTCCAAAGGCTTTTTATTCTGGAACTGTCGGGATTGGTCCATATAGTTGGTGCCCGAATGAAATGCTGGTTAATACTTCAGTAATTCTTCTTTTTTTACTGTATTTTATTGTTTAATTATTTTTAAATATTATCTTTTTACTGTTACATTTTATTAAAATTATTTAATTGAAGATATTTTTTGACAATGGATGTGACGCATTTGTCAACGAGCACACAGTTCATATTTTAGCGGAACAGATGTATACAGTTGATGAAAGCGGACAAAAGGTTGTAGTTGCGCTTTTACGTTGTAATAATATAATTTGTTGGTCCTTTTTTTATTTCTATTTCACTTCATGCTTTTTTTATTCCCTATTTCATGAAAAATATGGAAAATGAAGAATATTCAAATATTCTCTCTTGGTATCACCAAGATCTTTTGGAGAATCTCTTTGGAGAATAGATCTGTGAGTCTCTAAATTTGTTCCTAACGCTATCCAAATTTTACTTTCGATTATAGCTCCATTTTTGTTAAACAGGCCCATCCTGCCTGCCTTCGGATGGTACATCTTCTAACAGCTCTCATCATTACTGGTTAGGCTGGCTCTAGCTGACTATAAGGGTAAGATATGTCCAAGCTCTTTGGACCAACGCCATCACCGAAAGTAATAAAAGCCATTCCTTTTTTCACCGTTTGAGTCCATATATCGCTGGTTCCTCTTTACGTTCTGATTGTATCAGTCCAGGTCTTGATTGGCTCTTCTCGTTTTTACGGTCATCACAGGGTTCGGTAAGTAGCGAATTATGCTCAATTCTTGTGGTGAGCGACAAAGAAAAGCCAGCAAAGGCGACGCTCTTTGAATACTGTTAAAGTAAGTGATATTTGGGCGAAAGTGGATGCGATCATGTGAGATTTTATCAACGAATCGGTAAAATATATCTTAGACATGAGTGGTCAAAAACAGATAATTTCTTAATATCTTCCACTTTCATCAGCTTTATTTCGCAGCCATATAGCAAGGTCGAATTGCAGGTATATGGATGCCGCCTTTCGTTTTTATGGTGATTTAATTACGGTTACTTAAAAGTTTCGCCAACCAGAAGAACACATTTTCATTTAGCTACCGTTATCCCGGATGTAATTTCGTCTCTTGCTTAGCTATTTGGGATTAGAGTGGATCGAAGGAAAAATCCGGCACTTCTTCAACCATCAATAAATTTATAAAAAAAGGCATTTTCAGCCTTCTTGCACATAAGATTTTCTTTTGTTTACATTGATTCTGATTCCGATTCTTGCTGCAATTGCTGACATATTGTTTAGCATTGCTTGCATTTCGTCATAGCTGTTAGCAAGAAGGACTACATCATCAGCATATTCAAGATCTGTGACACGATACTCTGGACTGATTTGGATACCTCGAGTTCAAGTAGTGTCCATTACTCAGTCTATCGCATAGTTAAATATTGTAGGAGAAAGGACATAACTTAAGAGACATCAGTTCTTATTTCGAAGGAGTCTGTCAGTTCACTATATATACTGACTTGCGCTAAACGTATGTTCATACGTATGTTCATATGTTCATAAAATGCCGTTATAAGTCAAATGATCTTCTCTGGAACGCCGTCTTATTCCATCACTTCCAAAGTGGTGCCATTCTATCAATTCAATCGAAGGCAGTTGCAAAGTCGATGAAACACGGTGGGTTGCTGATATTTAAAATGATGTTCTAGCCTTTCTTAGCGTGAATATCTGGTCATCCTGCTCTTAATTCAGCTTGTTAAGGCGTCTGCTATCTTGTATTGCCATGAGTTTATTTATCATGATGGAAGCGAAAATTTTTCAAGCGATGGTCTTGTAGACTGATTACCACATTATGTCCTGTCTTCTTTCTTGGAAATTGGGAACCCAATTGCTTTGTTCCAGTCATCTGCTGGTATTTCTTTTTTCCATACCAAAGAGTTCATTTATTGAAGGTTTGAAGGGCGATGGGCAACATTTGAAGAGTTCAGCCCTAAGACCATCTTGTCTGGAAGTTTTGTTGGCCTTAAGCTTCTGGATAACAAGGATTATTTGTTCTTCTATTGACGGTTCGCAATTCTAAAAGTATGGTTCGACGGGCGAATCAGCCATATCCGGGATAACAGATGGTGCACAAGTTTGAAATGCGTTTATCGTTCCCAGGTCTTTTAATCTGAGGTAGTTGAAAGATCTTGGGATACGTTGTTTCTTACGTCTTGTTTTATTTGAATCCTGGCTCAAACCATAACATGATTTGATCCATTCACGGGTTACCAGCTCTAGCGGTTATTGACCAATATATAATCGATCTCATTAGGTCTCATTAGAATTTCCGGAGAATTCAACATGACTAGATGTTTGTCCAATGCCGGAACCATGTATTAGTAACAAAGAGCTCACATTGTTCGGATAGGCGAAGGCATTCTCCGTTGGCGCACTTTACCCAGATGCCATATTTGCCAATTACCGAATTCATCATAGTGTCATCATGATCTACGCATGCATTCCAGCCTCCCCCGATTGTGACACCTCTCGGTAGAGATGTTGTTGGAATTTTGCATAGCAGTTATCCCTATCGTGATTATCTGCACACAAAGTTGGAGCATTTGTACTGGTGACCGAGATATTGCAAATTCCTTTGAAACGCACGTAGACCATACGGCTTCCACATCATTTACTGGCTTCCACTCAATTAAAGCGGATCGAACCTTTTCAGACATTACAATCGCTATCCCATTTCACCCCAAGTTATCCAAGACACCATAGTGATATGACCAATATTTTTCCTGGGAACCAGGTTTAATTATTAGAGAACTAGCATGACGGGCCACAAACAGGTTGCATCCATGCGGTATTCAGAAACTGTGCGGATAATAATCGTTTGGCTTGTAGTGTCCATAAGCATTCTAAACAGCAATAGCCAGCAATTTACCGCACTTACAAGGTATTAACGGATAGGTTCTCGTCTGCCTTGGCGGATTCTGAACAATTATCCCGAATCGCGAACATATCCTCAAATATCCTCAAACCTTGGAATTACTTTATTATCATATTATTATTATTATTACGCCCCCGGATTATATATTTATCGCATGTACCATCGGGTGGTTAGAAGTATCGGAAGACGTGGAACGCCACATCAGAGCTACCTGACTCTTTCACTATAGAGTTATTAAAGTAAAAGTAAAGATAAAAGTAAAGTAAAAGTAATTAAATTTCAAGAAAATAGAATTTTATTTAACGATAATTAAAAAAATAAAATTTTAAGAACATATTTAATATTCTTAATCTTTTTTCGGCTAGAATTCAAATTTTATTTAATGGATTTCCTAGGTTATCGATCGTTATTCTAATTGGAAGTTAGTGCCAAAAGCTCGTCAACTTTTTGTGAAACACTATTTAAATATATATCCTGACTGGCAACTTGTCCCAATGAAGCGTAGAGAAAATACTCAACGTATTAATGTAAGTAATGGAATAATTGTGGCAATTCCATACATTGTTGAGTTAGCTGGATGTTCAATATGTTTTTAAATAACTACAGTCACTTTCACAAATTCATTTTGTTTGTTTTGTAGTTGTAGTTGAAACTTCGTAACAGCTGAAATGTATTATTATATATCGAAAGTAGCATTTCAATTTTTTTTTTTTTTTGAACAGCTAATACTATTACTTTTGAGAAACTATTTTTGAGGCTGATCTTCCTTTCTTTTTTTGTTTTTAGTTCCTACAAACATATCTTGATCCATTTTTTGGCCATTGTCATTGGCCATTTGAAACTAATTCTACTGGTCCCTTGGCAATATTTACCCAGCTTATTTGTTGTTACTTTCGTCAGCCTTTTTTTTTGATTTTATTTTATTAATTTCTTCTATTTGTTGATTGATTAAGTGATCAAATTTTATTCTTACGACCTCAATGGCCTACATTGGTCGTTCAGCGACATTCATGTTATTTTTTTTTAGATTCTTATGCTTTAGATTTTAAGAGGAGGCAGGCCTTGGTCTGCGTTTGTTTTACGAACTGAAAGGCAATTCGCTTTACTTCGATTTCCACAGCGAGGAGTTCCCGGAGCCGATTGTGTATACGCATCATGTGTACGACACAAACATATCGATGAATGGATTTATCGAGGATCTGATCGGCTTGACTCTATAAGACAAAACATTGAGGTTAGTTTTTCTGTTGCTCATTCTTTTTTTCTATTTTGAATTTATCAGTTTTTCCAATTTATAAGGAAGATTTATTTTAATTTTAACCTGTTATCTGATATCATATATTTAAATTAAATTTTTGGTTAGTATTTTTAAATTTAAAATTTCATAAAACTAGATAAGGAAAGAAAATTTTCATTGGTGAAGCAAAAACTTAAAATTATGAATTATGATATAGTAATATTATTAGTAAAATAGTTTTAAAATTTTATCCTGAGAATTCCTTTTTTAACCTATACAATAAATCTCTCCCTTTATGTAGATCTCTTCAATTTCAAAATGCCTAATGGTACTTTTGCAGTAGTCTATTGCTTTCCTTGTTTATATTGATAAAAACTGAAAAAGATGAACTTTTATCAAATAAAAATTTTTTTTGCTTTGGAATGTCTTTTCTTGATGTTCCTAAATATTTCATTTTCCTTAGCAGTATTTGCAAATCAGCAGTCTTCGGATCCGAGTCGCTCAGTGCTTCTCCTCCCTTTTCATATTTCTCTGTTCTTTCAATCTTTTTTTCTTTTCTTATATGTGGACGAAAATTTAAAAAGAATTAATTACATAATTATATAATTCGGATGTTATTTGCAAAATAATCTAATATATACTTATACTGATTTCTGATAAAAAAAAATTGCTCATTTTTTTAAAGTTGTTTTATTTTCGACATTTTTCAAAATTTTTTTAGAATCAAATGAAAATTCCAGAAATTAGAAAGAATCTCAAAGCAAGCACAGCTGGGACTTCCTCCTTTATCTCGCCGTGTAGGCAGGAGTAGCGTATCACATGGTTGCGAATTCGCTGTCCCATTGCCGAGAAACACTCCAACAACTTTGCTACATTCCAGCGATATTTCTTCAACTCATTTCCTGATATCAGAATCTCCGTTTAGTTTATCTTATTTTATTATAGTTTATCTTGTTTGTTTGTGTAATATTCACACCAAATTTTTTGCGTTTCCATATAATTTTAAATAATTAATTGCTGAAAATTTTAAATAACTATTGAAAAAGTGCAAATACAAATTTTTAGGGCTGATTCAGATATGCCTTTGTACTCTAAAAGTCAGTCCACACCAGCTGAATCGGTCAGTCATGTTAATGCATTGAACCAGGTAATTTTTTAGAATATTAACACTTTGGATTTTCTGAATCATGTTACGATTAAAAATTTCTGTTACTTTATTGAGGCATCTGTTTTATTATTCTTATTTTGACAAAATTTTACCAGAAATTTGTTTCACAAACCTTTTAAATTTTTAAATAAATTTTTTTTTAGATAATTATTTCGTAATTAATTTCTTTTTCTCGTTTTTTCAGGTCTATCACCATCGACAAACAGCTAGAAAAAGTATTGGTATACCTCGAAATGCAATACCTATGCATGGTTCAAGTTTATTCATCAACCTCAAATCTTTACAAGAACGCAGAGAAAGCACTTGCATGGTTCCTTTTTCAAAAATTATGTGGAAAATAGTGTTTTAAAATTTTTTAGAATTTCATATATTATGAAGTATTATAGAAAAATTTGGATAACCAACACATTCCTGATTGGTCGTACTTGCTGAAAAAAAGAATGCCTCATTCCAGTTGTTCATCCAAGTGCTTGCAAAATTTGGAAAAAGATCCATATGGAAAGTCATCTGTGGAGCATTCTCCTTATATGAAACCACTTTTGTTAGGATGGTCGCGTCAGGTGATCTCGCATGATTAAAAAATTTTTGAATGATTTATGATAATGGTTTAAATTTAATGTATACTTTAATTAAATGTCATATGTTTGTGTCAAAGCCATATTTTGAAAAAAATTTTGTCTAAAGAAAATTTTCAGGTTGTTCATTTAACTGAGAAAATTAAATGTCGTTATTCCAATAAATTTGAGAATTCAGTTATAGTTTATCAATCACCATGTGGTATTCGTATATATAATTTACATGGTATTGCATCGTATTTAAAGGTATTTTTTTTAATCTTTAAACTTCTGGTCGTTTCGTTTTTCAATCTCTTTCGGTGTTTGAAGGCTACTGGTAGTAATTTAACTGTTGATCTTTTCACTTTCGATAAAAAAGTTCGTCCCAATATTTATTATCGCTCGAATGCTATCCACAAATTAATGGATGATTTTACCAATGGGGCTGAAGCAATTCCTATTGCAGTTTATAATGAAGTTGATAAGGACCATCCGCCAGAAGTAAGCAAATTTTTTTCTCCTCTAAACTAAAAAATTCAAGCTAAAATTGTATCAGATTCTATCGCTTGAATTGTTCATCTACTTTATCGATTTCCCGTTCAAATTTTTCAACTCTGGAAAATTTTTTTCATTATTCGTATTGTGGTTGATAATTTGTTATTTTTCATCTTATTTTATTTTCTTTCAGTTTTATCTAAAATCGATTTTTATTGTTTAATATTTGCCGTTTTATATTATTTTAACAAATTTTTTTAGACGTTCAAGTTTATTAATTAATTGCGATTATTGATATTAGTATATTGTAATTATCTATAGTTTGATTCAAAGGTGTTTTAGATAAGTTACGAAGCAAAAAGATATCCATTCAATGCACATACTGATGTATCAACAATATCTTCTGATTTTTGCAGTGGATGTTCTTGCGAAGGTCTTTATTATTAATTTTAACATATAAAATTAGAATTTTTCATGGCATTTTATAGCATTTATAGATGATTGTTCCAATCGTGATTTTTGTCAGTGCCAAATTCTAACAAAAACAGAAGCAGAACGCCTAGACAAAAGTCTTCAACCTAATTTTGTATATGGTTATTCGTGAGTTTTTCTTTTTTGATAAAATGCAGCTTTTTTATTTTAGTTTTAGATTTTTTCTATATTTAACATTTATTTATTGTATATTTCCCTATATTTATTATTTTTTACATTTAAATTTTTTAGCATTATATTGTCTAAAACTGTTTCCGAAAAGCAATGCTAAATTCTTTTACTTAGCATGAGAATTTTGCGAATTCCTTTGAGGCTTTGTTAATTTTTCATAATTTTATCTATTAATAAAGAAAACTTTACAGATATCGTCGTATAGTATTAAAGAGTGGCGAAGAATCATTTCTTTCTGGAATTTATGAATGTAATGATAAATGCAGCTGTAATAAAAGTCGATGTCTTAACAGAGTTGTCCAACAACCGATAAAAATTCCTATGGAGGTAATGATATTTTTTCAGTATAGTCATATAATTTTTTCATTCATTTTTTTTGCTGATTTAAATAAATTTAAAAATTAATTTTACTTTCTGTTTTTTTCAAATAAATCTTTTAAATATTTTTATTTTGTTTCAAGCTATTTAAAACGGTCAAAACTGGTTGGGGAATTCGTTCTCTTGTCGATATTCCAGCCGGCGTTTTTTTATGTACCTATGCTGGCGCTATTTTAACAGATAACCAAGCTGAAGAACAAGGAAAAAATGTAAATTTATGCACATATTTGTTTTCGTTTTAAGAGGTTAGAGAAGGAAAGAGAATAAAAATATTTCAAAGTTTTTTGCTTGGGATATATTTTACTTGCTTTTTCTCTCAGATTCTTGATCTTTTTTCTTTTTTTTTAAGAGCCTTTTTTTGTTAAAGAATTGAGTTGCTTATTGTATTAATTTTTTCAGCGATCTTTTATACTTGCATCTCACTTTGCCTTTTCTGATAGCTGTTTTTTTCAAAATAAAAGGTCAAATTTGTCAGTGATATTTTTTTTCTTGCTCTTAGATTTAATTAATTTTAGTCAGGTGATGAATATTTTGCGGATATTAATCTTGTAGAAAATGTTGAAAATGAAAAAAGGAATGCTGGTGTGGATTTCAATGATGCTAATGATGGGTATTATTCAGATGAAGATTTTAAAGGTTTTTTTTCATAAGTTTGGTCAGGCAAGTTTTTAATTTATTTTTTTAATTTATTTTGTTATCTATATCCTGTGTACTTTTTTTATGATTTTTTCAGCAGATGAAAATTCCTCTTTTCTTGAAATTATTATTGATGGTAGCGAAGTGGAAGAAAATTATGATAGGTTTGTTTGTCGTAAAATCGTTCGGTAGATTTATTTGCGTGAATATGAGATGAGATTAGTTGTTCGTCTGCGTTAATTAATTACTTTTATTAATATATAAAATTGATGTGGCACGAATGCAAATTCTTAAAATATTTTTATTTCATATTTCAGTGGTCAAGAATCTTCGGATTTATCCGACAATAGCGATTTCGAAACTAAAGAAGAAAATAAAAAATTTGATCTGGCAGTCGAAATCAAAAAAAAAAATGTAAATGCTTAGGAATAATATTTATATTTAGTGCAAAATTTTGCAAAATTATTTTATGCCTTTTCCATAAATTTTGGAATAATTTAAAATTCTTGGGAATTTGCAAAAATCTTTTTATAAAAAATTTAGGATGCTCAAGGTAAATCAGATTTGGATTATGCAAAAACTTCACTAATAATGACGGCACAAGAACAAAGCGAGATCCCATCTAGTACTTTGAAAGAAAAATTAACGATTGATGAAGCACATTTATTAGGAAATGGTAATTTTATTAATGTATAATTATAATTATTTGCTATGTGCATGCATTCGAAAAAAGTTCATCCAAAGTCTGCCATATTTTATGAAAATTTTTTCCAGTTTGGTTTTGGTTAGATTTCCTAGAATTTCATTATTTTTCTTTAAAACTCCATCTCCTTGCAATATCCTCTTTTGCTCTAACCCTTTAAATTAAAATATACCGCCTCAACAACTTTTTCGGAACTTATTATGTACTTCATACTTTCCGAAACTCCGTTTTCCCTTTCGTATTCCATCAAACCTCTATATTTTGTTTTTTATGTCCCGATAATATCATAAATCCACCTTTTTTTTCTAAAAGCATTCACCATTTCTGGCCACGATTTCTCCGCTGGCTTATTGGATTAGACAAATTTTTCCAGTTCCAGCAATGGAAATATGGAAATAAGTCACTAGCATTACTCCAATTTTTGAAAGGTAAATCTATTCCTGCCGATAGTACTCCTTCGAAATGAATCCATGTTAGACCAGAACATATTGTTGTCTGCTACCCCCAAATTCTCCTTATTCTTTTCTATGATCTGTCAGAATACATTGTACTTTTTTATTAAAGTTGTGTTGTGTTAAAATCTCCACGACTCTTTTCAGCCAAATTTTTTGGAATGTAGTGATACCCGATAAAAACCTGTTTTATCCTTGAATCCCTTAAATATTTTATGGAAAACCTTTGTAAGCACACTTAAATATTTTTTAACACCATAAAAACCTTGCTATACTTTTTGCTGCAGTCCTTTATCACCATAAATTTCCATTTTTCCTCAGTTATCACTTCATTATCTTAAAGCCCTTTAGATCTTCCAGTATTCTTTTGCGTCTACAAATTACAAAACTGCAAGAGACGGCATGATGGTAACAGGAGATAATAAAAAAAGTATAGCGGTTTAGGAGGGAACGTTGGAATTTGGAACTTATATGGAAACACTTCGATTGAATGTTAATAGAATATGATGGGTTTTGAAATTTTACGATATATTCTAGAATTTGAATAAGATGCCCATTGCTTTCCGTAAAATCCGGCAGTAAATTCCACTCGTTAATCGCATTTTTGATGTGATGCTGAACTTCTTTTTGCTCTTCTGCTACAGTTAATTCTAACACGAAATCGTGGAAAGCCCTTGGTTTAATTTATTGTATTTATTGTGAAGTCCTCCCAAATCTCCTCAATGATATTCACACTGCCAGAGCCTGGCTGCACTCTTTTACCATTATCAATTTAATAATTTTAAACTTTTTTTGCCTCTTTAATCTACAATTTTAATTTTCTTAACACCATCAGCCTCCATTATGCTCTCTTAATGCGTTTTTTTGCTGCCGCAAAGTTTATAAAATTACATATGGTAGGATGCCTTTGGAATGCTGAGGCAACATTAGATTGAGGGAAAATTATGGGGATCTGATGGATAAAAGGTTTCAAATGGGTATTGAGGGAATGAAGTGTAAGGATATGCCGTGAATTAAAGGGAATTCTGCTTGTACCTAGATATTTACCTAGCTTGTACCTAGATACCTAGATATTTTTACTATCTTTTTATAACCATGCAGCGGAAAAGCTCTCAGTGTGTGTGTTTCGTTAGTTTGTATTCTTTCCGTTAAAAAAGTATCGTTCGTCGCATATCTCAAACTTGGGCAATTAAATCTTTAATAGTAGCGACATAAATAAATACAAAAATTGTGAATTTTCGTGGTCGTTAATCTTGGTTCTCTTCTCGCTCTACTGGCCCAGGATATATCGTAACTTGTTATTGCTATAGTAGTTTGTTTTTGGGTGTGTCATCATAGATTTCTTGACTCCTGAATCTGTAGTAATTAGTGCAGCCAAGCTAGAAATTCAGCGTGAAGAATTTTATTGCCAATCAATGATAATTATTTATTATAAAAAAATTGTTTATTATAAAAAAATTATTTATTATAAAAAATCATCCATGGTACAGGTAAAGATCACCATCAACCTCGCCCCTTCTACCAGAAGCTTAAGAGTTTGATGATAAGAGTTTGATTTGCGCACTTTTTTTTAGTGCCCTGTTTTGGACTGAGATCTCTGATATTACGAATTGAAGCCATTTTCTAGTTTAGGGACCACAGTTCCAAATGTTTCAGTTATTACTGGAATTTGTTGTTCCTTTAGCTTCTCATACTCTTTCTTGCTAATGTTCTTGTCATTTGATATTCCGACACCTATCACCACTGCCAATTTTTGGTTCTTATATACTGTTATGACATCTGGTTGATTGATCAATACTTATTTGTCTGCAGAAGTTCAAGATCTTGGCCTTATTATTTACCACGATTTTCTAGAGCATCTCCCGTCTGATCTTAGAAGGGTCTAGTCCTATGAAGTAGATTTTCCTACAGACAATGCCAGCTATTTGTTTGCCTTTCACTGTATGCTGTTCCTTTTATCATTCCATTATGTTTCTGAGACGGTTGGATAGTTTCTAAGAACTTTTTTGCAGTTTGCTCTCTGATACCGGTTACTGTACTACGATAATATCTCAGTTCTGCATAATCTTTGGATGTTGAACTTGAGATGGAAGTTTCTGCTTAATATAATATATTAATTTATCTAATATATTAATATAATCATTTTATTAATACCGATTATGTAAGCTTTCTTTCACTGATTGAAATTAATAATCAGTACCTTGTTAGTTCCACATGAGAAACTCATGTAGTCTTGGAAGGAAGCATCTGAACCAGTTAAATTTATTCATTCCAGAAATCCTTCCAAGCAGATTTGATATGCTTAAATATGTGGAAGAACATAAACTTCCATCATTATATACCGTTGATGCGAAACTGAAGGGAAACATTGGTCGTTTTTTTAATCATAGCTGTCAACCGAATATCAAAACGCATCATATATACGTCGACACCCATGACTTTCGTTTGCCCTGGATTGCTTTTTTTACTGAAAGGACGATTGCAGCTGGATCGGTAAGTTTTAACTTATTTACATTCATTTATATGTCACAGTTCATGAACAGATTTTGATAGGATTTATTCGCATCTTATTTTTAAGATGGAATTATTTTTCCAGGAGCTTTGTTGGGATTATGGTTACGCTGAAGGCGCCGTAGACGGTAAACGCTTGGAATGCGTATGTGGCTCGAAGAATTGTCGAAAGAGACTCTTATGATTTTTATTGAAATAATGACATTTATCTCTAGGTATAAATTGTAAATTTGGAAAAATGGACTTGATAATCTCGTTTTTACATAATTATGCACCGGCGCAATTTACTCGCTTTCCGATAAACCGTTAACAAAACAAATTTATATATATATTCAACCAAAATAACAATGATAAGATATCCAGTATAACGTCAATCTGTTGAAAATCAGTTACGTTAAGGCATTATAAACTTCCATTTTTAGACTAAAGTAGATTAGAGCGAATTAGGTTAAAAAAGAGATTAACCGTATGAAAGAACGCCATGGAATATCTAATTCGTTACCTTGAAGGATTCATACGACAGAAATTCAAATTTTAAAATCTAATTATTTTTAATGAAGGACGAAAGCAAATTATTGAAATTACAAGTGTGTATAATTTTTTACTATATTATACATTGTAAAAAGCTATATATACAAAATAAACAAAAATTTATGTGGAAACGAATCTGAATTAAAATCTATCGCAATCAACTATATATAGAAGATGTAAAAATAATGAAATTTAACGCGTTTAAAATGAACATCTAAAAAATCATATGAATCGTTTTTCAACGTCCAGCATTTCTTTTGTATAACAAAAATGATGCAAAATACCAATTCCCAATTAAAAAAAAAAAAAACAGAACTGACCTAAACTGAACAATGCAAATGCGAATCGAGTGAGATGCCATACTTACAACAGCTAACTTTCGAAATTTTTATAACCATGATGGCGTTATGAGACATCGTGCAACTGTTTGCATTTCTATTAGCGAACTTTTATATGATGATAAAAAGTTAAAATCAACCTTTGACTTCACCACCGACAGAACTTGTGTGATATCCTGCAATAAAAAACAAAGAAAATGGCAAAATTACGAAATATACACCTACTACCTATTAGTCATCTAATAATAATAAAAATTAAAAAAAGATTTAGCCAAAATATTTAAAGACGCGCAGCGAGTAGGATTCGAACCTACGCGGGCAGAGCCCATTGGATTTCAAGTCCAACTCTTTAACCACTCGGACATCTCACTATGAATATGACTAACGGCAACGAAAATTCACTACTAAAATGAATTTTTCATCCATATTTATCTGAATCAGTCGTGGAAATTAGTAATCTTTGACGAGTTAAATATCTCTCACCGATTCATTAAGCATAATCTCGCTAATTGGATGAAATATTTCACGAATGAGATGAAGTAAATTTCTCGGAAGTTAATCGCACCAATCGTCTATTCTAGACTTATGACTTACGAATATATAATAATATTACGCCTTACTTTAATAAAGAAGATATGAAAAAATTGTACTTGATCGTAATCACTGTTCACCACAGGAACGAAATTTTCTTCATCAAGTAGTTTCATAGCATTAATTAACGATTCATAAATAAATTCAAGTCTCTCTACAAGTGATGACCTTAGATCAACCAGTGTCTTTGGAATATCCTCTTTGCTCTTAAAAATGGGACAAAATAAGTGAGAATAAAAAACGGATTAAGTAAAGATAAAAAAACGGAAAACCTTTTTATTCTTACGGCGAACAAATGATTTATGGCCATTATTAACAACCATTGTGAATAATTTGAGAATAATTGAAACCAGTGCAAACGTCTGCAATATCATGCTGCATTTCCGAAGAAAAGCATGAAAATTTAAAAATGTCGCACCATTCACTGTCAAATCCGTGATATCTAGAAATTTAAAAATTTAAATTTAAAACTTACATTTCATAAATCATTTTTTCCTAAGAGCGCTCAGCATTTCTAGATAAGCTCGCACTATGCACTACTGGCATGTCGGATTTGAAAAATTTTGTCACTTAGCGACAAAAGCATAGTCACTATTACTCGGATTTTTGAAAGTCAGTTCTGCCTGGCGGAAGGCAACAACCAATCGAGCCACCCCATTGCCCACATTTATTAAATAGTTCATCTTTATCATCATAACTCAAAGAAAAGCTAGAGATAATTACAAGTAAGTTTTAAGTTTTGCAGCAAAAAATTTCTCTGGAATTTAAAAAATTTTATAGTGAAAAGCTACAATATGGATTTAAAAAAGAAAAAAGAATCGAAATAATTAATTAGAATAACTGAATATTATTTCATTAAATTCTTTCAAACTCGGTAACATTCGCCATTCCTGCTCTTCAAGATCCGTGACCGACTGAAATTTTAGGATTGAATAAATGAATCCATCTCCATATATAATGATATCTATGATTTCCAATAGAATCTCTTTATATCCTCTCATTTACTTTTCATTTCATTCTATATCAATTATCTTAAGTCTGAAATCCATAACCTCAGATTTGCCGGAATCTCCATAAAATTCTAAGATAGACACGATAGATTTAATTAAAAATACAAGCAAATCTACATATTGACCATGAACATATTGGTACAGAAATGTAGATGGAGGCGCTTGCAAGATTTCCAACTGAAAAATTCCAGAGCAATACAGAATTAGGCATCAACAATCAGGAAAAAGGAAAAATGATCAGGAATCATTTTTTTTATTTGATGATCTGCGCATATATAATAAGATAAGATTTTCAAGACTAACCGAATGATGCAATTTCTGGTAATGTTGTTTGCAATATGCATAGTGTTTTAATAAATCTTCTAGGTAATTCTTTACTTGTTTTAAAGACTGTCTCTGACGCCAAACTGATGCAATGGTTCGTAATAATAAGTGTTGTAATTTCAGAGAATCTTTCTAAATGAATTCAAAATTACATTCCATTCTATCCAAATTTGAAAAAATAATTGTTGAAACCAAAAAACCTGTTCGATAAATGAATATTCACGGGCCTCTTGGATTAACCTCTCAAAAATGCCGATCTCTAAAGAAGGAATAATTCCAAGATCTCGATTATCATATAATCCGTCAAAATCTGAAAAACACAATGAAATCAAACGAAAAATTCTAGAATGATAAAACAAGACTTACCAATTACATCATCATCACCAAATAAAGTATCAACTACATGTTCAATTTTCTCCATCGCAAAGCAAGCACTTAGATGCCGGCTACGAATATCTGAAGCAGTAGCATGAATGGATTTACTGACATGCAAAAGAAATTCCACAAGATAAGGAATTTGCGAAAATGTTCCATTTTTATAGGCAGTGGTAAGGCACTCTGATATCTGAAAAAAAAAAAAAAATAGGATTTGGAAAGAAAAACGAAAATAACACAAAACAAGTGAAAAAATCGAACTCATATAGAGCAGAAGCTGGGGATTTGTACTGCTATCCTCAAATATAATTCTATGGTGAAAGGGTCAGATCTCTTTGATGCGGAGTTAGCGTCTTCCAAAACGCATAATATTTCTAATCCAGTGATACATGCGATAAAATATGATACGAGGGAGTAATAATAATAATAAATATAATAATAAATAATAATAAATATAATAATAAAGTAATTTCAAGGCTTGAGGACACGATATGTTCGCGATTTGGGATAATTACTCAGAATCTGTCAAGGCAAAAAACCTATCCCCTAATATCTTGTAAGCGCAAAGAGGTGCAAATTATAGCTGCTTGGAACTTCAGAAAACTTATGGACACTGCAACCAATCGATCACTATCCATACTCTTACTAAATACCGCATGGATGTGGCTTGTTTGTCGAAGGCAGATTTTCCTAATATCGGTAATTATTAAACCTGATGCCGAGCAAAGATATTGGTTATATCACTGTTTCAGATAACTCGAGATGTGGCGATTGCCATGTGGTGATCCACTCTGATTGAGTGGAAGCCAGTAAATGACCGTATGGCCTACGTGCGCTTCAAAGGAAAGTTTTGTAATATTTCGATCATCGGTGTCTATGCTCCAACTTTATGCGCAGATGATCACGATAAGGATATGCGGAATTTCGACTAATAACAACATCTCTACTGAAAATAATTAGAGGAGACTGGAATGCACGCATGCCATTAGGTGACGATGCAGTTTCGACAAACTTGATAATTGGCAAATATGGCATATATTGGCAAATAGGTAAAGTGCACCAATGGTGAACGTCTTCGTTTAACAGAACAGCATTTTTTTTGCTGCTTTTTTTTGCTGTTTTATAAAGACATGTTTATTTGTAATACATGCTTCCGGCATCGGAGAAGACATGTATTTACGCTGAACTCTCCGGATAACCAATATTCCAATTAGACTGATTATACATCGGTCAGTAACCGCTGGAAGAGTTTCGTACTTGACAATCACCCTTATCAGGGCGCTGAAACTGGTAACCGTGAATGTATCAGACCATGTTATAATTCGAACCAAGATTGGCATAAAAGTCTTAAGAAACAAAACAACCCAAGATTCGCAAGTATCCCAAGATTTTTCAATTACCTCAAATTAAAAAATCTGGGAGCAATAAGCGCATTTTAAACCGTTTATTAAAACACCTCAATGAAATGAATGCCAATGATATCTCTAAACAGAGGCAGAATACTGTTCCCAACTAAAGGCATGTTTATAAAAGTCAGTCACTTCCACACTAGAAGTGCTAGTTAGATATCGGAAGCCACTGTACAATTGCCTGAAATGCTGCCGAAACACGAATGTCAGGAGATCCCAATGATCCCAATTATAACGAGAGCAGCACAGCGAGACAGAAATCCTTATTGGAGTGATACGGGCTTGAGAATGGAGAGAGCGGATTGATTAGGTGATAATAGATAACTATTTCGCCTTCTTCATAGAGCAACTATAACTTAAGAAGGGGTCAGTGAAATGATACGGGATATAGAAATTTTTGCGGTCAAATTTAACTATGATGCTCCATCTGTTGCTCTAAATATAGCTGATTCACTCATCGAGTCATAAGTCTGCAACTGTGAACCACCAAGAGAATAGGAAATAATCGTTCAGAAACTTTTCAGAAACTTAAAGCCAATAAAACTCCCAAAGATTGTCTTCGGGCCAAATTCTTAAAATGTTATCCATCATCGTTCATAACTCACCTTCAACAAATGTTTCTGATATGGCAAAAGGAAATAATACCAAAAGACTGGAGCAAAGCAATTCTTCTTCCAAATCCTAAGATGACAGGACGTATTTCGACAAAGAATCAAAGAATTAGCCTACTAGATATCTCCAGAAAAATTTTCGCTTCCCTTCCGCTCATAAATAAACTCATGGCAATACCAAATGTGTCCTAACCATGTTTATTTAGATCGGGACGTGATTGTGCTGACTTTACGCTAAGAAAGTGGAATATCGCTTCAAATACCAGTAATCGATCGTCACTTGCTTTATCGATTTTTCAGCTGCCTTCGATTCGATTGATAAAGTAGCATTCTGGAAAGTGATGGAATGTGACGATGTCTCAGAGATCATTCAGCTCATAAAGGCATTTTATCAGTATGCCTTGGCGCAAGTCTATATGTATGTGTATTTATGGGGAAATGATTGACCCTTTTGAAATGAACAACTGGTGTCAAGGATGCGTCCTTTCACCCATTTTAATATTCCATATTTAATATTCAATCGTACAATAGACTGGATAATGGGCATCGCTTGTTGGCACTCAAGAGGTGTAGAAATCAATTCAGAGTACAGGATCACAGACCTTGAATACCGATGATTTAGTCCTTTTGTTGACGGTTACAATGAAATGCAAATCATGTTAAACAATGTGTCAAAACTGCAACTAAAATTGGACTCAAAATCAATGTAAATAAAAAATGAAAGTGTTTTCGTATTATATACAAAAAGCTGATAAAATACCTATTTTTATCAATGCATTTTTGCCCATTAAGGAAATGAATCACTTTGAAAATCTTATATCCATTCTAATCCCAAACGGTCAGAAAAAGGATGAAATTGTAATCCGGATAATGATAGATGGAAATATGTTTTCCTCGGCTAACGAAACTTTTATGGAACCTTCGCAAAATCGTCATAAAGGCAAAAATCAGAATTATATAGATGCAGTTGGTTCGATCTTGCTATATGGCTGCGAAACATGCCAGTGAGAGTGGAAAATATTAAGAAACTATTGGCCTTTGATTATTTATGTCTAAGATGTATTTTATGGGCCTGTCGAGCGGACAAAATCGCACATGATTGTATCCATTTTTGTTCAAAAACCACCTGTATTAATTAACAATGTTGTCAAAAAGCGTCGCCTTCGCTGGTTAGGACACATTCTTCTCCGTCCACCACAGAAATTGACATATTTTGTTCCTTACCGAGCCCTGTGTGATGGTTAACGATGAGGACCATCTGAACTGATACAATCAGGCATATGAGGATCAGCGATATATGGACTTAGACGATGGAAAAAAGAATGGTTTCTATTATTACTAGCAATGGCGCCGGAATGAACAGCTTGGAAACGTAGCCAATGGAATCATTAATGGTGAGAATTGTTAGAAGAAAAAGAACTCACACAGGTAGAATAATATGGAGAATAAAAATAAAATATGAAAAGAATAAAAATGAAACAATGGAAAAGAATTAATTAAAAAATTGAACTTAAAGGATTGAACTTCACAATGAAATATAAAATAAAATACCAAAAGCCAGATATGTAATAATGATAAATAGGAAACCAACCTCTTTCTCACCTTGATCAAAATGAGCACTCAATTCAGTGCAAAAACAATTACCCGTTTTGAAAAAACCGTATAATTCAAACAATCCAAATAACAAATATCCTTAAACCAAGATTTCAGATAATCTTTATTTATAAGTAAATTATTTAGTAATTTTAACTCATAATCAAGTAAGAAATCCTAGAATGATAAAAAAAAAATTTATCGATTACATCATCATCACCAAATAAAGTACATGTTCAAAAATTTTCTCAGTTGCAAAATAAGCAGTTAGATGCCTCATTAAAGAAAAATATTAATGAAACAAAATGAAGAAAATGTAGAAAAGTTGAGAACAAATTTTATGAACCTAAAGTATCCCTCTGTACATATTTTATATCCAGTGAGAAAATCTGATTACGCACTGGTTCAATGGCACCAAGTTTAGCATAAACTCGACAAAGTATAATTCGAAGACTAGAATCTAGGGTATGATTATTCGATATCCATTCTATTAACATTACAATTTCATAAAGTGAAACAGAATCACCTGAAAATCAAAGGATTTGAACGATTATTTAATAACATTTCGATTTCTAGGAAAAATATTTGTGAATTTTTATCATAAACAATAGAAGAACAATAGAATATATATTTAATATAATTATTAAAAAATCTTTTACTAAAACATCAATTACAAACCATCTTTGACTGCAATATTCCACAATAAATGAGCAGCAATATTTGCATAAGCTGCCACTGTAAATGCATCGCGACATTCTTTCACAGAAAGAATTATTTCGGAAATAATTTTTCTTTTTTCAGGAGGTGATAAATCATTGAATAATCCCAACGCATACTGACAACGATAACAGCAAATTGCAACCCAATGTAACGAATTCTAAGAAAAAAATTTTTTGTAAAAAATTTTTGCAAAGAAATTGAGCATCTATTAATAGATCTGACGGTTAAAAAAATCAAATCAATAAGGATATCCACTTTTATCTAACGAATAATCGATAAAATAACAATGAATAGCCAAATACCTCATCAATTCCTGTTGAATTTATAAAATTTTTGATTGCAGTAATAAATCTTTCGATTTCCTTTCTATCAAGCAAGCAGAAGTAAAGTTTAATATCGAAAAAACAACAAGGTTTTGAATGAAATATTTTAATATATTCAATAAGGTAATCGAATGGATCGCCTATGAAAAATAAAAATTTATGGCTAAGACCTCTATTAAAAGAAATTATCAAATGTTTTAATGATTAATTAATAAAGTGTTAATTGATCAATAGTGACAATATTTATTCCCAATAAGTTTACATAAGATCACTGTTTAATGAGCTGAAAACAATTTTAATAAATTTTTAAACTAAAATAATTTAAATAAATTTAATCATCCTACCCATTCTTGGGAACAGGATGGTTTAGTGGGTTGTTGCTCAATCTGGAACGCCAATAATAAGATTCTATTCCCCGCAGAAAATCTGTCCAAAAATCCGGGTGATGCTGGCGATTCACCTCTATTTCCACCGCCAAGGGATTTTTTAGAAAATTTCTGCAATGCGACAAGCCAGTGGAGAGGGTTTAACCAATAATGGTGAGAACTCTTAAAAAAAAAAATCCTACCCAGATGTAAATCATTCAAAATATGACGGTCAAAATTTTTTTCCATCAATTTACTTATTAACATTAGTCTGGCAAGGTACGGGCCACGAAGATTTGTTGCTTTCACGTTCAGTGTGACTGCATCAATCGATGAAGAAACACAAATAGCAATTTTGTTGATAAGTCTGGCAAAACAATTAAGTTAGTTAAAGTCGAAAATTAACAAAATAAAAAATGAAAAAAATCTTCCTTGTCAATAAAAATCAAAAGTTCTGTATAATAAGCGCGGAAATATTTTGAAATGATGCGGAAAACACACTTTTTCGATTTAAAGCAAATATACGCATTCATGAAAATATAAAACTATTAATTATTGTTAATGTTAATAAATTATTCATGAAACAGTAAGACACTAACATATTCTGCATCTCTACATCGCAATATTCCTTATCCATAATTGCGAAGGCTGACTGAATCATCAATTTCCATAATAACCAGTCATCAACGGCTTGGCTGGAATACAAAAAAGAATTAGAAATTATTAACAGTAAATGCAAATTTTAACCTTAATTTCATATATAAATGAGATAACCAATTTATAAAAACTGGTAATCAAGAAAGATTGTAAATTTCCGAGTTTATTTCCAGCAAAGAATGGATCACACCTATTTTTTAATTCTGAAATGCATCGATCAATAACCAAAGAATATTTTCCAGCTAATTCAAGAAAGTTTAGGATCCGCTGAGCCAAAATCTGTGGAGACTGATATGTAAAACGTCGTGCGACCGGATTAACTGAAAATAAATTACAAAAAAACGATGCAGAATATCAACAACAACATTCATTACAGGAGAGAAAAATGTATTACAAGAGAGAAATTCGGCGGCCTTCTCAAACTGCTTCGACCTTTCGAGAATCATCACGTAAATGTCGCATTCTAAAAAGATAATAGATCGGATGAAACATCAAAAAAAGGAAAAAGAAAAAAAAGAAATATGTCAGGTATTTATTTTTCTTGAAAAAAACCGAATTCCAATAAAACTATTGAAAATTTAAAATAAATTATAGTGAGAGAAAAGAAATACAAGAAAATATTTAAAAGATTGTTGACAAGAAAACAAATCTGAAAAATTCAAAAGCAAAAACTAACCTGCTTCTGACTGAATTGAATTCGTATTAATCATTTTTTCCACCATTTTTTGAGCTAATGCAAATAGCATCGATTGACTGGCATCGCCTTCCCCAGTAATTGCCTTTTAGTGTATTCAATTATCAACAGAGTATCAGATAAATAAAAACAGAAGAAAATAAAAACCAAAGATAAAAAATACCTGCATTACAATACTCATTACGTTCCAAAAATAATAGGGATTTCGTTGAAATTCTTTGTATAACGATAAGGCAGTTTTTTGTTGCATTTTATAGTTTCTAACACGGACATAGCTCATAAATAAATGCGTTAAATATTGTTCATTTTTTGGAAAACGATTGCATATTCCTTCATAAAGTTTTGTTATTCGATCAGGAGTGTATGCTTCCTGTAAAAAACAAAGATAAAGAATTCGCCAAAGAAAAAGAGCCAATTTAAATCCAAGAAAAAGATCATGAGCTTTAAAAAAACCTAAAAAGAATAGAAAGTGGAAAAAAACAGACTTTAAAGCAATGGCACAATGCCTGAAGAGTACTTTCATCGAAATTATTATCTACCGTCGCTTCAACTTCATTTATAATTAACCAAGCTTCACTAACTCGATCACATCTAATTAGTGCAAGAGCTTTTAAAACCTTTAATTTTCATTTTTTAATGCATCTCAACAATGTAACTTTAATGAAAAAAATAATTTATTCCCATTTTTCCTTCAGTCATACAGTCTTTACAATATATTTAATGCAACAGCGATTAAGCGATTAAGTAAATAAACATCGATTAAAATTTGCTAAAATGAAAAATTTTTTTTCACAAAAACCGAATTAAGAAAAATCAATAATTTGCACAGTTTTCGCAATTATTTTGCCGAGAATTATTCAGAATAAAATAAAAACGAATTCAGTTTCTCAATAACAAAATAATGAAAAATTATACCTTGGCAGCGAATGTTAACGGATGTTTTTTCAAAATTTTATCTGCTTCTTGAATCGCTTTTTTGTTATTACCAATATCAATTGCATCTAAACTTTATTCTATTGTATTCCAATTTTCTGCTTTAATCCATCAATAATTATGGTAAGTTATTTCAGTCACATAAATTAATTCTCTGATATCTGCTGGAAAAAGATTTCTGAATATAATAGGTTGCCAGAATCGCTTAAATTCAACATGTGGCCATTTACGATTATATTTTATTATTATTATCATAAAGAAGAAAAAAAAACTTTTCGTTTGCCTGACCTTCAGCGAGACTGCATGAGCAAGGAATAAAACTGTGACTTTTCCCTGCGTTCCTCCCTTTCTCACTACTGTTTGGTCAACTAAGCGCTCAACTCAGCGACCATCTTTTCATCGTTGGCTTTTCCCTCACAGTCGGATCATTTCTCCATTAAGAACTTACGCAGTCACATTTATTACATCCTTCTCCACTTCCTTATCGATCAATAAACAGCTGGTGGCCAGATAAACGAAATGAAGCAAAGAAGAGAATTTACCGTAAATCGGCCTAAGTCGTCTCTCGAGAACTATCTGATCGCTTGATTTTATCATTCGAAAAATGAAATATTTCACGAAAAATATTCACCCTACAAAAAAATAAAATTATTTCTTAAGAAAAATTCGCACTTTTTGCATTTCGAAATGCCATTTTAAAACTTTCAAAATTAATAAATACATTTGTAAAATTAATAATAAATAAATAATTCGAAACAATCTACAATTCCTATTTAATCGCCTAATTAAATTATGAATATTAATTGCTATAATCTATAATAAACGCGATGATTAGTAAACCGATGTTAAAACATATTGCCATAAATGAATTTGGAAAGATAAAAACTGAAAGCCGACCGTTAGACATTACTAACCATCGGTAAAGTTATATTGTCGGACTTTTTTGCTTGAGGTTCTTATTCTCTCTCATTAGTGGTTAGGCTTGGTCCGTTAGCTACAAAGGCGGCGCTTCCCAAGTTATTCGGTCTGATGTCGAAACTAATAGGGGCATTTTTCTTTCCATCGTTTAAGTCCATATATTGCTGGTCTACGTTCAAAAGTCTTTCCTAACCGTATCTGTCCAGGTCTTGGTTGGCTCACTTCGCTTTTAATTCCACCCATCATAGGATTTAGCAATTAATGAAATATGTGTCTTGCATTTGGTGACGAAGAACCAACGAAGGTGACGCTCTGCAATGGTACTGTTAATATAAATGGTATTTGAATGAAGGTGAATGCGATCATATGAGATTTTATCCATTCGACTATTCCGTAAAATCTTAGATATAAGTGGAAAGGTGACTTCTTAATATCCTTTACTCCACTCGGCCATGTCTTGCAGCCATGTAGCAAGATCGAGCGAATCGGTGCTACATAGGCGCGAGCCTTCGTTTTAATGGTAATTTCGTGACCAGTCCATAAAGGCTTCATCAACCGGAAGAAAGCATCTCTAGTTACCATTATCCGGTTGTAATCTGGGTTGTTTCATCTTTCGCTTAGTCATTTGCGCCCTAAAGTGGATCCGAGAAGTCTGACACTGCCTCAACTGGCTATGAATTGATAAAAAATAGATATTGTATATAAGATTAAAAAGCTTTCATTTTACATTGATCCTGAGTCCGATTTTCAGTGCAGTTGTCGACACATTGATTAGCATATCATCATAACAGTAAAAAGGGCTAGTGCATAATCAGTGCATTCAAGATTTGTGATAGTATGCTGTGGACTGATTCGTACATCTCTTGAGTGCCGACAAGTGATGTCCATTATCCAGTCTATCGTATATTTGAATATTTTAGGGGAAAGGACGCAGTCCTGGCCGACATCAATTTTTCTCGGAAGAGTCTGTCGGTTCCTTGCATACACAGAATTGTGCCAATGTATGCTAATAAAATAGCTTTATGGGGCGAATAATCTCTGGGATACAAAGAATTCCATCGCTGTCTAGAGCGCTATTCCATCAATCGAATTGAAGACAGTCATAAAATCAAAATCGAAATCAAGTGACGGTGTTTGCTGGTATTTGAAACGATGTTATAGTACTCTTCTTAGCGTAAATATCTGGTTAACACAACCACGTCCCGTTCTAAATCTAACATGATTAGGACGCATTTTATTACCATGAGTTAGCAAAAGGGAAGCGAAAAATTTCCGGAGATGTCTAATATGCTGATTCCTCAGTAATTGTCGTAATATATCCTGTCACCCCTTTCTTAGGAATTGGAAGCAGAATTGCTTTACCCCAGTCTTTTGGTATTATTTCCTTTTGCCATACTAGAATGCATTTGTTGAAGTTGTGTTATGAACGATGATTTGAAGAGTTCAAATGATGACCACCTTCTCCTGGAGTTTTATTAGCTTTAAGCTTCTGGATGGCAAAGATTATTTCCTGTCCTCCTGGCGGTGTAGTTCATATGGATCGGTTCAGCTATGTCGGGGACAACAGTTGGCTTATCGTGGTTCATTTTCTTGCCTCAAATTCCTTTGATCTTGTGAGGTGATCCTTAATAAGCACATCTTTGCTATCCCGTAATGAAGCCATTCTCCAGTGGCGAATTTTATCTCATGCCACATTTGTCGGAAATTCCGAAATATTTGTATCATAAAATTATAAATTAGAAAGTTTGTATCATTTGGTCAGTTTTCATTGTTTCGTTGGGTCAGTTTCCATCGTTTGCTCGGGTCAATTTTTTTATTGTTTGCTTCATTTTATCATTTTGTGGTCATTTTTCTTTTGATTTTCGTATAGTTAGTGTTCAGCATTGTTTTATGCACGGTGGCAGTTTCTTAATATCTCTTTTAATTTACTACGTCATTATATAATTTATCGCACGTCGTTTTATTATATTGCTATCTGAATAGTATAATAAAACTTTCAACTGGTTGTAAATTCTAACATCAATTTGTGAAACAGTCGACAAGCACGTAGGTCATTCTTTCAAATATTTTATCTATCTGAATTTAACAAAATTTTTCACGGCTACATTTACCAATTACCGAATTCATCATAACGGCATCACGATCAGCGCGTGCATTCCAGAATCGCTACGCCATTTCGCCCGAATTACAATAATGATATAGCTAGTATCTTTTCTCGGAGCCAGATTTAGTAATTGCACGAGATACGAAGTGCGGAAAACCGATCTCCAATAAGTAGGCGGTAGCCACACGACGTTTAGAAAAAATGTGGACAGTGATCGCTTGGCTTGCAACGTTCATATGGTTCTAACGTTCCACGCTGCACGGTTAAGACCTTGCCATGCCTGCAGTCATTCCATTGATAGGTTTCGAGCAGTTATCAGTTATATGAGCAGATCATATTTTCAAGCATTGAGATCGTTTAATTACACTTGGATTGCATACTTACCTCCTGTATATGTGTCGCAAAAAGCGAATAACAAAAAAAATAAATTCTTCAAATAATTCTTGGTCAGCTTAGTCAGCTTGCTAATCAAGAATTCCATCAATAATTTTTTCATACGTTTTTTATTTAGCCACATGAATCCCCAGCAACCACTCGGATTTTTTATATCATGGCAGACTCCTGTAAAAGTCAAAAGCAAAAAAAAAGTAAAAAAGAAAAAAATTAAGGATGAAAAGTAAACTAGTGAAAAAAATTTTTTAATATATATATCTATATATATAAAATATGAACCAATATATGAAGTATTTTAAAGGCATTGGGCACAACAATAATTGCTCATAGATAAAGCAGTCGCGTTATAAATTTCCGGCACCAATCTGTGTAGCTTTGATTGGCTATAGGAAAGCCCCACACATGGACTTTCGGATATCTAGAGCTATACCAAATCAACAGAAGCCTTAAGAATTCGCTGAGAACTCAGTGGGACTGTAGAAAACGACACTTGAAATTAGCTCGAAACCTGCACAAGTAGCCAACAAGTGCGGCATATACCAAGACGATTCCTTATCTCCCCTATAGGCCTAAACTCCCTCAGCCAAATCACCAGAAGCGGATATGGATAAAAATCCCAGAGTGGAATTAACATCAGCTATCTTTTATGCATGGATAATATTACGTTATATGCAAAAAGTGAATGAGATATTGACTCGCTCATCCATGGATCTATAATTGAGAACATTGGAATATCATTTGGATTAGAGAAGTGTGGCAGGATGGTAAGAGAAGAAAAGTAGTAATGACTAATGATGTGGACTTTCTATCTGGATATAGCGGTATAGCAGCTGGCTACAAGTATCCTGTTGCAAAATGGCACCAAAGACTAAGCTGCTGAGAAAATGTCTTTCAATATAGATATTGGAGAAAAATCAAGAGGAAGCAACATGGCAAAGTAAAACCCTTCGTAGCTACAATCGACAGATAATTGAGGTAGCTGTTATTGTGAAATTTTACCCGTGGTTAGAGAAAGCCGGACTAAAAGGCAATACTGAAGCATTGATTATAGCATCACAGGGATAAACACCAAACACCAGATCCATCGAAACAAGAATCTGCCACACTAGACAGGACTTTAGATGCATACTGTGCAAAAATGCCTCTGAAAAAGTCCATATAGTGGAAGGATGTAAAATGCAAATATGAACACATGCAACACTGAAAAGCATAACCAAGTAGCTGGCATCAATTATAGAAAAATCTGCTTGATATATGGCTTTGACTCTCCAAAGACTAAATGAGAGATTCCTCAGAAAATGATAGAGAATGGTAAGGTGAAAATCCCCAAAGACTTCCCCATCCAACCAGATAATCAAGTACTGGCCAATCAATCAGATACTGTGGTAATATACAAGAAATCATGATTGATGATTGATATAGCAATACCAATCAACGGGAAAAAATGAGAAGTTAGAAAAATACCGAGGTCTGAAAGAGAAAATTTGGAAAATAGTAATTAGAAAAATGGCTTCAGTAGATTCCAGGAACAAAATCAGAGATCTTTATCAAGAAGATCGCACCATTAGGAACAGCTAAGATAGTGCACAGAACCCTCAATCTCCCAGGCCTCTGGTAAAAGACGCGAGGTTGAGGATGGATATGATCACCTACAAGAGGTAAAAAAGTTTTTTTGTAACTTAATTGATTTAATATATAATTCATTTTTATTTTGTTTTAAAGAAGTTTTTAAAAAGGTTCATATTTTCTGCAATCTAATGGGATTATGATTAATGATTGGGTCAAATGAGCTTTTGCCCTTCCTTGAAAAAGGCTCAAATCTGCCCTATCAAAATTTTTCTTCTTTCATGGGAGTAAATCTATCATTTGACAAAATCCGGATGGTGCTGGAGATCTGCCTATGTTTAAAATAATTCTACAGCAGAAGGATTTTATCCTGATAGAGAATGAACCAAAAATACTGAGTGCCATTAGAAGAAACAAAAATGGAATAAATGGAATACACATAAAAAGTGGACTGAAGTAAAGTTAAGCAAATCCTAGAGTTGGCTCTTCTCTTGTATCCTTAGCGAGCCTTACCGACAAGAATTAAAGCCAGAAACATAGTAGCTTAGAGAATGAGAATGGAGTAAGGAATGAACTTATTGCACGCGTAAAAAAATTTTTCAAATAAAGATCAACACATGTCCAATCTTTTAATGTTACTTACATTTCTGTTCCTTAAGAAATTGCCATAATTCACGAATATCACGAAAATTTGAGCAACGGGCTGGTGAACAATTTCTATTTCTATTATTAATGCAAAAAGATATCGCATATTTCTGAATGGCAACTTACTGATTGTCTGATAAGTGAATGATAAATGACATTCATGGCCTCTTCTACTGGTATTTTTATATTTGTATTTGTTTTTACTTTTTTGCCGTCTTTGTTTATTTATCTCTATTTATGTTTCCAACATTTCTTTGCATATCGCTTTTTTCCGTACCTTTTCTTGGTCGTATTCACAAGTAGTTCGCATTAATTTGCCCTCTGTAACGATTATAAATAATCGTTTTTTTATTTTCCTTTTGACTCAACATTGAGGAAAGGAAATGAGCATCGCTACTTCATTTCACTGGAAAATGCTGATTTCTTCCTTCAAGCATTTTCACTCGGTTGTCGATGCTTTCTTTCCATTAGTTTTGCATTTTCCTGCACGATATGCCTCTTACTTCTGTTCGTGCATGTGGTGATCATGGACAGACAGGAAATGTGTAGAAGCCGAAAGTTCAGTGAAACTGAAATGTGGGCATCTTGAAATTTCTTCTTTTTCTTTCGAATATGATATGAAATGTGATAATTTTATTTTAAACTTTTGAGATTTTCCATCGAATCAACTTCTTGGAAATGCTGCTTTGCATGCATTTCTTGCAGCAGTTGCTGCTGTACAACCGTATGAACGAGTGCGAAATGTTAGTTTATGGCTTTTAAAATTCAATTTCAATTATTTTAATTCATTATTTTTTAATGGAGATTTTTTTGCTGTTTTACTTGGAAAATATGAGGTTCTTAAAAGTTTTAAAATTTATTTTACATTCTTCTTTGAATTTTTACATCCGTGAATTTTTTCTTAGATTTTGCAACTGAAAGATGGAAAATTAGTGTTTGGAAGACGAATATTAAATGTAAATAAAAATATATATTTGGCAGCATTTGGTAAAGCAGGATTGGGTATGGTGCAAGGTGCAGAAGATGCTCTTGGTGATAATATCATTGAAGGAATTGCAAGTGTGCCTCGAGGAACGATGAAAACTATGTATTTTATTTTGCGCATTCTATATATTTGTTAGGAAATATTTTTAATAATTCGATAAATGCTGAAATTTTCGATATTTGAAATTGCAGTTTCTTTTTACATTTAATGGAGAATGTTAGCCAGTTTTAGTTGGAGAAATTTAAAATTCAAAGAAAAATTTTAGATCCAAATCTTACCATCCAAAGACTCAGTTTTTTGAAGGCGCAACGAATAATTTACCCGACAATGATGCATGTTTAAATGCAGCAAAGATTGAATTAATGGCAAGAAAGCTGCGAAGTGCGGATGATATTTTTCTTGTGTTAATTTCAGGTCAGAATTATTTTTTTAATTATGAATTTATAAAAAATCCAAAATATTTTTTTATCTTTTCACAATTTGTAAAATTTTTACATAATCTTAATTTATAGGTGGTGGATCTGCGCTTTTGCCCGCTCCAGTATTTCCTATCACTTTGGAAGAAAAGTTACAGATAACTAAATTGATGGCAAACCATGGGGCTGATATTAAACAATTGAATATCGTTCGCAGAGCTTTATCTCGTCTGAAAGGCGGTAAATTGGCCCAAATTGCAAATCCTGCGAAGGTTTTATGTCTTTTTTTTTGCAATTCTCATCATCTTTTTATCGTTTAGCCATTTTATTTAAATTCATACTTCATCAATTAGTATTTTGTAATGGTACTTCAAGAAATTGAAATGTATAAAAAGTAATTTTAAAAAAATCAAGGTTTTAAAATATAGTGTCGGCAACATTTCCTTCAAACTTATGCAAGAAAAAATTTGATTTTTTTATCAAATTTTAAATTACATTAGCAAGTAATAACTAAGTCTTTCTCCTGTTATACTCAAATGCATAAAAATTTAAGGTATTATCGATAATTATTTCCGATGTAATCGATGACCGATTAGAACTAATAGCAAGCGGACCAACAGTTTTACGAGAATTCAGTGGAAATGATCATGAACCAATTGAAATCTTACAAAAATTAAACGTTTTGAACGAGATACCTACGAATGTACGAAATTTTTTGAGCAGTTTGGACTTTGAACCTTCAGAAAAATATCAAGTAAAGTTAAAAAATTATCCCAATCTTAGCTGCATTAATATTTCTTTAAAAAAACAAAATTGTGGCGCAGTAGAATTATCTGAAGCAAAATGTTCCAGTTGATTTGCATAGTTTTTTCTTTTAGGGCATCAATGTATTAAATATAATCGTGGCAAATAATAAAACTGCAATTAATAAAATCAAAGAAATACTTGAAATGAACGGTTTTGTGTGCCATATCGTAAGCACCATGATTGACGAAAATGCGAGCAATTTCGGTTACCAGTTGGCCATTTTAATTGAAACAATTTTAATGGACAAAAGTGGAAAAAGAAGATTCGCTGCATTTGATATTGCAAATGCTGATCTTAATTATCCTGAAGCAGGTCGAACTTTTTTCATTCCCTTATTCATTTTTAAAAGACTTAGAATTCAGAACAGTTTAGTTTAAATTTATGGACCTCAGAGTTTTTTGTGATAATTATTGGCTTTATTTCGTCTACTTTAATCGTTAAATAATAATTACAAGTAATTATTATAAATAATTATAAATAATTACAAATTAAAAGTTGCAGACCAACTTGCACTGATTTTTGGTGGTGAATGTAAAGTTGAAATAATTGGAAATGGGAAAGGTGGCCGAAATCAGGAAATTGTTTTAGCTGCGTTTTGCAAGCTACTTGAGCTCAACTATGTCACGCTGCTAGGTGATTTTGCTTTACTGAGTGCTGGTACAGATGGTCAAGATGGCCCTACAGATGCAGCTGGCGCGATATTAACAAAAGAAGACTTGGCTTTTGTTCAGAATGATAAGAGATGGAAAAAGAACTATATAGACTCGTTCTTGTCTCGGAATGATTCATATAATTTCTGGCAGATTTTTCGTAATGGAAGCTGCCACCTTAAAACAGGTCCAACTGGTACAAATGTTATGGACTTACAAATATTATTGTTTAAAAAATACTAATATATTTATAATTTATAGTTCAAATAGTTTAAATATATAGTTTAAATTTATAATTTATAGTCTGTTTTTTAATTTTAATTTTATAATAAAGGAAATTTATCATATTATCTTAAATTATCTTAAATAAAATATAGGGATTTGATTAAATTAAAAGTTTGAAATTCACAGCAAGCAATATTCATTTCTTACTAATTTTTCTAAAAAAGTTTGCAACCATAAGTACTCGTAGATTTTATTATAATTTATCTTTGAAAACCATATAATCTATGCAAAGGAAATATCAACTGTTTTTTGTCATGTCACGCATATGCGGTTTATATCGTATATTCTGAGATTTGAGATCTTGAACAATATGAGACGGTAATGTTCCCGACACCGAAACGGCATAGATACCTCTTGCCTAAAAATCATTACAATCATTACAGTTGACGACATCATTTCATTATATTTAATTAATACGATATACTTCGATATTTGCCATTTTTCTATATTCGATTGTTTTGAATTTTTTAAAAGCAAAATAATTTTGTATTTCCTCATTAATAAATTAATAGGATTTAGTGATGAAGGAACCTTTCGATTGATTTTTTGCCATTTGCAAACCCACGATTCATCCGGTATCATCGCTGCGATTAATCCATCGAAATTTGAGCTGAAATTTGTTTTACCAAGTTGAATTTTGCTGTCAAGAAAAAAGACTGCATCATTTCAAAATTGCTCGAACCTTGTGCACTCGCTTACTTTCTCTTCATCACCTTTCATTCCTAAATATCTTTCGCAGTTATCACAACCATCCATTTCGAATTGTTCCACACTTTTAACCATAGAACATAATAAACAAGCTCTCAGATTACGCAGCTCCCTGGGTATACTTTCAATAGACATTTGTTGCTTCTATAATTTTTAAATAATTAGATGGAATATCAAAATTATATTACAGTATTTTGTAACGAATAAATATACGTCAAATGATATGAAACAGCAGAAAATAATCGAAATCGAATTATAAGCTTAAAAAAATTTTCTTATTAATTGTTTAGAATGGGCTGTACAAGACAATTTACAAATGCTGTAAATTTTTGATTCAGTCACTGAATAAACTCTAACAAAAAATTTAAAGCAATACGTATACCATAAATATAAAAACCGATAATGCGAATGCAAAATTATTTAAAGGCCTAGCAAAAAACTGCAATAAACGACAATTACGATCAAACGATCAATCTATTAGTAAAAATATTTGCACACTTTACATAATTTTTTTGTACATAATAGTTATAGTGCATAATAGTTTTTGTTTTGTTGAAGGATAAGGCAAGTATGATACTTAAACCACAATATGAATATGTATACACAAAAACATTTTCTAACATGGAAATCAAAATCGAAAAGTTGACTGACACTGAAATGGACTAATTATTCGCCTAAAACGCGTTATAACCGTTTAAAGTGCAAATAGTCCTGTCACAACAAGTAGAAAAAGAAAAGCTTTTGGAAAGGAATAAATTATAAAGAAAATTGAAAAAATAAACAGAAATATTTAGGCAAGATTCGGTATTGTGATGAGTTAGAAAAGGGGCTGAAGGAATGCTGCTGCGCCATAACATGGATGGTTTTTAAGAGAGAGAAATAAAAAGGAAAACAAAACTGGAGTTGAGAGAGAATTAAGAGGAATAGGTTGGATTTAAGGGAATATTAAGTGGATATGCAATAAAACTGTTAAAATATTTAAGACAGCGTTATAAACGGGTTTTTATAGGATTTTAATGTGTTAGCTGAAAATAAGAATGACAGGTGAGAAAATCATTTCCGCATAAATCTGAGACGTCTGAGAGATCCGAGAGCTTGAAATCATAGTCGCATTTTCATAATCCTCTCCTCAGCCTCTCCTGTCTCATTAAACAAACATTTTAATGACTAGATCTACAAAACATGCAGCTCGCAATATATCTTCACATGGACAGTGAACATTTTTTTGATAATGGCGATAAATCTCTCTTAAATTCGCAAATTTTATTTATATAATTTGAATATGAATTGTAACTAGTGATTTTATGCAGTTCTTGAATGCTTTTCATTTAACCTACAATGTACATTGATCATCTTCTATTCTCAAATACAACCGTCCGCCACTTTTGTATCGAAATAGCGCTGTTTAAGTATGCAGACCTGACCCGGAAAATAATCAGTATAATATTTCTAAACAAATATTATACCACAGACAATAATTATTAGAAAATTTTTTCGTAATGAAATTAAGCTTTTATTAAGCAGATGAAATATATCTGGCGATTGATCGACGTTGTCGTCTCGAGCAACTGAAAATGAAAAACATTCCATGAAAAAATGACTTAAAATCAAAATTATATTAAAAGTTAAAAATAATTCGCTTTTTTTGAGTCTGACAGCAAAAAGCAAATGAAACGCGCCTTGTAGTTTACGACTATATTGAACATTCTATTCTATGACTCGATCGAACTTCAACAAAACTTAGGATCAAAAAGAAAAAACTTGGAAATTAAATTTTAAAGAAATTACCGCAAACAATGCTTGCTTTTCTTATCGAAGCAATTTTTATGAAAAGCAGCACAACAATTCTGGCAAACCGATGTACCTTCTAAGAAGGGAAAGATAATCTGAAATTTTATGTTTTATATAGTGAATATATAATTAAAATAGATTATTAAATTTTTAAAATGCATTTTTTAAATTTTACATAATTTGTTGAGAAATCCATACAAGATAAAAAAATAAACAAGTATTTAAGATCTATTAAAGATAAATTCATATACTTTCTCATCTGAACAGATTTCACAGAAAAATCCATTTCCTTGACAAATCTCACATTCTTTAGTGATATGATTAAAGAATACAGTAAAAATTTGTTCAATTTCTGGAATAAGTCGATCTTCCATTAGATCGCGTAAATCAGACAAACTATATAAATTCGAATTGTCAACAAAATGTTGGCGATGATTTAAATATTGTAATATTCGCAATTTACGAGCATTCTAAATTATTGTTATTGGTGAAAAATTAATGAAAAAATTTTGAAAATTTTCAAGAAAACTCGAAAAAATAAAAGTTTCATTGGAACAAACCATATAAATTAGTGATGGCAATATAAAGAATAAATGCGAAACCTCACCTTGCAACATATAAAGTAACATTTCATAAAAATGATATTTTTTCGTAATTTATCTATTCGATTAAGCTTATCGACGAATTTTGGCAATGATGGATTTAATTTTACGATATCAAAAATTGGTCTTCGCTCAATTAAGACCAATAATTGTTTCGAAGCACGGCAAACCTACAATGATAATAGTATTAAATTTAGTCTATAAATCGAAGCAAATTTATAAAATACAAATAAAAATATGATGAAAAAATACACTTTATATTTCTGAAAATCCCAGTTATGAACGATTCGCGCTGGTATAATGCATTGGTCATTCCAATGACATCGGGTACAATAATAAAAGCCATTATAATCACAAAGACGAGGTTCTTCAACTGAAGTTGATCCTTCAATGAAGCATCATACAAAAAAATTTTAATGAATATTATCAAAAAACAATACAACTGATAAGAAAACAAAAGAAAAAATAAAAAACCTAAAATTACCAAATTTCAAAGGAATTCGACATTCAGCACATTTATAATCCTGGTCGCTCAACTTCTGTTCCATGCAAATATCCAAGCAGATTCTGAAAATTATATAGAATATTAGAAAAGATAAATTATTACTTATGAATAATATCCATCTTAGACTAACTATTTAAAAATAGAAGAGAACAGTTGAAAAAAGCCTACTCAAACGATGAGTGATGCAACTTCGTAGCAACACATCGACGCATGATACCATCAATACATTTTTCGTGTAAACGCATTCCACATTCTAGAAATTAGCTGGATAATTTTAAAAAAACAGAATAAATCAAACTGGTTTCAATTTTTTTCATCTTATTCTTATTTATATGCAATTTTATATATTTTCTACTGTAAATAATGTAGCATGAAATCCAAACAAATTTCTAAAAAATTTTTTTACAGCTGGAAATAGTAAAAAATTTTCCAAACCTTCGCATCTCCTATATCTTTGTAGAACCCGCCAAATTGTTGTTAAGCATACTTCACAATAGGGATTACGTCCACTAATCGCTTGAAGTGCCAATATATGACCATTTGAAATAAGAATATTTTTCCATTTCGCTCTTTTTGCAGGATCGTTCGATTCTTCCTAAAGAAACCATATTTTTTATTAGCATTTTTCCAAAGTATTATGATATGATGGATGCAATCGCTTAATAAATTATTAATAATTCAATTAACAAATTCAATCAAAAAATCGAGGAAAAAAAATTTGAAACATTGAACAATTTCGAAAAATTTACCCTTAATCGGTCGAGTTCGAGACTGCATTCGATAACTTTGTTCATTAAATGCCTGAGTTCCTTCTTCGGTATTTTAATCAAATCTTTCTGTAAGTGAATGCAAAAGAAAGGAGCTATTTCATTTTCGCTCACTTTTCGAAACGACGAAGATATTTATTTTTTCTTTTCTATTTTTTCTTCTTGCAATAATTTTATATGTCTTTATTTATCTCATCTCTCTCATCGCAATATTTTTAAAAAAAATAATGAACAATTATTACTATTTTTTTCAATGAAAAATAGCAAAAATAACAAGCAAAAATAAAAGAATAGTTCACAAAAAATAGAACGAACTTCCATATTTGATCGAATTTTTGCTTTACAAAAATTAATGGTAAGTTGAAGTTCATCTTCATGTGTAATTTCTGAATTATTTTTCTTTTGATCCTTTATATAGTCAACGATTTGTATATCCATTTCTTCGCTGTTTACATGACATAATTGGTGTTCTTCGAAATCGCTATAAATTTCAACTATTATTTTAAATAATAAATTTTAACTATTATTAAACATTGCAATATTGTCAAGGAAAACTTTAAATATCATTTATCTTACTACAACAAATGTTATGAAATATTAATTAAAGAAATAAAAGTATAATAGAAAAGCAAAATTATACGTGAAAGATGGCTTGTCCGTTGGACGAGTAGCACTCCCCACATCATAATCACTAGCAACTGATAAAACAGCATCTGGCTCAACGGTTTTGTCTGATAGTGTGCTACTTTTCATGACGTCAAATGTCGATAAAATGGAACATGGCACATTTTCCACGAAGTGTATTTCACCTGATAAAATGCTAAGATCATACTAAGATCATGTAGAACAGCTGACAAATTATTTTTGTCTTCAACCAGATCCTTACCAGCTGAAAAAGAGGCACTGTGCCTAACGAGGATTTTATCACCTTTCAAGGTGCCATTATCAGCGAATTGACCTTTTTCAGCCAGTAAAGTACCACTGCCTCTAAAAGCAGCTGTTGAAGTTTTGTTGTCTATGGTGTGAATGCTATCAGCTGACAAAATAGCATCTGAAGCATGCTCCTTATCAGCTGACATAATGCTGGCATCGTCTGTAAGACTCTTATCATTTGACGAAACAATATCAGTACGACTGTCACTAACTGGTAAATTGTCCATGTTTTCTTAATTTCGGTTTCAATTAACCTGAAACGCCGATAAGTTTTTATTAACAAAATTATTGAGTCGAGTGGTATGAGTGGTTGCTTGGACTGAGCTCAGATGATGCAGCAACAACTGGAAACGAAATCGAAACGAGCACAAAACAAAAAAAGGAAGTAAAGATGGCCCCTAGCACCACTCAGATCTCAGTTTGAAGATGTCAAGGAGCAGCGACCGAAAGCACGCCGATTTCCATCGCACAAAGCAGTCTGCTAACAAAGAAACCTTAAGGTTATCCGTCTTCCGCTCCTGTAAAGTGCTTCTCACTGCCAAAACGATTCTTTTTAAGCAGTGAGGCGCCGATATTTCAAATTTCGCGGCCTCAAATGTCTGACGTAAAAATCATTAAAAGCAATGGGTTAATTCCAAGATGTCGTTGATTCGATTCAAAAACTTGCATAAAAATTGGAAAAGCAGAAAATTTTAAGATTTGCGAATTAATTTGCGGGCTTATTACAGAATAAAAAGTTGTTATTCTCTATTAATTGATCGAATAAACGCGTAATTGGCTGTAAACTTAGGAAATAAATCGCTAAATGTTGCACGATCTCCTCGATAACCGTTCTATTTTTAGCAAATCATGCAAATAGAGATTTAAAAAATGAACGAAAATTTACCGAGGAATCTGAAGCCGAACCTGACAAATAGTTATTGTCACGTCATTATTCCCCAACGTGGAAATGCGTCGGTGCACCAAATTCTTTGCCGCTCTGTTTTTTCTTTTGTTTTACAGTATTTTCGGTTCGTTTTTCTCGTTTCCATTATTCATGGCTTTCGACTATTCCTAATTTTTTATCACTGCGATCGTTATTGCCAGAAACTATAAGGGGAGGAGGGATTTACAACCATTTCTACTGTTACAAACCAATAAAAGTAAAAGCTATAAGCGAGTCCGGAAATGCGGAACAGTGATCCCGCTCGCCCACCGCCGAACGCTTTCACCTCAAAAAACTTCATCGGCCGTATTATAGCCATGTATTATTACGTAGAACATGTTATTGTTATGTAAGCGTTCTCTGTGATTTCTGCGTATAAAACTTGTTTCTCATTCAGCATATATTTTCGAGGAATGTAATATGCTGTTTGCTGATATACAATGCAATAATTTTTTTTGAAGGGTGCTCACCATTACTGATTAAACTCACCCCACTGGCTTCTCGCATTGAGCAATATGCCAGGGAGTCCCTTGGCGACAGAAATACAGGTGAGTCGCCAGCATCACCCGGATTTTTGTGCAGGTTCACTCCTGCGGGAATCGAACAGTGCAATAATAAACGGATGTTTTTTAGAAATCTCCCCTCTCCAGTTCCAGCTCTTTGATACCAATGTTTAAATTCCAGTTTTATTATTGCACTGATTTCCAATTTTTATTTGGTATATTATACATATGTGCATTTGACCTTGTTGGGCACTACTTAAAGCATCTAGGCCGATTGATTTGGTTCTCTGAATTATTCACCTCCCCATTTTCAGTAGTTATTACTAATCTCTTATTCTTTTTATCATTTGATCAAGTATTATTATTAACCGTTTCATACTCGACATTATATCTGATGAGAATTTTTTTCAAGAGTGGAAAATCAATTTTTCGAATGGATGTGACAGTGCATTTACCGGTTAGTGGATTGTTGTCGTCGAAGAAGGATAGTGAAAAAGTGATTGAATCATCAAATATTGCTGCTGTTGAAGAGAGTTTTCCCTCAACATCGATAAATACAGTTATAACAAGGATTGCAGCACCTGCCCCACCCACTTTAATTAACCCTTATTCAAGCAAGTCACTTTTAACAGTGGTAACGGCTCCTCATTCTTCTCAGATTTCCTCTACAACAAATTCAGTGGCGAGAATAATTGATCGAAGTTAGTTTCGTCTTTTTTTCGATGAAATTTTTGATAAGAGTAAGAGATGATTTTATAAAAATTACGTTTCCTTTATTTTGAACTAACTAGCTTGAAAGTTTGTAAAATTTGTCAAATTGTTTAAAATCTATGTTTAAAATCTATCTGAAATTACTTATATGTTTGTTTTAGCCAAAAATAAAATAAATCGATGAAATTTGTAAAATTTTTTTTAGAGAAATTTGTAAAATTTTTTTTAGAGAAATTTTCCTCAGAAGTAGATGCTTTAACGGACGTTGGAGTTGTTCGTAAACCATATCCATTAGTAGGGAGTCAAACTCTATCTAGATCGCCTTTAACAAAAACTGTCAGTAATCAGCATGCGAAACAGTACCATTCTAAACGTGTCTTTAAGGTATCTGTTAAATTGTTCATTGTTTATTGTAAGAAAAAAAAAGGGGAATCTTTTATGCCATGTTTATTACTATTAGTTATTATTATAATTGCTGTCATTATCATTTTTATTTTTGTTACTTTAATTATTTTTATATTATTCGAGAATTTTTCCAAAGTTTCGCTCATTTTTTCATATTTTTTGGTAAGGTAACTATTTTTTAAGCTCTTTTGGTTTCCTTTTCATTTTATTTAAATAATTTTGGCGAATTCTTGGAAAAATACTGCGAAAAATATGCAAATGTAGTTTTAGTTTGGAGTAAATTAAAATAAATTTATTGTTTTTATTGAAAAATAAATTTTGAAGATATTTTCTTCATTCTTTTAATTAAAATTTGTAGGTTATTATATTGGGCGATGCTGGTGTTGGAAAAACTTGTCTGAGTTTTCGATTTTGTAATGGAAGATTTCCTGCACAAACTGAAGCTACTATTGGTGTGGATTTTCGTGAAAGATCTGTTATTATAGATAGTGAACTGATTAGGGTCAGTTGTTTGAGGTTGAATTTTTAATAGAAGCATTATCTACAAAAATAGCTAGCTATGACGATTTTTCCTGTTATTTGAGCAGAATAAATACATTATGAGAACGTAATAAATTTATCATGAATCATAGCCACAAATCTGAAATTCGCAAAATGTGGGTTGAGATGAGATGTGGGATTATCGATATATCTACATTTCATCAATTCAGCTGAGTGGATATTATGTGAGGTGAAGATATGAAGATATGATTTTAATTTAATGGAAGTAACTCTTCACATCACTCCTTTTTACTTAATTTTCAATATTTTAGATCCAGTTATGGGACACTGCTGGTCAAGAGCGCTATCGCCATTCAATTGTATCTCATTATTATCGAAATGTTAATGCTGTAGTATTTGTTTATGATATTACTTGTCCATCATCATTTCGATCACTTTCTAGCTGGATTGGTGAATGTCACAAATATTCTGTTTCTGCTAATAATGATACTCCACATATTCTTATTGGCAATAAGTGTGATTTAAAATGTGAAGACAGGGTAAAAACTGATTTAGCTCAGGTAACTGCCTTCTTTCTAGTTATTCTAGTTATCCTGTTGAACATTCTAGTTATAATTTAATGTAAAGTTATAATTTCTATTTGAAAGAATTGTTAAAAGAAAAGCGAATTTCCGTTTTTTTACCAATCATTCTTTCTGAACTGAATTGATTAAAGGTTATTTACATAAAAAGTTTTAGTTTGGTTATAAAATTTTCTTTGTTATTTATAAATTTGCAGATGTTTGCTGATCAGAATGATATGGCTTTGTTTGAAACATCGGCACTAGTAGATTCTGAAGCTGACCATGTCGAATCAATATTTATGACACTGGTACATAAGTTACAACAAAGTAAACCGATGCATGTTCAGAGTGATGCAGAAAGGGCTCAGAAAGAAGAACGGCTTTTGCTGAAGGCTGACGAAGCAGCTAAACTTGCAGAAGAACAAGGCTGGTGTTGTTAATTTCTTTTTAATTAATATTTATAATTAGTATTTCCCAGTATGTTTTATTATTTTTAATTTATACAATCATACCGAAGGAAAAGGCCTTAATTTATACCGAAGGAAAAGGCCTTTTCATTTTGAGCTTGTAATGGTGGGTAATTTTACTTACTCTTCGGTTTATTTAATACTTTCTAGTTTGAAATATTTTCTAGTCTAGAAAAATAAAGAAAAATAAGAAATAAACAATAAACTTTTTAATTGATTTCGGATTATTGCCATTCATCTTACATCATCCGATATACCTTAAGCTGCCACTTGAATTAGTTGATACCAATATAATATAAACTTTTATTATTCATCGTTGTTGTACGCTAGATTTCAATTTAATCTGTTTTAAAAATTGAAAATATTCCGTTTTTTCATGTTTAATTATGGGAAAATTATGGGAAATATTATTAAATTATGCTAAATATTTTTTTTGGGTTAATTTTTTCATGGTCTTTATTATTGCTCCAAACAGATGTGCTTCCTTGTTTTTGCGGATAGATTTTTGATCATGCTAATTGTCGGATGTTAATCGATTGTTTTATTATAGATATTTTGGCATAGATTAGATTTTTTTTGTATGGAAATTTATCAGCCAAGATGAGGTATCGTTCTTAAGAATAGTCCTGTCAATTTCTGTTTATTAAATAGTTTCTTTTTGTATTTTGTTTCGCCATTATTTATTTTTGTGAGAATTCATTTCAATTAATTGATTAATTAGGTTGGAATTTTTTTATTTTTCCAAGTATTGAATATATTTACATTGCATAAAAAAATAAGAAAAATATTTGGTTATTAATAAATGATAATATTTAAAAGAATTAAAGGTTTCAAACTCAAATTTTAGATGGATCTTTTAATTTGTTTAATTAAATCAATTTTTTCACAAACATCTTTCCTCTGCCATTTGCAATAAATGGAATCTGGTCGTATATTATCAATATCGACGCAACAATTGCATGCAAAATTCGCATATGTCGTTTTCGAAAGAGATCGTAAAAATTTTACCCATAAGAAACTGTCGTTAGAATTTTGAACAAGATTTGCGAGAAATGCCCAACAAAAATCGCCTACAATTCGTTTCATTTTCTTCGCATCAATCGACTTGCAAGATTGATACTTTGCACATTGAAGTAATTGAATATAAGTTTGCGCCTGTTAATTATAAAAAAAAATAATTTTAGATTTAAATAATTATTTAATTTAAAAAATTTAAAAAAAATAATTTTTAGATTTGAAAAGAATTATAATTAATTTGAAGTAGAAAAATAGAGGGGTGGGTTTAAAAAGAAGACTGTGGTAGAATAATGATAATCACAATGGCAAAGATAAAAATAATAATAATGATTATATCAAGCGTTGGTAATCCAGATGGTACTGGACTTATATTTGACTTTAAAATAAAAAGATTTCATCTTTACAGCCAGCCAAAAAAGAAATGAAGTGCTGTTAAATTAACAGTGATAATGATAAATAATATTTATAAGATGCCTCATGCCGTATGAGTTTAAAAAAAAAACGAAAAAATATGCACAATTGGCACAATATAGATTGGTTTTGATTGATTTATCTGGCAAATTGAGTGGGAAAAAATACCTTGTAAATAATAATAGCAAATGACTTCCCGTCAGGATCAACCAAAAATTGGTTTTGCTGTTTGACTGCAAACATCTGATTGGATTTACTTAGTATCGCTACTATGCGATCTGAAGAATCTGCGTAAGATATTTCCAATGGTATGACTGTAGGTGGTTCCTAAAAGAATGATTTGTATAATCATAGCTGATCATTTCATTTCGACGTGAAACTAACATTGATGGGTTTTCGATTTATGGTGACGGTCTGTGACAAATGCATGCCTTCAGGCATATATGAAACAGCGACAACGGGTACAAAGGCCTTATAAAAATAATCTGTGAAGAATTTGCCTGAAGTTCAATAAGTGTATTGGTCTGTAATATAAAATATAAAATTATCTAGATTAATTCTATTTTCTAAATCCTATTTTAGTAGATATGAAATTCATGTAACAATTCCAAGTGACTCTGGCGAATATATATAATCCTCCTAATAGTTATCAACAAACCAAATCAGAAACGATGAGCGTTATTAAATCAAATGTCAATTGTCAACTGGTTTAATTTTCATCCTTACCAGCCAATTCGTTTTTTGTCTCTTCGTTTATTATTTGGTGCCATCTTTCGAAACTAACATAGTCGTATGCATGGTTTTTTAATAATCTCCTGAAAAATATTGGTTATGAAGAGCAACATGGTGACATCATCTTCATCATTGTTTTCATTAAATTAAATTAGATCAATTATTCTAAACAAATAAGCAGTTTAATTTAAATGACCTATATATCATTAACAAGCAAGCACCACCTATTTTTTTTGGTTAGCTAGATCCGAAGGGTGGAACTTTGCTAGTGTGACGATAGAGGGAAGTGGGTAATCAGCACCGCCTGAATTTCTTAACAACAGGCTTACTTATATTGGAGGCGCAAATTATTGCTTGGCAATTCGATTCAAAATAAATAAAAATGAAATTAATGATGAAAATTAAAGAAGTGCATACATGGAAAGTCGTTTTACGATATTCGGGCCAAATCCAGATTCCAACATTAAAAAGAAAATTGTCGCTTTATCCGAACATTTAATTATCTGAATTATTTCTTTGCAGATTTACAGATTTTCATTATAAAAATGAAAAAAAACATCGCAACAATGAACGAAAAAAGTAGAAAAACATCCTAAGAATTGCTTTTGGGAAAAATTTGAAATTTCAATTACTTATTCATATGAAATTCATGTAACAATTCATGTAATTTTGTTATTAAAATTATTTGAACAAAATGGGGCTTAAATTTTTTCAAATATGTGTTTATATTTTTTTCTAGCCGAATGACGGAATGATGGCGTGAATAACAAAGTATAGGTGGTTAATTCTAGCCAAGCGGCTCACTGGAAGGCTCATCCGACAGCGAATGGTAAAAATGGTAAGCAAACAAAAATTCAGGCGCAAATGGCAGATGGTTTTGAAGACCCATCTATACTTCTCTCGCTTCAAATCCACTAACTTTGCCCAAAGCTATAATCCACACGGTATTACGAGAATAATCGTCTCTATATGATAGGAGAAGAATGAATTTCAAGTTGTATCTTGATTGTATTTAATTTTTGAAATATTCTATGTGGATGCAAATCGATGAATGGTCGTTCAATTTTTTACCTTTGCTCCTTCATTTGGTACTGAGAGGAGAGATATTGTAGATTAATAATGAAATGATAACATTGATAAGAAAATTACTTCTGATTTCTGATTGTTTATTAACGAAATGTTCGAATCGCTTTCATGTTCAATTGCTCCGTAACGCTTCTCTTGTAAATCGAAATCCGTCGTTATATCAATTGTTCCAATAATTAACCAAGAAAGATAATTGCACAAACCTTCCTTTATAATTTTATAAGTTATATATTTCATTCTTTTAAAAACTCTACAAATTCAAGGATTAGCAAAATTTGAAGAAATTATGAAGCAACTAGCCAGAAGACATTGTTCTCTTTTATTTTTAATAGAAACAATATTGCCGATCCATTGTTGTGCAACCTGCTGTGCGAGTGTCGAATGTGTTAAATAATACTTCGGATAAGCAATAAATTGTTCGTTAAGAATTATTAACCCAAGGCTACCAATACCATTCATTGGAAGTGCAGTTGTCAATAAAGTTAATTTGTTCAGCGGAAATTCATAATCAGAAAAGTTCGACAGAAAATCCACAGCCTATGAAATTCGTTAATTTTAGTATACAAATAACCACCGAGATGAAGCGGTAAGAAATATGATGCTTAAAGTGGTCCAAACCAGTGCTCTCAAACTATTTTTTCTGAGGACTCCATTAGAAGCCTCGCCTCGTTTATAAGAGTTATACTTTTCTATATTTATCTATATTTCTATATTTATTTATGTTTTAAAATTTAAAAATTTTAAATTTAAAATTGGGAAATTTTCAAATATGATATTTTATTTATTACTTGCTGTGCATCGTCTTCAGTGTAAAAAGAATTAGAATTCCAGATTCGACAGGAATATTTTGGAAGCAAAACAGCCGAAGGGCTAGTAACCCAGTGATTAAGTCAGTGCTCCGTACTTTAATGCTATCTCTTACAGAAATAAATCTGCCATTTAAAAATCTAGATGCTTTATATTTTTTTAATGCCAAGTGATTCCCCGGCAAAAACTCTTTTTAACCGAACTAACAGCAAGTGTAGCGAGCCACACTGTAATGGCAACGACTTTTCCCTTTTCGCATGAAAGGCTCTTGCCTTTTCCTAGACTGATCCTCAGATCGGTCTATTAAAATTCAAAATGAATAAACGACTTTCAGGAGGAATATTAAATTTCCATCACTTTTTATTTTGAAAATTATGTTTCTTTTTAAGCTACGAATAAAAAATATATAATAAAAATATAACCCAAAGGACTTTTTAGGGAAGGAGCTTCAATAATTAGCAGATTTGACCAGAGCAAGGAAGGTAAGCGCAGTTAGAAAAGGAAAAATAAAAAATAACTTTAACTTGGAGTATGAAATTATCATCTATTTGGGTATTTATAAAGGTCCAGATATGACATGTAAAAAAATTAACATTTAATGTTTCTTCTTTTAGCCAATCTAATTTGAGATTCTTGTCGTCTTCAGAATGTAGTATTTCCAATTCAAATGGTCCAAGCTTTCGATTGATCGACTGTTTCATAGAATACATTGGCTCAAAAATAACAAAAGCGACTTGATTTACAGCTAATGGTGGAGTTTTTTCGAAACAAGTAATCACCATATTACTCGATTGTTTTGACGACAATATTGCTGTATTCGATCTAAACTTCCAAGCGTTATTTCATTTCAAAAACAAGGAAAATATTTTGATAAATTTGATTATAATATCAAATGACAAATAAGAACTTAAAGACGGTGGAGGATAAAACAATCAAGTGTTGATTTGATTAAGTTCAAGGTTTGATTCCCTTTGGAGAATGTAAATTTTCCACTGAAAATGATGCCAGAATGAGGCTGAGAACCAATCTATGCTTTTATCTTCAAGTGGCCCTTCTACCAAAGAAATCGCAGCCTAACAATCAGTGGAGCTAATCAATCCATATGCGTTATCAGAAAAATAGTATTGATATTTTACGAATAAATAAGGAATAGTATTAACCTTGCTTTTGTATTATTTGGATGTTCAACACAGAGCTGAATAATCGTTCTTGTAAATGCATCATTGATATTTGGGAAAACAAAATTATTTGTTTGGAGATTTGTATTGATAGTCCACGGACTACAAGTAATAAAAGAAGATTCAAGATTCTACGGAAAAAAGCAAGAAAAGCAAGATAATATTTTTAAAATATTTTTGTTCATCAAATCATTTATCAGAGATGTATTGGTGTTGATCGTAGGATCAATACTGATGACTTCTTTATCAGTTGACGTATATCCAAGAGAAGCAAATTCAGAAAAACATTCTGCATTATCAGGTCCATAATTCTTTTCTAAGTTAGAATTGAATTTGTTTTTACACAAATATTTTCTGTACGATTATACTGTTCTTCGAAGGAATTAAAACAAAAAATTAATTGCGCAAATTTACCGTTTAGCCTCCCACTTATGTGGACTTCGTACAATAAATGCAGCAGATGGCCGATCTCTGCCAAAAAATGAGATTTTTAACGTTATTATATCACCAGAAATCAAATTCTCAGAAAGGTCAACAGATAATAGATCATACTGCACATCGTAGATGAATGATTTGCTGCATATTATATTTCCTGAAAATTAATTTTTAATTAATTTGTAAAATTTTTCCTCTTGTCGAGAAAAATTTCTTGATTTTTTGCAGTACTTACTGAATAGAGGGGTGGATAGTGCTAAGAATTATCATTTTGAGAGGCAAAGAACAAAAAAACTTATCATTAAAAAATTTGAATGGTGCTGGCCTGTAGTTTTATCGTTAAGTATCCCCTAGCAAAAATTCCTGATCAGACTAAAAGTCATTTGAACTAGCGCAACCAGAAATGATGAAAACTTAGTTATTTTTTAATGGATTGAACATCGCAGTTATGCTAGAAATTTCAGAGTAATGGCCGAATTAAAAATAATTCCCACCGTTGATACATTTGGCTACTTGAATATTCGACATGCTACAGTTATATATAGTAGAATCACAGTGCACATTGATAACAGATGTACCGTTTACTGCCAATGCCTAAATTTGTCGGAGAAAAATAACCTTTTGCAAAAAACTAGTCACTCAAATAAACGAAGCGATTAAATCAAAGCGAAAGATCCTCAAGAATAGGTAAAATAGTAGATTAAGATAAATAATATTTTCGACCCTCAAGATAACAGATCTAAAATGCCATTAAATGAAAATTTAAAAAATTCAGGGAAAGATTCAGAATTCAGATTTAGAAGAATGATAATAATTTTCTGCTTTCGATCTACAATTTAACAATTTTGTAATTGATGGTACTGAATAAACTGTAAATGAAATTTTAAAATTGCCGACTAAAGTCGATTGCCTCAGATTCTCAGCTTGTAGACTGCTAACCATTATGTCAACTACTCCTTCAAATGAAGAATTCTTGTGAATTTTTATATTTAACGAATTCAGTATGGGTTTCAAATATGATTCGAATCCATCAATATTGAATGCTTTCATTGTTGAGCCACGTCGCACTTTTGAGCTAAAAATTACAAATATTGTGGTTGAGCAAACTTGCTAGAATGTTTTATGAGTGGCTATTAAGATATTAAAGCATTAAACAATAAGTACTGAGCAGTGTTATCTTATCTTGTCTTTATTCAGCCTTGTTCAAGTAGAAATAGATATTCTTCACAAATCTGAATGGGATGACGAGGCTAATCATAAAAACTTTCGATATATATAGATAACAAAAATCTGCAATCGTAGATCTGCAGAAGTTGTTATGAGATATTCTATTATTATACGACGAAATTTTCAATGCGAAAACCAACAAAAATCTTGGATATTATACAATTTCCTGGATACCACTTTATTTATTAATTATTGATTAATCGCCTAATTAGTAATTAATTACTTTACAGGATAAAAACCCGTTCAATGAATTGGTGTTCTAAATTCTAAAATGAATTCGAAAATTTATTATCAATTAGCAAATCAGTAAATATCATTTAGCAGAAACGCATTTGTTATGCGAATTAATAGGAACAATTGTTAGAATGTCATTTTAATATTAATATTTCTTTTGGCATAACCAAGCATTTTGCATTCAAAGCCAAGTTTTAAAAAATCGAATAAACCTATTGAAAAGGGTGAGGAAGAATGTGTTGCTTCGACTAAATTCAAACATCATGGATTCGATTGTTGATAGGGATAAAGCTACCATTAAAAGTGGAATTCGAGTGAGTACTGCTGAGGTCCTAACATTTTTAACTCTATCTCCAAGTAACCTGGCGAAGAATTCTCATCCTATTAACCTATTAACCGTTATTGGAAATGATAAAGCCACTCTAATGTTAAATGTTGATTTCACGTTAGATACCAATATTGCTTACCTTTTAAGTGGACCTGCTTGTGTATTACAGTATTCCCCTATTCGCAGTGGCGCACATTCGGGCAATTTAATTCCATGTTTCTGTTCAATCTTTTCAGTGCCTACCGTTGTTGCAAGAAACGAAGGTTTATAGAGATTTTTGATTGTCGATGAGGAATTGAAAGCTAAAACTGCTGTTGTCCTATCGAGAGATGATTCAGTTGCACTAGTCACTGTTGCTGAGAAATTCGTTACCAATTGATTGACAGGTGGATCTGTTGTTATATTTAGAAGAGATGAAGCAGATGATAAACCATCTGTGAATTTGTTTTGACTTGGTACGAATTTAGTCGAAAATGAAACCTTAAAATCATTTCAAATCTGTGAATTCGAACTCAACAATAGAGATGGATTTTGTGTTGTTTTACTTCGATTCACCCAAAACAGTTAAATTCTTCGCTTGTTTAATTCGTAAATATAAATATAGAATGGAGCAAATTTTGGATGAAATTAACAAAAAAATTATTATAAAATGGTGAAATATTAAATATTAGCATCGAATAAAATTCCATCACCTTTTTTTCTTTTAATTACGAATAATTACGACATTTATAAAAACTCTTGTAAAAAGGAATTAGTAAGCGCAATTGCTATGTTAGTTTGTTTTAAGCAATGAATTAGAATGAGTGAAGACAAAAATTCACGTAAATTTTTCACGTTCATCATCAGATAATAAAATAATCATCGAAAAAGCAACAGAAGAAATAAGAAAACTAAACTCACATTTATTACTGTTGTCAGGAACTGGGCTGGAGTTATTTCAAAATCAAAGTCTGTAGAGATGAGTTCGGCAGGAAAAGGTAAGTTTGTCGAATACATCGATGCAGAACTGTTAAATCGTATTGCAGATGCACTGAGCGCAGTAATGTTTTGAACACTATCGATCATCTGATTGAGCTTACTGGAATTGCCTGTAGAAAAATTGCGACCAAGATTTTTTCCTTTCACGAGATTTGATAAAATTTGTCCAGCATTATCCAAGGTATGCTGAGGTGAATATGTATATGGAATAAGAGGTGGGCTAGTTGTCGGCCTAAATTTCACTGGAGATTCAGATATTTCAAAATTTTTCCCATAATAATCAATATTTTCCTCCTGAATATTCGGAAGATCGCTGACTTGAGGCGAACCAAGAGTTTTTGTTGTATCGAGAGATTTTTTAATGTCTTGAGATCTCGATGAAAAGGTAACCGGCAATGTCGACGAAAATAAAGGCTTCTGCGCCAATTGTCGAGGTGATGATAAAATAGAACTCTGAAGAATGCTCGTTCGAGAAATTTGCTCATTTGCATCTTCTAAACTAAATTCTAAGCTGCTGATTTCGTGTAAATTCTCATTTGCCTTACTCAATTGAATAATAGACAAAGTTATTGCGAATACCAATAGTATTAATAAAAAAAAGATTAAATAAAATAGGGAGACAGGCTTTTTACACTTTTTCTGCACTTTTGATGATAATGAATTACCACTGATATTCATACTATAAATAGAAGCTTACCAATAAAATGGCCCTTAGGGTAAATACAGATTGTAAATGTCCTTAAAGCCCCACCCAAGTTTTAATTAAGAGCCGCCTATTGACCTTTGCTTACCATTTGAACAATAACGATACGAAACCCACTTTACAGCCAACTACGGTTTCAAAATAATATCAGATTTTTTTGGGAAATTTATCACCGCTTGCACACCAAAGAAATGGTGCAGTTTTTCTCGCAATTGCAAAATAAAAAATCACTAAAAGAAGCACTTCGTTCAAGCCAACCTCTACCAGTATTTCTGATTTAACTTATTGCTATGGTGACAGAGACTTCTTAGCAAGAGAGTCACTTAAAGACGATAAGTGTTACGAGTGGACTCTAGCACCCCGCGCGTTCCTCATTTAATGACAACTTCATTCCTATCCTATCGAGGGATGCGAATCTATTATATAATGTCGCCGAATGGAGAATGCAAAGCTACTATGAGCTTGCAAATCAAAAGCACTATTCGCTTCAAAAGTTCGAATCATTAATTCAGGTCAATAATTCAAAGCGACACTTTGAACCAACAATTCAAATCAAAAAGACTGGCATGGAAGCTGCCAACGAAAAAGAAAGGAGCTGACAACAAAAATTATCAGCTAGCTTATCTTCAGAATTGTCTTTGCATTCGCTGTTCGGCGACACGCAGTATATAGCAATACTCTTTCCTGGATTGTTCTCTGTAAGAGAATAGACTAATCCTAAGTGCCATGCACATCGCGCTGTTTTTCGCTGTTTTCCGCTATTTATTTATTTGACTTTCAAACAGTTTATTATTTTTTTAGCCATCCATATAGATGGTTTTGCTTCAGCCAACCCATTTTGCAATTACTTTATTCCGCATTATATCAAGAAATGCATCTTGCATACGAGCATTATTGCTTATAAGGGAATTAAAGAAAATATCCGCATAAATGTTTGATGCATATTTGCAGACGGTGATGGAATTATAGCAGTAATTAAGCTGAATGGACAGTTGTTGAGGGGATCAAATTTAGCAGCCCCGAAAAACTATGATTGATTAATTAATGGTATGCAATGCCACCAAAAATATGATCGAAATCATCTCTTAAAGCTGAATGACCTATGACCTCCTATGGATTCAAAAGATAAAACCACTTCAGATATTCATGAGCGTTTGGCATTAACTCTTACGAAAATATATGATATGTCAATATTATAAAATTTTTCTTTTAACTTCTCTCTTGTCTTTCCACCTATCTCCATCCAATTTCCTCCATCAAAAAACAGTGCCAATCGTTTCAAAAGCAATTACTCGAAAGATTATAGCCAAATTGGAATCAAAGCCTTTCAGCCTGTTATTCCAGATTAAATATCTCCTTCACAGTTTGTTTTAGATTACTTCAGTTGAATCTCTCATCTCTCATTACCGTAGCCACAAAAATTTCATCAATAGAACAACTGTGGAGACTCTTGAAGCATTCCACAGAACAAACTGAAGCATTTGGTCCGATTTTATGACACAAACGTGTTTCGGCAAGCTTCAGATGTGGAAAAACTATTAAGAGCAAAGAAAAAGAAAAGTATAAAAAAGCCATAAAATAATTCAAAAGATTTGAAAGCTGCTTCCATTATCGTCTAAAAGAGTTAATCCAGAAAAAATAATAAATAATAAAGAATGGCAGTGAGAATCCATTCGAATGCGAATGGACAAAAAGAAAACTGATGTTAGATTGGCAAGTAATTTGATTTTTATTTATTTGGAACTAACTATAGTTATTCGAGCGCTAGCGGACAACAACCAAAGCCAATATTCATTGAAGCTCACAAATTTTGTACACTTTTTATTTCGATATGAAAATAGAAATTTTTCATCTAAGAAACTAAATTTCAATCTTGCTCTGCATAAAAATGTTTGATAAAAACCTCCCTGGGGGCTAGTCTCTTCTTCTTTAATAGTACTCACTATTATTTCTGGTATGGCTGGTTCCACCGAATGAACCTTCACCATAAAACCATTTGCAAGTAAAAGTGCGGATGGCTTTTTGAGCGCTCCCGGATTTTACTTTCACGCCAAATTTATTCCCCTCTACTCAAGACAGGAACCAGATCTATGATGGCTCGATTTAACTGGAACATACCATTCAACCATCCTACCTACTTCTATACTTCGAATAATATACCAACGACAATTTTAAAGGAAATGCACATATATAACCAAAATAATATCATTTTGACATTATGATCATTTGCCATATATCCAGCTTCTCCTGTTTATTTTATCGAGAAGTACATTATGCCAAATAATTTTTTTTTTTTTTTTAAGAGTCTTCACTATTACTGGTTAAACTCGCTCCACTGGCTTGCCTCATAGTGAGTCGCCAGCATCATCTGGATTTTTGTACAGGTTTGCTCCTGCGGGGAATCGAACATCAGCTGCTCCAAATTGAGCAACAACCCACTGAACCATACTATCGCCAATGGACTCCATGGCATATATGCCAAATAATGCTGACAAATGAAAACGAAATATTTGAACACTACTATTAATGCATCTATCACTCCATTAAATAAAATAATTCTAATGTGGTCACCATCACCAACAATTCTGGGTTAATTCGGCCCGCTGGTTCTTAACATAGCCAAAAATTTGCCTGCGATTCACTTTTGGCACTTTTCATTTCACTATTTGCCAGGCGATAGGAACATAGATAAGCCACCAGCACTTGGATTTTTTAGTTAATCTCTATCAATACTACTATTCATTCAGCTATTTTGCTTTCAAAAATTCTTTGATTTAGATTTTTGATTTATATCATTTTAACATTTTTGATTTCATTTCTTCATATGCAGCTATCATTCGTCTTTTTATTTTCATAAGAAAAGGAAAATTTTCTAATATTTTTATGTTCTTTTTAGAACAAAAAATTAAAAGCGTACGAGTATATCAATCTTTAAATCCGACTCATATTACTGCCGAAAATAATTTACATTTGCTCAATTTCATCTGCGTATTTCATCTTCGTCGTCACTTTGAACCAATTTTCATAATTATTTAAGATGATGAAAGTATAATTTCTGTAATCTGAAACAATATCCACTTTCCGCTATGAAATATTAAATATCACTAGAAGAATACGCAAATAAATCGCTCGGCATTACGATTGCAAACGCAACAGTCAATGCAACAAATTACAAACATTTTGCTTACGACAAAATAATAAAGACATTTTTTTTTTTAATTCCTCACCATTACTGGTTAAACTCCCTCCACTGGCTTGTCACATTGAGCAATAGGCGATAGGTGAATCGCCAGCATCACTCGGTTTTTTTGGAAACCTTTCGGATCCGTCATTTCTTGAACATACTCTCTTATTTAATTCGATCGGAACTTTTACTCATAGCCATCTATTTATAATCAAGAACAAGATAGCCCAATGGATCTGGTTATGGGACCGAAATATTGCCCATTTTTGCCTAATGCACCAATTGCATCTTATACGCTGTCTCACAAAATTGCGCTCATCTTCGTTCGAATAACACCTGCATTAAGAATGTACAATTAAAAAACCAAATGGATTTGCGACCCATTTGCAAATTCTTAACGAGTCTAACCAGAAATGATTAGCTAACCACTTATAATTAAATATTTTATATATATATATATATATATATATATTTATATATATTAAATATTTTATATATACATGACTTGGTTGATATGATGTGTGGTTGCCAGTTCTGATATATGAATATATGAATTTGATGTATGAATCAAATGTTTTTTTGTTTTACATTATTTTTTTTTCACCAATTTATCCCTGGAAAAATGAAAAAATTAAAAAATTTGCACAGAAAAACCACACTTCGAACAATTTGTAAGCATGTTGTTTTGTTCGACGACAACGATAAGTTGTTCACGACAAAATTCCCAATGTTTCGTGAAGATTTCAGTAAAATGTTCAAGAAGCATATTGGGTGAAGTTATATAACTGGATAAATAGATGATATAATTGCATTTTCCGCAAGAGATCGACGATGAATTCGGAAATGTTAGGCTGTTTTTCTAAAATTCATTTAAAAACGGTAGAAATCATAAAAGAATCTAATTAATAAAAAATGTACAAAAACAGCGCAATATTTCAATGAAAAAATATCAAATCTTATTTCACATAAAACAGTTAACAAGAAATATTGGAAAATAACTTTGAAGAACTGAAAAAAAACCTGACAGGATGGACATATCACTTGTTCATCCAAATATGATGCAAATTCCGCTTCGATTCGTTCATACTCCACTTGTAACAAATGCTCGTATTCTAAAATACTCTTCAAATCGAATAAGTTTGGCAAATCGCCCAGAACATACCATACAGAATTCCGTATGCATATTTCAAATATTTCAGCACTTATTCTTTTTTTCCCAACAATCAATTTTGGTTTCATTCAAGAAGGTCCTTTCACCAGTTCAGTTTGAAGTAGAAAGGGATATATCTAACCATCTGATTCAATAAATAAGCTTTTTTCCAAGTTGTTCAGTTATTTCGATTCATTTCTTTATCAGATTTCAAATTAAAATTCAGTATGTTATCAGTATATAATTTTCGAAGATCCCACAATAAAAATGGCTTTATCAATAGTGCCCAGAAGGATTGCGAAGTTAATTAGTTTGACTGCCAAGTTCCAACTAGAATCTAATCTTTATCCATCTGACTAATTAACTTCTATTTATTCATAGGTTAAAGCTCTGCTTAATTTTTTTCATTTTCAATTCTTTTTTTTTTAATTTAATTTCTTCAGTGAAAAAAATATAATTATTACTGTTCCAATCATTTATGAACATTTTATGCGTCATACGTAATTTATCTCGCTGTATATTTTTACAAATAGTTTGTACTATTTAAATGAAAAGAATTTGAGTTTTCGAAGTGCAAAGTTGTAATACTTCTGTGTCTATTATTTTATTAATAAAATATTTGTTTAAAATATCTCAGCAGCCTGTCTTTCATAGACGACAAACAAATCTAGCGTGACAGAGTTCGATATATATGGAATTTGGAAGCGTCGAGGAACGGCCTCAACGGCCTATATTCAGTTCTTTGCAAAACAAACAGATAACCGAGAAGAGAGTATATTAAAATGGTTAAAATCCGATCATAATCTCAAAAAATACCACAAAACAGATTTGATAATAAAAAATTGCGATTCCTTGAAAAAAAATCGTAGTAAAAAAACCTTGCACTAGATCTTCTCGTAAATTCTCAAGCTGTTCAATATTTGCCAGCAATTCGTCATTATTATCGGTACTATTATGTTGTACTGGTATAAGTTCCTCACTTATAACATCAGTATATTTTTGATTTGCAAATGACAGATCAATGCCACGAATTGTGTTTGCCTTCTTCAGACGCCTTTCACGTGAAAGTTCTCTGCATTTCTGGAATTATTTTATAAAATAAAAAAGGTGATAGGTGGGTGCCAAGGAAACAAATCCAGTGAGAATGAGCTACTGAAAATTATTGAAAGAGATGTGACATACCCTTCTCAGTTTCTCCTTCCAATTGCTCTTTGTCTTGTGAAGAGATTCATAACGTGATGCGCCCACGGATTCATTATTTACATAGTCACGTAAATTGCTTATCATTATGATTGCTTTTCGTAAAAATTTACTATGTTATTCACTAATTCTCTGAAAAACACCGAATATAGAACCAAGAATAAACCATGCAGTTCAAAATCAACACGCATAAAGCGCGAGAACTGCAGCTTTCCATATTTAACGACATTTCTACTCACCACAAAATCTGTTTCATCAATATTAAAGTATTTGAATGAGAATAAAAAAACTTTGAGAACCAACTCAAACGAAATTCAGAGACCCAGTAAAAAATTTAAACTGAGTCAAAATTTTTGTAAAAGTCACCAAGACCAAAATAAAATGAGAAATTACACAAAAAAAAGTCTATCAGAGCCTTAAGAGCTAAGGCAATTTTTTAAAAACAACCTTATAACACAAAGCCTTTTACCAAATTCTTTTCCATTTTTAACCAATTTTGACCTCACCATACCGATTTCTAAAAAGATAGGTCCGCCATTGTTAACAAGTTAAAAATTCTACATCTTATCATTTAATAAGCTTTTATTTTTCGATGAGATATAAAATTCTTTATTTTTTAGATACATAACGAATAAAAAATGCACATCAACCAACTCAGTTTTTCATTAATTTATTCCAAAAAATATGAATACTTGTGATTATGAAATTAGTAATAGATGATTGATGCGAGTTGTAGTTGTAGGATATTTGATGGAAAAACACACAAGAACAATGGAAATAAAAGGTTTAACATAGAAATTTATTCAAGCTTAATGATACTCCTCGATTTTATTTTTTGGTCAATTTATTAAAATTAAAAATCATAGAAGTTTATTACGAAAAATTATATATCATATAAAAATACGATAAAAATTTGCGAAATTGCAAAACAATCTTCCTTTCTTTTGTCGTAATTTCCGACAAAGGCATCATTTATAAGAGCCAAATACCGATCCATAATATTCCGAAGGTTGAACATGATAAGGTGGAAAATATTGTTGATATGCTGGTTGTTCACGATGGTAACCAAAATAACCATTGTATCCAGCCTGTGCAGTATTCGGCAAACCATAATTTGGTTCCAGTGGATTATAAATGGAAGATATCGCTGGTCGAGAATAAGTTGTTGGCTGACTACTATATTGTGTGACTGGAATCTGAGCTATATTAACATTAGTCGAAGGTTGAACGACTTGCATTCCAGCGGGTTGGCTTGTTGCAGATGCAGAAGAATAATGACACTGCATCTGATCTTGCTCGACCGCTGCTAATTGTGTATACAAATTCTGTGGATATGCAGTTATGAATGGATATGGCTGTTGAACAGTTGGAATCTGTTGCAAATTCATATTTGAGGAACTGAAAGGAATTGCCTGATACTCATTTTGATGATGTGAACCAAGCGGATAGCAGAAAGACTGAATGTGACTGCCAATATTTTTTTGCTGCGATGTAAAAATATTTATGTCCTGTTGTTGCGATGAATACAACAATGAGACTGAACATGAAGGATGAATTGCTGAATTGAAATATTTCTCATCATCTACTTTCTCTTTAGAAGTAGTTAAAACTGCAGTCACTTTCTGCGCCAAATCGCTCCATTCATTTATTCGACTGGTAGAATATACAGATTTATTTGAGGATGTTACGGAAACACTTTTATCATGATCCTCAATAACACTTTGTGATGGGATAACATTTGGGTTATCTTCAGTTACTCTCGCAAGATCTAAAGCTGTACTGTAACTGCTAAGAAAAAAAAAATTAATGTGTTAAGAAAATTACAAATAAAAAAATTAGACTTATTTATCAGCTTATTGAAAATTCATCTATATCACTCGAGTAACAAAACAGATATTATGTACTTGAAAATGATTCGCTGTTTAAATTCACTGATGACAAATTACTATTTTCTTCCGATTCGTGATTTTGCCATTGCAACAACTCATCACCAAGAAATCCCTTTAACATGATTTAAGAGCAAAATCTAAAGTTCAAACATTCAACATCAATTCAATAATTATCTTCAAATTTTTCATACGAAAGGTTGAAATTGGAGAATTTCAATCCCTATTTACAATTACTGGATATAAAATTATTATTATATTATTATTTACCTCTACCGTTATTATTTTTATTTCATTTATTATTTTAATTATTATTACTATTAATGTTACTATTACTTCCCCTAATATCACTAGTGTAAGTAAAAAAATTAATGGCAAAATTGTAGATGACAGGACATATAAGACCATAAAGCCAATTATAAGACCATAGGTGCGGAGATCGACAGGATAAAGGGAAAAAAAAATGGAAAAATAGAAAAGGAAAACGAGCGCTTGACTGAAAAATGCAGCAAAAAAGTGGTTTGAAAAACAAACTTTTTTCGTATTATTCGCACGATTATTTGCACCTGTCCACAAAGCCATTGCCGGGTTTTTTTGGAAAAACCGTCTAGCATAATCGACATATTTTTCTTTTGCCGTCATTTTCCGATTTCTACTATCTTTTTCCAAGTACTCTTTATTCATTTTAGTTTTGCCTAATTGTTAATATTCTTCTTAGCATCGTTATCTTTTTAGCATATCAATAAAAAATAGAAAAATAAAGCCGAACGACCGAAAAACAATATAAATATTAAATGAACTAACTAATTGCTGCTGTATTTGGTTTTGACGTGTTCGGCAAATTACCTGTTTTCATCCTGCGCGTAGCATAGATATCTCTATTTGGTATCAAATTTGTCTTCTGCTTTGAACCTTTTGTCGGTTCTTTTTTGTCAGCAAATTTTCGCAAATATGAAGAAAAATATGAAAACTGATGTTCTGATGATTTCTCATTAAGAATAGCTTGATTCGAAGATAATGGTATGTTTGAAAAAGCTATGGGATTTGTACCAGCGTTAAAATGAGAGGTCGAAACCATTGACTGATGAGAAGCTGAGGTACTGCAGCCGACATCGCCAAATCCAGAATGTGAAGAACGGCCATCATCTGGAGCCCCTCGATAAACACATCGAAGAGATTCAGGGGAAGATTCCTTCACTGAATTGATACCTAAAACCATATCCCTTTCATTTAATTCAAACAATAAGGTGAGATCCAAGACATTTGAAAACTGTCACTTTCAAGTAATAATAGATTTACGAACTTTATAGGCGTCTAGTGATTTAATGTTTCGTTTTATTTATATCTGAATCTGACTTTCGCTCCAGTCATTTGGTCTGACGTTTGTTGTATTTCTTTAATTTGTGCATTTCATTTTCTTTGGTTTGCATTTGCTGTACTCTCAGCAAGAAGGATTAATTCTAATTCTAATTAATTAATTAATTAATATATGTATATATATATATATATATATATATATATGAGCTCTGAAATGATTTGCATATCTCTTAAGTACCAGCAAAAATGCATAATCCAATCTAAAATATATATGAATGTTTTAGAGTCAAAAAGACATCTGATATATTCCAGTTTTAAAGATGGCTCAGTTTCTCCAATATACTAACTGGCGATGTGTGCTTGTAAAATGGTTTAATAAAGTTACTGCATGATCTTCAGAAGAAGCGAGCGCTCTATTTATTATTATTAATGAAGACAACGACAAAACAAGATAGTGTCTTGCCAGCATTTGAATCGATATTTCCTTTTCAGCATGAATAATTATCATGAGGCTCGTGTTCTCGCTTAAGACTGGCTTGTTAGATGAAGAGAGAGCTGCAAAAATCTTACCGAAGATATCCAAAACTAATATATCCACACTAATATAGCGTACTAGTCAACACTCCTTCGTCCTAACACCTATTTTTCGAAATAGGACCATGATTACTTTGCTTAAGTCTACGAGTCTATTTCAGCAAATTCATGTTACGAAAAACAGCGTTTGAAGAATGGAACCAGAAGTTTCCAGATTTAAATTATGAAAATAGTGCCACATTATAATTAAAGTTTATTATCAAAAAAATCTTCGAGATGCCTGCCAAAAAGGTCATCATCGTGAAGGACGTCTCTGACATTTCATCTCTTTATGATCACCTCACTAGTCATGGTTGCCTCACGAAGACGAAACAAAAAACTATATATGTGCAGTCATCTATATGTGCAGTCTCTATATTCAATACCAGCTTTTACCCTTTGCAGATATTTATAATATCCTTAGAACTGACAGTTTAAGTGGGACTTTGGCATTTTCGGATAGTTGGATAAGATTTTTAAAATTTTCTTTTAATTATCTTTAAATAAAATTAATTCTATTCTTTTTTCAGATTTAATTATCATTATCTTTATTTTGCCTTTGACAGGAATAAACCCATGGCATCAAAAATCTGGGAGGGGATCCAGACTGCTGGAGATCCAACCGTACAGACTGCTGGGGATCCAACCGTACCTCTAACCCTAAGCGACTCTACGGTCCGCATCTTCCGACGTGCATGATACTTCTAACCAGGTGGTGCAAATGGAAAATATATAATGCGAGTATAATAATAATAAACTCAAAGGTTTGAAAATAGGATTTGCTCGCGTTCCGACATAATTACTCATAATTCGTCAAGGGAGACGAGAACCAATCTGATAACATTTTGTAAGCGCGGCGATATGCTATAGATACTTGGAACGTCAGAACCTTATGGATACCTTATGGAACCTTATGGATCAGCGATTACTGTCCAAACCCTTTTTAAATGGCGCAGGGATGTGGCTCCGTCATATTAGCTCTTTAATAATTATTAAACTTTGTTCCGAGCAAAGATATTGATCATATCACTGTAAAGATGGTCTCAGGGCTGAATTCTTCGAACATTGCCCACAGTCCTTTATAATACACTTTCGTCAAATGTATTATCTGGTATGGAAGAAAGAAATAACAGATGAGCAGCAGCAAAGAAGACTCTCAATTCTCACGAAAGGTATTAGATACTGAAAGTTATAACGAGGAAGTTATATCAGCCTACTAAATGTTTCGCCTTTTGCTTTCGTCCTACTGAATTAACTTATGGCAGCACGAGCTTCAAGTTGCACCTCAAGCTGAATTCAAATTTAGAAAGAAGTGTGCTGAACAGACATTTACATTAAGAAAAGTATTGCGACAGCATTCCAGAAAAGATCATTCGCTTCATAAAGGCTTTATTTTCTTTTCATATTTATCAGTGCATATCTGCAAAGGTCTATATATATGGGGAATTTCGAAGTAAGAACTGGCTCTCCTTAATGTTGCGCTCTACGACAGATTGGACAATTGATACGTTTATTGCCTATAAAACATTTTCAAGCAGTTTAGAGTATGGTATCACAGATTTTGAATACGCTGATAAAGTTGCTCTTGCTCTTTTTATGGGCAGTTATGGCGAAATGCAAATAATGCTAAACAGTGATATATGGACTTAGACGATGGAAAAAGAAATTTTGTCAGATCGAGCAACTTGGAAATATTTTACCTTTTTAGCCACTCGCCTAACCAATAATGGTGAGAGTTGCTAGAAGAAAAAAAAGTTGTCACACTTTTTGGTGTAATTAAAAAAACAGTAATTGAATATTATCCCTATATATATCATTTTATCAGATATTTTAGGAAGTAAAAGCTTAACAAAATATAAAAAATCGAAAGAAACAGAAACGGAATCGTTGATTACAATTTTTTTACATTCATTTTTAATGGAAATTTAGGCATCTTTTTAGGCGCTCAAATACAACCTAATAATGTTATCACAGAGCGTCGCCTTCGCTGCACGTTCACCGTCGTCCACCACAGGAGTTGACGCATATTACGCTACTTGCCGAACCCTGTGGTGGTTGGTAGCCAATCAAGATTTGAACTGATACAGTCATGAAGGATTTTGAACGTACCAGCAATATATGAACTTAGACCGTGGAAAAAAGAATGGGTTCTATTATTATCAGCGATAGCTCAAGATGCACAGCTTGGAAACGTTTTATCCTTGCAGCCAGCGAAACCAACGTTTTACCTTAGCCAGTAATGGTGGGAGATGTTAGAAGATAGTTGGAAAAATTCTTCCAAGATCCATGTTACCAGTATTAGGCATGCAGCTTAATGGAGACCAATATTCAGTTATATGCATGCAGCTTAATGGAGACCAATATTCAGTGGTCACCTTAGATATATTACTATTATTATTTTTTATGATTATTTTATTATTTATTAATAATATTAATGTTTAGGTGATGCAGAAACATGCTTGTTGTCACCGAATCCTTCGGTTTGAAATGATCAAATTTGAGGAAATGCTTTTCTGTACTTAATAATTTCAGGCTGCTCTTGAATCGAGCCGTAACATAGCCTTGAAGATTGCCAATTTCAGCATCGCGAAGAAAATCACTAGCATGAGACTATTCCAGCGACAACTGATTGAAATGTCAACCTTACACCAAATATTAAGAATTATTAGGAGAATTCCGAGCATTTAGACATCTCCGGTACTAAAAGCATTGATAGATGCTGGTAGCCCACGTTTCTTAATTAAGCGAGGATGACACAGGCAAATTAATGATTATATTGCTTTTTGGGAGAGTATACCCTGGATAATCACCGACAGAAGAATTTTGCATATGGAATACAACACAGACGTGCATATCAAAATCGAAACTAGTAATGTCCATGGACCTATGACGGGGATAAATTCTGATGAAATTGACATGAAAAACTTTTTGACTATCTCAAGTTGAAAAATTCAAGAATAATCAACAATTCCCAAGAAACGGAATGACAGAACATAGCGATAACTATCGCTTCTGATATTTCTGAACTTTTTTCCATTTCTTCCATGGACTCATGGCTGTGCGTGACAACAGGACGCATATAACCTAATTTATGAGAGGATGTGGCTGACCAAATTTTCACGCTGGTGGTATTAGAGAATCACTTCAAATATCGATAGCCCTACCTATATTTCATCAATTTTGCCTTATTTTTGATGAGATTAACAGGGCCGTGCTCTAGTACGTTAACATAATAGTATTCCATAGAAGTTAATTAGACTTATCAAAGCATTTTATTGACGTAGTTTGGAGCAGATATGTGTATGTAAGCAGTAAGAATTCAACCTTTTGAGATATTTACTGGTCTGCATTAAGAATCTTCCGTAGAATTTTCAAATATGCGATTGGGTTATGCACATCGCTTACAATATAATAGACACTCGCTCACCGACAGCTTTTTCATCGCTTTTACGAGGGATTGCTACAGACTAAAGTAGGTGTCGACAACAACAGCAAAAATTGTTTTTCAAATCAAATAAGATCTTTTCGCCTTATGTATCAAACCTATCATCACACTGCCAGTTTAAAGAAGGTGGATTAAATAATTGTAAAATTAGAATAAAATATACTTGGGATACTTGGGTGGCAGGCGACAATTATTATTCCTACTGCCTTTATACCTTTTTACGTAGGCTATACGCCAGACAGACCTCTCGGATATGAAGATCATTGAATCGTTTTACTTGGAGTTATACGAAATTACCACAGTGATACAATCAGCATCTTTCAGGCCAGAAGCGATAACTGCACAGCATTTGAATGAAGACGATTTTGGATAAAGATATAAGATAAGATAAACATTGGTTTTTTCTCATAGCCCAATGAGGTCGATTGGTTTTTCTTTAGGAATCTATAGTTTATTAATCTTAAGAACTTTCATCACCATTAGATTTTTTGACTCGGTTCGCAAATTTGTCGTTTTTAACGGTGGATTAAAAGCAAAATGCAGTCGGTATATGGCGATATAATTTCACTCTGAGTTCTTGAACCAATAGGATATCTAGCATTATTAATAGATTCAGACCTGCCGAAAAAAAGTAACTGAAGAAAAATAAAAAAGTTGTTGAAATTTTTTGAAAAATATTTTAAAAAATATAAAAATGATAGTAGTGGGAAAAAAATTGCGAGAAAAAACCTATAAAAAACTCAAGGTTAAAAATCAAATTAATCGATTAATTAGAATTTATACACCACAATAATCGAAGAGTTCAAAATCGGCATCGCTATCTTTACATTTTAAAAAGAAAATTCTTACCAAATTGTTCAAAATTAATAGACGAAGCAGATCCATTATTCTGTTCAACTGTATCTGATCCTAACATTTGACAAAGTCGAAGCAATAAATCATTGCTATTATTTGCCGTACCTTCGGTGATTCCCATTTCACGATATAGATTCGAAATTGATGATTCATTTATATTACCGAAGCGCTCACGTTCTTGCTGAAGTGTAACAAGGACACCAAGTAATTTCCGCAAATCGTAATTTGGATCTTGTTGCTGATGAGAATGTTCAGCCTAAATTGAAAATGCAAATCGATTTTATCAATGATGAAACATAGTAAAAAATTTATCCATATCTTACGTTATAAAATTCACGTTCAATTCATCAATTCATCTGCTTAAGCTAAAATATTCGCAAAATATAAAATATTTATTAAAATGATAAAAAAATGAGTTTATATACGCGAGTTTTTCTTGATAAAACTTGGTCAATAGGTTTTTCCAAATGCGTTCGTTGATTTGATTTTCTCTGATATGAAAAATTATCCGAATCTACTCCGGGTGGTGCTTCAAGATGACTGGATTTTGGTAAACCTGATAATAACAATTCATTCACTCGCTGATTACATGTCGACTCGCTACAGCCAAGGTAAACATCGATTTCTCTGCTTCCTGCCATTCTTCTAAATAGCATAATAACAAAAAATGAGGTAGAATGTTATAATTATTACGATTTCTTATTTAGCTACACAATGATCTAAAATTTGATTAGCCTTCGTAAATTTTATCGAAATAAATAAAGCGGCATCTAAAGTCAGGTCCAAGATAGTTGAATGTGCACGAAGGTTTATGTTTTCTCGTTCCAATTAATCTAGGAAAATAAAAAAAAAAGGAAATTCAACAACACTATATCAAACCTCATTTCATTGCGGGTCAATAGCTCATTTTTGTTTGAACTAATAATTCCTCCTCCTGCTACACCAATTTTTGCTAAAAAGGCTGCTGTCGCATCATTCCATTCTGTTTCCATTCCAGATTGTTTTATTTTGCTGAACAGATTATGAACAGACCTCTCTCTTGGCGAAAAAGAATTTATATAATGAATTTTCGGCGAACAAGGAGATCGCGAAGAACGCCTACAATAAACGGACGAAAGATGATGTATATGATTAGAGAGCTGAAAATGGTGACTTTTGCAATATGGTGATCTCGATCGAAGTAAATTTCTTGAATGGATCCTAAGAAAAAAAGTATTTTATAACGTTAATCTTAAGTAAATGTTTGATATAGTGAACAAAAAAGGTTTAAGCTTTAAAAAAATTTTTCGGTTTGGGTGAATAATTTTCAAAACAAAATGTAGACAAAAGAAAACTAAAATAATATAATATAAAACTATTGAAAAAAACAAAAACTAATATCAATATTTTTCCACTTTAAGAAATAAAATATTGTAATAATTTAAATAAAGAAATAATAATGAACCTTCGTATTCGTTTTAAATTTTTGTTGTCCCCATAATGCAACGCATTACCACAAGTTTCTGGATGCGGATCGAAATATACCATTACATCCGATCCACTATATTTTTCATTTTTTTTCTTTGATTGGTTAAATGAATCAAGACCGTCCCAACGCATCTGTCGAAACATATATCCTGCCTCTTTCGATAACCCTGCACGACGGACATGCATTTCACTTGGAACTGTGCAGTACCGATCATTTTCTTGTGACATATTAGCTCGCACTATAATGAACACGGCTCGAAAAAATTTGGCTAAGTAGCAAAATAAATTCGTTATAGTGGATCCAAAAAGTTAAAAAATGCTTAATAATGTTTAATAATAGAATGATCTAAAAAAAAAAACATTTACTTGAAAAAATTTGCATAGAAAAATAATCAAAAAAACATTTTAAAAAAGCATTTTAACTTTAAAAACCTAAAAATTTAAGGGAAAATAAAATGTTCAAAATAATAAAAAGAAATAAAAACGAGATAAAGAAATAAAAGAAATAAATAAAAGAAATAAAAGAAATAAATAAACAAAATAATAAAATAGCAAAACAATAGCAAGAAGTATATGCATAAAAATTAAATAATAATAACAAATCTACTCGAAGAAAAAATAAGCTACCAAATAATTCAATCCAGATTGATGAAAAAATGATAAAAAATTCTCCATGAACGATTTTATCATAAATTTTTACCATTATTTTCTTCCATATTCACCTGAACCTCTGTCTCATTGGGCCAAATTCGTAAAACTGTCTCATAATCAATGAAGCATCGTAGACGATATCGGACTTCACCAGATCCCTCCAATTTCCAAACTTGTTCAGCGATTTCTTCAAGTAATCGAGAGCGCACTGTTTCATCAATTTCACTCACTGCCATCTTGTGGTAATTCTTGTAATTACGAAACTAAAAACTAACAAATTCAAGATTACAATGAAAATGAAAACCACGGTTATTGCAAAAAGGTGCCAGTGAATATCAAATAAGAAAATATTTTTGAAATTTTACAACCCAAATTCGAATCAAATAAAAATGTCCTTCAGTAAATATACAAAGCCAGTGTTCCACATAAAAAAAAAGTATGTGAGAAGAACAAATAAAGAATAAATACTGAGCATATTCCAAGGCCCTTAAGATTTCTTCCAATGTCCAGTGAATGAATTCAGAAATTCATTATTCATGTATTCAGCAAATATAATTTTCATCTTATTCCTTTTTATCGAGAGCCCCTTTATTCAAACTTAAGCTGATAAGTGTTAGAACATTATTTCCAATCTCAAATTTTTTAATTCAATAAATAAATAAAATTAAATAAATAATGATAAAAGTGCATGGCAGAAACAATAAAAATAAAGTATAATACAAAAGAATAAAAATTAATACTAATGAAATCACTAACAAAGTAATTCAATCGATGAGTATCCGACATAAGATGCAGCAGCATTTCAAATGCAGTTATCCAAACTGAACACATACTACAATACAGTGAATCAAAATTTGGCCGATCCCAACAAACGACTTGATAAACCTGCATCAAAATTAAAAACAATATAGCATGTAAAGATAGAAATGATAAATGTGATAGAGAACGCATATTCGATAATTTTATTCTCAAAATGCTAACCGATGATAGACCTATCGATCCTCGTCTATTCGATACTATTATATTAAATGAAAAAGGAAGTTCACCAGAAGGAATCGGTTCTGTCCCTTGTTTCCACACTTAAAAAATTGAAGTTAAAGATATATCAATAACAAAAAATTAATAAAAAATAACGAAAATTATTTTTCAATGAAAAATAACTTTTAAAAGAAAAAGTTCTATTTTTTTAATAACCATGTAAAAAGTGTCACAATAATTGATAAAATTAATCAATTAATTAACAATATTTATTTAATAACAATAATAATAAAGGATAATAATAATGAGGATCGTTTCAAAAAAACGGCAAAATAAACGGTAAAACGGTGAACGGTAATGAGTTTAACCATCAAAATATAAAGTGTAAGGCCTTGACTTTTAATATATAAATGATTTACATAGCAATTTTTCTCTTTGCATGGTCAAAATATGTAACAGCATCATGGATAAAATTTTCAAAGAACACTCTCAGCACACCACGAGTTCACAGATTTCTCCATAAATAAAACCAGAAATATACACCATGATGTATGTATATTTCTGGTTAAGTCGACGAAGTGCACGCTTCGTTATACTCTGGATATTATCATGAAGAACTTTATGATGACGCTTTGCGCCACCTTTACCAAGATCTTTACCATGATCTGACATAACTTCGCAATATGATGGGCGAATCACCCAAGCAGATTGGGCAAAAATGCCTCTGAAAAAGTCCATATAGTGGAAGGATGTAAAATGCAAATATGAACACATGCAACTGAAAAGCATAACCAAGTAGCTGGCATCAATTATAGAAAAATCTGCTTGATATATGGCTTTGACTCTCCAAAGACTAAATGAGAGATTCCTCAGAAAATGATAGAGAATGGTAAGGCGAAAATCCCCAGAGACTTCCCCATCCAAGCAGATAAACAAGTATTGGCCAATCAATCAGATACTGTGGTAATATACAAGAAATCATGATTGATGATTGATATAGCAATACCAATCAACGGGAAAAAATGAGAAGTTAGAAAAATACCGAGGTCTGAAAGAGAAAATTTGGAAAATAGTAATAAGAAAAATGGCTTCAGTAGATTCCAGGAACAAAATCAGAGATCTCTATCAAAAAGATCATGATCACCTACAAAGGATAAAAAAAGTTTTTTATAACAAAGATAATAAATAGTAACCTCATGAATTGTACAAATCAGTCCAGAGCATAGTATTATAGATCTTTAATAAGCTCATAATGTAAATTAATCTTTTTTATGGTTATAACGATATGCAAATAATGCTAAACAATATACTGTCAATATATCGATAATAGGATTAATTTAAATAAAACGGAAGTATTTTCGTCTTATAAACAAAACTTTCTTGGATATCTTGGATCCATTCTAATTACAAATGGCCAAGCGAAAGACGAAAACGAAATTATAACCGAAATGATAGCTAGAAATGCTTTCTTCCGGTTGATTATTTCCTTGATGTACTCGTCGCTAAATCATTATTAAAATGAAAGTCTATGTAGCTGCGATCCAGTCGAGCTTACTATATGGCTGCGAGAGATGGCCGATGAAAATAGAGAATATCAAAAAATTATCTTCCTTTGACCACTCATATCTATGATGCATTTTATCGAGCGTATAAAACTTTACATGACTGCATATATTTTCGCTCAAATACCATTTGCATTAAGCAGTACCATCACAGAACGATCACATCGTCTTCGCTAATTAGGGCAAATTCTTCGTCGTATATCGCAAGAGATGAGACATATTTCGTTATCTGCTAAACCCTTGATGGATGGGCGTCAAAAACGAGGTAGTAATCAAGATCTGGACTAATACTGGACAGTCAGAAAAGATTTCGAATATATAGGTGGACCAACTATATATAGACTTAGAAGAATGGTGGGTTAGAAAAAGAATAAATAGTAAACAATAACAAATGATAAAAAATAATTTAAAAACAATCAATAATAATGACAATAATGAATACCGTTTGGAAACGCCTTGCCCCTGTAGCCAGTGCAACCAGCCTAACTAGTAATGGTGAGAAGAATAAATCCCATTCAGTGAAGCGTGAGAATAACTTACTGAATTCAATCAGCGATTCTTTCGTTTTCATCTCTCTATATTTCGACATGAAAAACTCAGCACGTTTTTCCCATTCAAATCGTCGATTATTTTCATTAAAATGGAGATCACAAAGTTTTACTGGTTTTTTATTTTGCATAAATGGTACAGCGAAATTAGAATATCCTCGGCATTCAACATCGGTTTCAAAATGTTGACGATGCAGCATTAACGATTCGTGATTAAAAATTGTTGGGACAATCTCTCTGATTAATCCCGATTTTCGATTATTCCTTTCTATCTGAAATCTATGTTTTATCCTGAACTTTAACCTGAAAATCAAATCGCCATCAACCTTTAATGATCAACTGAAAATTAATTAGAGCGTATTTCGCAATTCGCTGAGTTATCTTTTAATAAAATTCATTTTAAAAATGATAATTGAAAATTTCATAGGAATAAGACCTGAAATTACGAAGATTATATTAAAATCAATTTATATAACGAAATGTGAGGTCACATTGAATTCGAAAAAAACTATTCCGAAGGCTCGACCCGCCCCAATATTTTCATATTCTACTGTAGACCTCTGATCTACAAATTTATTTAAATCATTAATCCATTTATTTGTATCTTAATGAAATTTCTGTTATTCGCATGCCACATTATGAAATACATTAGTAAGAATTTTATATAATATTTCCAATGGAACATGATATAGAATATGCTACAGCTTAAGACCCAAATATTTTTGAATTATTGACGAGTCTTTGGGAAACAACGAATTTTCTAGGTAAAAATTTATCTATTATTTTTGCCTAAGCGATTTTTTGCTATACAATTTGTAAAGCGTTTTTTTTACAAATTTTATTCATTGCTTAGTTGGTCTGAAAATTATGAAACTACCTGCCGCTCTTTGCTTTTAAAATCAAAAATTTTTTTTTCTCTTTCCTTGCATTCCAACCTTCTTTTTTTTGCTTTTCTTTCGTGCATCTTTTTCTGTATATAATGCTCTTTTCGCCTGAAACTGTACAGAAATTAAAATAAATTTCAATCCAAAAATTTAAAAAATGAATGTATAAAGAATATAATAGGTATTTGTATATTCTATAATGAGAATATATGGAATTAGCACTTTAGATGTAAGTTAGAAGAAAAAATTCATTCCTTTTTTTAAAAAAAAGTAGCTGTAATTAATGCAATTAATGCTATCTTCAATGATATTAGACAAACATTTCAAAAATTTGTTCGTTATCTTCATGGCTGCTTGAAAGATTTTTGTCGGTGAATAGATTTTGTGAAATTTTTATTCCTTTCTTAATTCTGTTAACAAAACCATTCGTATGCTAAAACAAATAAAAAATAGAAAAAGATCCAATGAAGCAAAACTTTCTTTTAAATTTTAAAAAATTTTAAACCATAAATCATTTCAATGGAAAAAATTTTATTTGACTCATAATTTTTTAATATTTAAAAACATAACCTCTAAGCCAGAAGCACAGAACCCTATGCATTGAAGAATTCAAAAAAAAAGGAGTTCAGGAAGTCTTAATGCAGTTCAAGAGAAATGAAGAGTAAAGAATACATTTTTTTGGTCAGGTTCGCAATTTTATCAGAGAATCAGTCATTCGGAGATAGAAGTAAAGATGATCCGCCATTATCATTCGAACTTTTGAAGGACAAGTTCTGCAGCAAAGAGTAGGATTTTAGCACTCAGAGATGGAACCTACTGAACCATTTTACCACCAAACAACTCATGACAAAAAAAGTGAGAGATTTGCTACTTTAAACCAATTTCATTCTCACTGAATAAGAAAATTTTATAACAAACTTCCTTTTCTGCATCGTTTTTTCTTTTACATTTAGCATCTATTCTTTTTTTTCTTTCACTGCAATTTTTAATTTTTTGCATACTTTTCTGACCTCGTTCAGTGCAGAAATTAACCTAAAAAAGAACATGTTCAATGATAAATTCATTCAAATCTGACCAAATATTTTTATAATACATTCCTGCATTTTCGTTGCTTCTTCGAAATTTTGCGCACCAAGAGGATGATAAATACGAATTCCTGTTGTCCTTTCATTATCATTTTGCAAAACATCAGCCAAAAATTGACGAAATTTTGCCATTCTTTTCTCCGTTTTTTTATTCATTAAAAGTTCCATTTCTATGACATTATCAACGTGATATTTGCGCTGCAATTAAATGAGAAAAATTAAGCGAAACGAACCTTTCGAATTCTAGACGAAAAAGAGGAGAAAAGATACAGAATTTCTAAAAAAAAATTCTAAAAACGGAATTTAAACGCACTAAATAATTGATCACATGATTCATCGAACGCAGATGATTATCAAGTTGAGCCTGAGAAAAAGGGAAACTACTGGCACATAATAAGCAATAAAAATCAGGAACATGCGAAATATTAGAATGCCTTTCTACGATATCTTCTAATCCCAAGATTGAATACACATATTCAAATTGTTCAGCATTATTATTCCACTTCCAAGTGATTTTCTAAAAAATAACCATAACATTCTGAAAATGATTTCTCTAATCATTATAGACTTATTTATTTTCTAGAAATATGCCAAAATTATACTTCTCTGAAGCATGAATGGTCAAAACTGGTAGGAGATAATTCCGAAACTTTTGATAAAAATCCACTCTCTTCTGAAATTATTTGAAATTAAAATTAAAGCATAATAAAAATGATTAAAAATAAAAAAGAAAAAAATTATGGGAAAAAACAAATATGTAATTCAGAATATTGAATAGAAAAAGATTTAGAAAGCAAAAATGAATGAAATTTCTTTAAAATTTCTTTAACCGAATTTATTTTTTTCCAGCGAAGAAGTTCGTTGATCATGTGCCACAGAAAACAAATGATCATCCCAGACTTTTCTAATTATATCCTGCTTATTAACCGCAAAAGCTTGTTGACATATCTGAAGAAATTGTTGACTTTTTAAAAATGCCACAAAGTTAGTCATAAAAATAAGCCTTCTTTGAATGAGAAACACTAATAAAAAAAACCTTTCATCTTTACATTATTATATACTGCTTTTACAACAAACTCAATAAAAAGACATAAAATCAATATTAAGTCAAAACATACATTGCACCAGAAGCAAACCGAGGACGTTTCAAGTGAGCAAATTTGTATAGAGCAAAGCTGAAGAGCTTTTTTGACGGATACTTTCAACCATTCACCTGTATGATAATTAAATGATAATTAAATGATTACAATTGAAATAATTTGAATTTGAAATAATTAAGGATATAACGAGAAATGAGGAGAAAGCGATTTAATGCTAAATTAGTTTATTAACATATCATAATATTTTGAGACATAATACATTAAAATCTTCATTTACTTTTTGCTTTCACAAAATTTTAAAAATATGAATATAAATTCCCACCTCGATCATTTGCTACTGAATCAATTATAGACATAAGGCAGTTATATGCAGAACGCATATTATCATCTTTCAATAAACTCAGTTCAACTTTTCTATGCAATATTTCGCCCCAATCAAGTGATGAAGATACTGTGGGACTGTAAACTAGAATATCGCCATTTAATGACTCCGAACATTTTAAATAATCTATTAGTAATTCACGTTTAGTTGATTCAGATGTTTGCGATTTAACCAAATTTAGCATTTCCCTGTCACTGGCATGCTGCAATAATATTATTTTATTCATCCAAAAACAAACGCAAATTTTATTTTCTGCATGCGCTAAAACTATATATTCTGCTGCATTTGAAAATATACAACAACCCAAAATAAACTTAACAAAAAAATAAATTAATTAAATTTAAAAAATTAAGTATGAAGCGAAATTGATGAAAGTCCGGAATATTCACGCCAAAATAGCGAAAAAATTTAATCAACGTTTACCAAGTACTGCATTAGATGTTCGAAAGTACGAAGATGGTTCCAAATCTGATTGATAGCACTGCGAGGAAAAATTGATGCACAAGCGATACATACTACCTACAAATTTTTTTCTGAATATTTATTTTTGCGAATTTTCCAATAAAAATATCTACCTCATCAGCATCAATATCATCAACTAGAAAATGGCGTCCAACATCAGCGAATTTTTGCACCTCGATTATTTTATCACCATATTCTATTTTAGTCCATACAGCATTACCTTTTTCAGGATTTAATTTCAATCTTGAGCGCATATATACGAAATTGTCATTTTCTAAAACGAGATATAAAGCCAAGAAGAAAGTTTTCTTGACTAAGATATGATTTGACAAATCAATTTATATTAATAAGTAATAAAAAGGCAGAAATATGAAATCGTTAAATCCTCTTATTACCTTTGCGTAGGACGATTCCAGCCAAACTTGCTTATCATCATCTATCAAAACAACTTCAAAATTATAAATAACTTAGTGAATTATGCATCTTTAAAACAACTGGTTAAATATTTATTAAGATACAATCTGGTAAAAAATTTCCTTGAATTTTCTAATTTTTAAAAATATTACCATAATGAAACATATTTCTTAATGAGGCCATCCTCATGTGTACCTTTGATCTACTGCGATGAACTGATATTGTTGCAGAAAATTCGTCTTTATTTCGCAGATTAATTTGTTTCCAACACACCTAGTAAATCCACTACCACTAATATACAATTTTATGTTCAGAAAAATGTGAAAATAATAATAAAGAAATTGATTTATTCGGGATATTTTTCTTAAAGCAATATTAAAACTAATAGATGCTAACCGGACACCAAAAATAAAACTGATTATCCCGAGTTTCAGTAATCTTTGATTTTTCTGATACAAAATTCAGTTGATCGGACAACGCATAAGATGATATTACATTCGGGATATCACACCTCTGAGATATTTCATTACAATTTCATTATTTCATTATAAGCTCAAATTTTTTCCTTAAAAACCATTTTAATAAAATTTCAAGTATAAATTGATTATTCTCGAAAAAGAATATATCCTAAAAAATGAGAAAAAAGTAAATATATTCAGGTGAGATCTGCAAATTTCACAGCTTTTTTAATGATGGCGTTATTTAAAAAATTTTGACTTTTCAAATTTTAAATATAAATTATTAAACAAATTCAAACAGTTAGCCCATTTAACATTTAAAATTCCCAGCATAACATACTATTTGATTAACTTTAAAATTTGAAGTGGCTTCTGATGGAAGCAAAGTTAACAATTTATCTCGACGAATATCATCAAGAAGATTCATGATCATGAATGCTCCAGCAGGATTGTGCAATGACTAAAATAACCAGAATGACTAATTCTATTTGATTCTTAGCTAAAATTAAAATAAAATAAAATAATTGTCAAAACGAAACTGTATTATAATTGTTATATTCTATGTTATTATGGTATTAAATTATAATACTTTGTTATTGTATAATTATATATTGTTATATCGTTAAACTTCACAGCATAATTAAAATATTTTAGTGTATGCTATAATATAAAAAAATTTGATAAATGAAAAGAAAACCAAATATTTTAATAAATGATTTTCGGAAGAAAAATGATTCGTTACACATGAACGATGAACAATAACTTTACATAACCGACAGAAGGGAGTAAAATCTAAAAATAAATCATATATTTATAATGAAAAGAATTGTTCAGAATTATGCCAGTGAAATTACCAGTGAAATTAGCAAACAATAGTTTCTAATTTATTTTTTTGCAAAATTGCAAAATTAGCAAGAGATGTATTTTATTCAAATATTAATAATATAAATAATGTACCAAAATAAATGAGAAATTGCATTCCAATAACTGGTCCTTGAAAAATTCCAGCAGCATTTAACTTCCACTTCTTTGAAAAATAAGAAATGGCCAATCCATTATTGATTTCTTGATAGTCAACTTCAATAAAATACAAATTAAAAATTAAAAATAATTGATTATCGAAGAAAAAATATGCAATTTTCGATAAACTTTTCCAAGTATAATCCATTAATGATCTATTGATTTAATAACCCAAAGAAAACAATAACCAACGTTGATCTAGTACAGTAGAAATTATTTGTAATTTTTGATGTTGTGAACTGTTTACATGAACTTTCCAACAACGAGCTTCATTTGTTGATTCACAAGTCAACAATGTACAACAAATCTGAATTTAAATTTTATCAGTGAGCTAAATTGAATTGTTTTTTATGCTTTTTTTCTTGAATTTGTCAAAATTTGTAAGTATAATAAAAAAATTTTTATAAAATTTGACAAAATTTATTAATGTAGATTACTTTGCAGCATAAAATCCTGTAACAACCGAATATATCCTCAAATACATATTTTTTCTCTATCGCCTTTTTTTGTATTCCCAACTTATTCATAGCTGTTTCTTCAGAAATATCGCTAAATTCATGAACTTCTGGTGATTCTAGTTTCCCCTGTTCTTTTACTATTTTTTTTCCAACTGTACCAATATAATTAATTATTTCAATACGACTTCTTGATTTATCTGTCATGCGATTCGGATAAAATTCTTCCTAAAATTGGTTTTTGTATGGGGATAATCTGTTAAAACTGTGATAAAGAAAGGAAAAATGAAATAAAAATTTGGAATATAATAAAAAATTTCTTCCTTCAATTCAAAAAAACTGACGATGTACAATAACTGATGCGATACGGAGTAAATATGGTCATCAGCATTATCAATATTAGTATCAGCAACGTAGCAAAGACTACAAGCCCACCAGGGAGAACTGCAAAACGGCATTCTTAATTCCACTATACATTCCAAACCTCAAATTTACAAAAATAAATTTAGACTTCAAATATGATAAAAATTACTTTTAGTTTTACACAAATTTAGTGGATCTAAGGATTACTGACATTTCGCGTTGGGATCCCAGCCCAGGCAAATGGTCTGCTAAGATAATGGAACCTAACTAGAAATAGTGAACGTACAATTCCATATAAATAAAACTATTCACTTCAAAAATTTTGCCTAGTCATTAATTTTTAACTCATATATCCATGTTGAAAAAGATAAATGGAACTGATAAATTCCCAGGCATTTTTCGAAACTTTTTTTTAAAATCCTTTTAATTTGAAAAATAAAACTTATTGAAATGAAGAAACAAGTGAAATCACCTAATGCAATAGTATTTGCTCGACTATACCGTTCATACAACATTGATTTATAAGCACTACGTTTTGCTGAACTAAGACCTTTCGAGAAAAAGTCGTAGACTGTGAGTCGCTAAAAAATAAGAAATATAAATATAAGTAACGCTATTTTCTTCATTCTTGAAAATAATAATATTTTCATATTAGTTTATTCATATTAATTTATTGTCTCATTAATGTTTTACTGTTAAAATTGAATTTTAAAAATTTTTAAATAATTTTAATTTCCTTTTTCTTAAAAATTTAAAAAACTTAAGAAGGAATACTTTCAAGTGTTCGTCTGATTTAGAATGTTCTTCCTTTTCCTCGCTCGATAAATATTTCCATTGACAAATCTTAATTTTTCGCATTTAATTTTAATTTTCTATTTATTTGATAGCATTAAAATTTAAAACAAATAAAAGAAAAAATCGAGAATAAGCTGGAAAAACAGATACGCACAATGCATGTGTTGTTTAACCAAATATCGTTTCTCTCAGGACGGCCTTCATTTTCGTCCAATAATTCTTTTACTATTTCACTTTTACAAATTTTATTCTTGAAATCATTTGAAATGGCACCATCCATTTATTCCTAAAAGTAAAGTTTTAAAAAATCAAACCAAACACCAAACTGAATTAAGGACAAATTCAAAACAACTAAATTTTAAAAAATGTGGAGAACAAAAATATTTGAGATATTCGAGAAAAAAGGAATAGGCCACACAAATTTCCGCAATTTATGCCATAAGCATTTACTAAAAGCAAATTTCTATTAAGTGGCATTTACATTTACTCCATTTGTAAACTCGTATTTCTGAAACTAATAAGCTGCTGGAAGACACTTTCAAGAATCTCTCTTCAACATCTCTCTTTAAGGAATTATCGAAAACGAATTTTCGCTTAGTTATACTAGCGATATGCGGTCTCCTTTTCTACGGATCTGCCAGTCAACGATATTTGAAATTTGTAGCGAATTATTTTCGATTCATCAATTCACAAATTCACAAATCGCAACCCTGCGACCGCAAAATGACTTAACTGGGCGTTCAACCAAAAGATACCAATATGTTCAACATTTTTTCCCATCTCAAGTATATAACCCCAGATGAGCACCTATGAGACTTTTTATCTAAATCTGCAACCAGCTTCTCTTGCGATTAGCCCAATATAATTTCCTCCTGACAGATCGCTTACAGAACAGAAACTATGTGCGGCATCTTCGACGTCCAAGGTCCAAGGTTCCAGGGCTGAATTTATGAATAGCTCAGCACTGTTTCCTCTTTAATATATATTTGCACTGCGTGGTTCGATACCTCATTTGATGCGCCGCAGGTTGAAAATCACGCCTCTTCACGTGGAATTTCGGCGGACTAAACGAATAAACGCGGTATGGAGAAATTAATTCGACGTCTTCAAAACGAATAAGAAACGCGAAATGGCCCTTAGACGAGACCGAATGCAACACGTCAGGCGATTCTACGTGTCCGCTAACAATAATATAGAGTCGGATGGAAAATATTTTAATAAAACGCGAGACGCTCGAAGGATTTCACAGTTCGCATGAATTAATTCGTAGCTTTCATTTCATTCGAAACGGTTAGCGTAGCATTCACCCCAAGGATTTCACCAAATCTAATCTCTCCAGCTTATATATTTTCCTACATATACTCAATTGGAGCCGCAAAGGTCGCTGCCGAGCTGAGAAGTAAAATTATGCAAAATTATTCAATTAAAATAGAGATTTCATCTCTAAAATTCGGCTTCCCCTATCTCTGCCAGTCTGTAACAGTGCAGCCGCGGTGCGAATTTTCCTTGTTTGCATGTTAATTGTGCAGCAAAAACGGCGATTGTGTGAATGGTAATGGTTTAGCAAAAAAGGGTGAATGTGAATGGTGTATTAGAAAAAAATCGAAAAACTAAATCATTCGAAGAGTTGATTTGCGAAAGCATTAAGTAAATAGAGCAAAGTTCAAACGACATTTGAGCGACGTTGGATTTTCGGCAATGCGTGGACGTGAAAAAGCGCGATTTTAAGCGAGGAAGGGCGTCTATTAGCGAGAGGTAGGCGGAATCGATCCACGCAGTTTTTACCGATGGAAGTAAAGCTCGCAGGACCGGTGCGACAAATTTTCCTTTTAGGATTTGAAGGATTATTTATTAATAGTTGAGTCCTTAATAAATTGTCCAAACCCTGATCGTATTCAAACAGACGAACTGTCTTTGAGGATTTTGACGGATGAACCATTGGCGACCACGTTTTTGCACGGACTGATTGATTCCCTCGTTGTTCGATAAATGTATGGGCACTCTCAATTTTGCTTGTGAAAATATTTTCTTAGACTTCTTTTATTTTGCATATAATTTATGAAGCAATGGTTGGGTTTTGCCTGCTCGCTATCGTGCAAATTGCAAGCAATGATTGGTTGACTGAAGAAATGGAATTCAATCTTCCAATCTTCCAATTTGTCAACATATATCGCTTATATTGCTGACGTTTAGACCGCTAAGCGACAGGAAGCGAGCATTTTCTCACTGGTCCAGTTTGCCAGAGGGCTTTCTCAATATCTGCGCTTCATTTCCCTTCATGTTCGGGAAATAATATTGCTACGACCGACTGCGGCACGTCACATAAACATCGTAGGCTATTATGAGGTTTTGTCGTATCTTTATCGAGTTTGAGAGTGCTATTCGCTTATCATTTCCTCTTTTAATTGTTGTTCGGTGGTTTTTTCGTATTTTTAATTGTTTTGCGAAGGTTCCACCGTATTGAGGGGGCTCTTCCTATAGTTAGCTCAAAATTATTTGTTCTTAGGCCACAGCTTCCATGGCCATTCCGGATTTCGGCCATCTGGTTGCCTTTTTAATGCCAAGAAAAATTGCTTCAGAGCAGTTGCATCATCGTTTTTAGGAAAATCCAGTATTCCCAATATCCAAGAATGGTGAACATCATCATGCGGTGTTATAAAATTGCTTGCATTGATACAAGCATTGTTCAGCTGCAATTGTTTTTGCCAATGCTCTAAATCGAATATGATTGCTTCAAGCGTTGGCGTTTGTTCTGCTTAACGAAATGGAAATAGTAATTGGGCCAATTAATATCTGTGGCTTTCTACTGTGAATATCCTTCAGATCTGGACTGCTATCAGTCTGCATTGTCAGCTATTATAGACAGATAGGTGGTAAAGAGATGGCTTGGGACGGTGCTGATTACTTCCGGAAGTAAATTCATTTGCTAAATTCCCTTTGCCAATGACTGAGTTATAACTATAGATAATTGGGGGTTCCAGTCGAATATAATTCTTAAGTTGATAAGGATCCATGAATAAAAAAAAGATTGTTGGCAGATTATCTACAACATCAGATAGTGCTATGTTAATTTATTAATTTCTGGTCAGCCAGGATTAAACTTCACGACAGAATAAGAACGCGTGGTTGAATCTTGAATCGTGTAATGGCCAATTCGTCTGACCTTATATTTGTCGCTCGTTCAGAATCTGCTAAATGCTGAGGATGTTATTAGTTTAGTTTATTTCCTAAATTCTCTTGCCTTGATTTCCATAAAGCGGAACTGTGATTAGGATGGCAGTAGTAGCATCTTTTGCATGGCAATCATTTGCCAGGCCAGCTTGATCGCAAATAACTTACAACAAATATACAACGTTTTTTCTAATAATTTTTTTTTTTTAAGTTTTACTTTTGATATTCATTGCTCCACTAACTTTTCATAAAGTGCAGAAGTTCGAGGGCTGGTGGTTGGCTTTTTTGCTTCCGTGCTATTCAGTATACTTACTGAGAGTGGGTAGATCATAGTCGATATAGGGTATTGCTGAGATAATTTGAATATCTTAATACCTGCCACGGTTGAAGTGCTTTTGATTCTTGGATTTATCGTATTATGACATCTAGCCTATTATTCATTTTCATTTGATCTGGAAATTCTCTCAGTTTTGCTAGAATCCATCATTGTCGCATTCTTTTCTCTCTTATTACTTGACGCATCATATTTGGCGTAAAGTTATTTTCTACTAATTGAAGAAAGAGGTGGAACTATTTTCTCAGCCATTTCAAATATTTTCAAAATTTTATTCTTTGAATTTGAAAGAAAACAAATTCCTTTGATAAAAGGTTGGTGATGGTATCTGCATATAATTTGGATCAAATATAAATATATGTATTTAATGTATCTCGAACTATGGGAGAAAACTCATTTGCATGGAAATCCATTGGCCAATCTTGTGCCACCATTTTGGGTTCTTAAATAATTCAATTCGTCAACCGCAGCTAAATTAGGCAGAGACAAAGATGTCTTTGGAATGAAGAGATTTGGATTTTAAGTAGTCTCCAGAAAAAGGCTCGAGTTTCAGTACAAGGGACTTGATTGGAAATTTACGATGGAAATATCCTCTTGAATTGATTCTTCAGACGATGAACTGCCAGGAGTTTTTATGTGTTTTTTCAAATAACCTTGCAAGATGCATAATACATCCTTCTGGAGATAAATTATAAGACCGTTGATAAGACCATTTTTGTCTTGGATCATTTTATCATATTATCACACTACTCTTCAGTTTTTCATTATTCATTAGTTAAACTGGGAATAGATCTGACTGTAAGAAAAAAGTATGGATTTAATTTATGTATTTCTTTTAGTAGTATAACAAACGATATATTTTGTGAATAACAAAACTAGAAGCAGAACTGTATTTAAGAAAGAATAAAAATTAGAACAAGTACATTATACTAAATTTAGAAATAAAAATATTTGAATACTGAAAAGTTAGAGATGGATTTAACTAAAATAATTGTCCAATCTATGATTCTTTTAATGTAATTCTTAGAGAATTTAAAAAAATATATTAAATTAAGCGTCACAGATTTCTTAAAATTAAACTTAATGCAATGAAATTCTGGCTAATTTTTCATTTGATGAATACAAAACTTTTTCGGCATCATTGATCATATTTAGTTTTTTGCTCGGATTTCTGCCAAGTCTTTTATTGAAGCATTTAAAAGAGCATTTACCGAAATGTTTGAAGACGATACCAACAATCGATGCGAGGATCAAACTAATCCGAATCGCTCTAATATTGGTGTAGATTTCGAAGGAGAAAAAGGTCGAATGTAACCAGTTATTGACTTAGATCCAAGTAGCCACTGCTACCAGTTAATGTGGTTCAATGATCTTTCTTTATAGGAACATGCTATGTGGGGGGACGCGAGTATGGCGTGTAGAACAATTCTTAAACTAGACGTCCACTGCGACCTACAATACACAACACAATACAACTTCGCAACAATAATATAAAGTGCTCAGAGTTCGAGAATAACTTGGTTGCAAGTATTATCCGCAACAATGATGTGCGAATAGCGTCCACCTATAACTGCAGATGTAAATATGCAGAGAGACCAAGGAGAATAGATCTGACATCTACGGTTCCATAGACTGTACTCTAACATTAAGCAGTTTCTAACAGAGAAAGAAGGTACCTGTATGCTATGCAATATGTGACCGTATAATAGGAAAGATGTTACAGTACTTTTGATATACTTGATCATATAAATTAACATATAAATTCATTTGTGTCTAAATGTTGCATCTTAATATTTAATTTATTTTTCCACTAATCTACTAATTTATTTCCTTCTAGATGTAGCAGCTGTCACAATAATTTTGTTTTAGCATTCGTATTTTTGAATAAAAATTTTTGAATAAAAATAGAAAGAGCTCGGTGAGCAAAACTCAGGGAGTGAAATTTTTTGTACCATCGCAATTCGGCTGTAAAATATCCATCAGATCATTACATATAATATTGAATTGATATTGTTAAAAACAAAATTTTTGCATTTTGCATATATCATATTTGATATATATAATTTGTTATTTGCTAAATTCTGTGATGGATGGCGTCAAAATCGAGGAGGGCCAATTAAGACCTAAATTGATACAGGAAAGGTTTTGAATGTATATGTGGATCAGCGAAGGGTAGAAAAAGTAAGTAATGGCTTCTATTATTACTAGCGATGACGGACCAAGCAGCTTGAAGGCTTAGCCTTGTAACTAGCAGAGTAATGCTGAAAGCTATAGCAGAAGAAGAAATTCGTTTATAAATGAAATTCACAGATATTCAATAAATTAAAAATAAACAAAAATTTCAGTAAATCCGAGAAAAGAAGCATCCAGAATTTTCCGGTGATTGCTCCGATACGTTGAGTAAGTTTAACGATTTTTTTAACTCTCCTTGATATTATAAGCCATCAATATAAGTAAAAAGATTTTTTAAAAATTTTTCGCAACCTTCAAGCAATCATATTAAATCTAACGGTTTCAAACCAAAAAAAATTATAAAATAAGCGGTAATAAGTGGTAAATGTGATAATGATTGAGAACAGAGGGGCTACTGTCTAGAACTGCACAATATCGAATTTAAGGCTATTCGAAAATTTTGAAACTCACGAATAATGGTCATTTTTGCAAATTTCTATGCTGTTCTATACTAAGAAACTATTTCTTCTGATAGCTCTCACCATTATTGGTTAGGCTGGCTCCTCTGGCTACAAAGGTACAACGCCATCGCTAACGGTAATAGAAGCTATTCTTTTTTGCACTGTCTAAGTCTATACATCTCTGGTTCTTCTATACGTTCAAAATCAAAATCTTTTCTGACCGTATCAGTCCAGGTCTTGATCGATCCTCCTCGTTTTTGATGCCAACTATCATAGGGTTCGGCAAGTAGTGAAATATGTGTCAAGTCCTATAGTGTACGTGACCAGCGAAGACGACGCTCTGTGATAACATTATTAATACAGGTGGTATTTGAGAGAAGTTAGAAAAAATCATGTGGGATTTTATTCGCTCGACGGACCCATAAAATGTTTCTTAGACATGAGCGGTCAAAGGGTGATAGTTTCTTAATGTCTTCCACTCTAACTGGCCATATCTTGCAGTTATATAAGAAGATCGAGTTATAAAGAGTCAAGCTTTCGTTTTGATGGTGATTTCGCTATGGCACCATAAAGATTTCACCAAGTGGAAGAATGCTTTTCTAGCTATCCGAGTTGTAATTTCTTCTTTTGCCTGGCCATTTGGGATTAGAACAGAGTGGATCCAAGGTATTTAAAGTCGGGCACAACTGACAATGAATTGATAAAAACAGGTATTTTATTAGCATCTTCTATATAGGACGAAAACACATTTATATTGATTTTAAGTCCAGTGCTTGCTGCAGTTGTCGGCACATGCTACAGTAAAAACAAGTTTATTGAAAAACAAAAGCTGCAATTTTTATTTAATAATTTTTTTTTCTAAGAACACTCATTTCTGGTTAAAATGCTGCATTTCACATAGGGAACCTGAAACCTGAAAGTTCTAAATTTATATTCTCTGCATTTCTTTTCTTCAATATCTAAAAACAAATTTAATGAAAGGAAAAGGATAGAATTGTTCAGTACTCCTCGCAGGAATAAACCTGTCCAAAAATCCGAGTCACGCTGGCGACTGTCACCTGTACTTCTATCACCAATTGAGTGGGTTATCGGTCAAGCAAATTTAAAATTAAAAGGGTAAAAGGGCAAAAAAAAACGGCATTTTTCGGTTATATGGACAGCGACTAAGATTTATGTTCTTTTCTATGCTTTTTTCTTTTCCTCTTTTCTCTTCGCGATCCTGGTGTACTCTTATTCAGCGAGAACGAATGCTGCCCGAATAAAGTATTGGCTTAGTGAATACTTATGGTGAAATATTTATTTTTGTATATTTTTTGATGCGCCTCATACAGTACAATTAAAAAGTATACAGTTTATAATTTTGAGATTTAAAATTCGCCAATATAATACTGAAGGGACGAAAAGTTAAAAGGTCTGATCAGAAACGATCGAATGCTCGAGAAGCATGTTGTTTCCACTAAGTCCAACGACTGGATTCTATCCTGCCTCTGCTTTCATCTCCAAGTAATCTCTGAATATTATACTAACCACCAGCCAGACGAGGAATGGTGAGTGCTCAAGAAAATCAGAAATATCAGTAAATCTAAGAAAATGCTTTCATAAAATACTTTATAGCGAAAAGAAAATTTATTCATAATGAATCCGCCGCCGTGTGATAGTTATTCATCAGAAAAATCGTTTTTTACCATCATCGACTCATACTTATTGTGTGAATTTTTCAGAGATTCAAATATATTGACCAATATACCAAATGAAATGTAAAAAAAAATGACGGAAAAATTATTCGAGAAATGAGGTCAACCTGAAAATAATCCGAGATTATTGCCTAAGGAATAATGAGTGATATGTAAAAAAAATGTCATCATCAAATTATACGCTCTTATTGTCCGCTATCTTAAGAAGATGGAAGATAGAAAATAGAAGATAGTATCATTGGCTAACAAAAATTACCTGTGATGGCCTTATTCTTAGATAAAAAGGCAATTGAGCATGAGAGGATGAAGCTAATAGCAAAGGCATCATGCTGTGTTTGCTCACTCGTCTTTGATTAATAAGCGGCGTCGACTGATCGACTAACTATAAAAATATTTTTAAAAAATGAAATATTGAAAAACCGCTATCTCTAACATTTATACAAATATTACCTATATTACCTATATTAAAAGCACTCAACTGTCGGTCTATTAAACAATAATTCTTCGCCAGAGAGTCTCTTTGGGATAGAAGTAAAAATGGGTTCCTAGCATACGAATCTCACTTTTGGTGATAGGCTTACTCTCGTCAAGACATAGCAGTTGGACCTATGACGTCTTGAGCACAATCAAAACAACATATAACATATAGATTCCATGTAATTCAGATTTTTGTTTAAATAGTGTGAAAAAAACAGATAATCTCTAATCAAAGAACAGATAAACAGATATACCAAATCAAATCAAATCACACCTGGTACGAGAAATTACCATTCTTATTTTTCTTTCTTCTTCTTTGAGGTAAGTGATCATCAATATCACAATATTCACAACTTATATTATTAGCGACACAATTTCGATGACGCTTCATCAAATATCCGATAGCTGCATATTCCAACAATGATGCGAATACTAAAATTTTTTTTAAAAAAAAAAATTTGCCAAGGAGTCATTTAGCGATGTAGGTGGGCCATCATCCGACTGACAGGCTTATTGAAGGCCAGACCTATGCATCTCAATGATGAACTTTCTTTTTTTGTTTATCAGCCTTATTAGCAGCGAATTTTAGTTATTGGTCAGTGCACTAAGATTCTACTGCAGCGATTCGAGAATGACTCAAAGATCATAATTTTTTTAGCTTTTCGCATTTACAAATTAAATTATACCTATAAAAAAACAAACACCGAGGAAGATATCGAGGCTTTTCACATATGAAACCTGAAAATTCTAAATTTATGTTTGCTGCATTTCTTTTCTTCAATATCTTACTTAAAACAAATAAAGCAAAAAATAATTTTAGTGAAGAAAATCTTTGTTTTTTAACAAAGATTTCTACTTAGGCTAAGTCCGGTCTTAAATCTAGTTGCTTTTAAAAATTTTTGCTAAGCAGTCATTTGGCGATGTAGGTGGCCATCATCCAAATGGCAGGCTTGTTGAAGGCCCATGCCAGACCTTTGCCTGTCAATCTGCCTTTCTTCTTTGCCCATTATTGTCCACTTTAATTTATTCATTCCATTTCCGATCTCCTGAACAAAAATAGGTTGCAATCCTAGAAACATTGCGGCATATTATTCGTATTGCGCTGGTGTATCTCTATCTATAAGTATAATCTACTTGAAGGATCTCATTTAAAATAATCAGAAGAAATGCAAACCAAGTTAGATTAGAGCTGTTAAAAGAAAAAAGAAAAAAAGCGCATAATATTTATATGAAATGGTTTAATAAATTTTCTATAAACAGTAGAATGAAGTGATGAATATGCAATTATGAATTTAAAAAATTTTTTCACCTAAATCCTTAAACTCTTATCATTATCTGAGTCCGAAACCATTGAATAGTTCAGACTGTTGAGAGATGGAGAAGGCTCCCATGCCTGAAAGAGTAAACCCATCCCTAAAAAATTTGGGTGCTGGTAACCCATCAGTTTCAGATTCCATGGCAAAGATTTTCAGTCATGCTAATAGCCAACGAAGCCACCCTAGCCAAGAATGGTGAGAGCCAATCATTTCTTTATTAACTTATTACTCAATCCATTAATTAAAAATAGAATTCACTTTTTACCTTTGGTAATGAAGCATTTGTTGATGTCATCAAAGTCGTCATCGTTAAAACTGTCGTCACACCTGAATTCTATTCTCATTATCATTTAGATTTTGCATCTAGATTTTTTATTTCTAGGCTATTCTTATTAATCGACAAAAGGATAGATACAAGTTGGCAATTAATTTTTTAAAGTTCATGCATTTTAAATATCATTTTTTTTTAAACAATTGATTGCATTTCATTTGGTTATAATATAAATTTTATATTTGCTATATATCTTCTTCTTCTTCTTAAGAGTCCTCACCATTACTAGTTAAACTCGCTCCACTAGCTTATCGCATTGATTGCTTTAAATAGAACACCTGCCGAAATTGAGGATGATTTGGGTAGTATTAAATATGAAGGCAATCTTGGAGTTGAAAAGAGTATGAGGCGGCGTTTTTAATTAACAAAAAAATCATGCAGTAATAATATGCAAAAAAACAAAAAGAGACGAACAGATGGGCAAATTATGGAGAAAACATAGGTTTAAGCCTCAGGTTTGGATACATATTTGAGTGAAAAACATATTTGATTACCGAGTAAACCAAAATAAGAGTTACATTAGCATTAGGTTAAAATTGTGTTACAAATTAGTGAATAACTGGTATATCTTATTATTTGATAATTCGATTCGTAGTGATAAGAAAACTGATTGCTACTGACCGATTGCAACCCTAGCCTGGGTTGCATCTCTATTCAGCCAGAATGATACCCATGAAATGACGACTATTAACGATGATGGTAAATAAATTTGAATAAGATAAAAGCCTATGTTGCGTTTGAATGTGAAATATGTCGATAATCGAGAATAATTACCTGAAAATGGAATATCTTCAAAAAATCCAAAAAAATTAAAAATTTAAAATCATAGTGCTATCGAGCTTTAGATTCTGATCCTCGCAGGGGTAAAGTAAACTTGTTCAAGAATCTGGGATGCTGGCGTCTCATCTATAATTCTATCGCCGATAGATTCCTTCATATAGTTGTCCGGACCGACAATGGTGAGGGCTCTTTAAAAAAAAGAGCTTTAGATATTTAAACATTAAAATTTTAATTGATTTCATGATTAATTCTTAGTTAACTGATTCCAGTTCTTAGTTAATTAATTTTTATGGTTGCATCCTCCATACCATTAGCATTAGCGTAAATTTACCTTCAGATCCATATTATATTTTTATCATTCAACACCTTAATACTCATAGAAAGTACAATATTATGTCTATAAAAAAAGGATTCTGCTAAATTGTTCAAAAAAGAAACCTGTACTTAGTGATATTACTCGTTCAACATGAAAATGTTCACCGATGGAGAAATGAGCTAAATGAACTTTTTCATCAATTGTTACAGAATCAGTTCCTTGATGCCAGTGATAAATTATATCTCGATCACTATAGCCATAACTCTAAATTATTTTAGCATTTGTTGAAACTATAAGTAATTCTATTAATAAATAGAAAAAGTCTGAAGAAAAGTTAAAATTTACCTCGATTTCAAGCGCACAGATTTGAATGTCCAATGGGAACTGAAATATTTAATATTTAATATAAATATATTTAAATATTTATTATAATATTATAATAATGTTATTTATAATATTTACATTATTATTAAGGTACTGTTTATCATTTCGCCAGAGAGTCACCTGGCAGTACAAGTGGGTCACCAGTACCAGTAAGTGTAATAATAGCACAATCACATGCAAATATAATGTTAATTAAATGATGCTAATCCTCCTCATAGTATAAAACAAAGATCTTCGTTAATTTCTTTCCATTATTTTTTCGTTTATTTTTTCTGCTCGGATCGTCAGACTCCATTGAGCATGAAGATTCTTTTTCGAAGCACAGCTTTTATTCGATGAATGCTTTGAATTACTTTTTATTTTTTTATAATTATTAAGAAATACCTTATGCAAATTCATTGGGCAATTAGCTGTAACGGTTAGCCTGTAATCCAGTTTAAAGTTAAAAGAATAAGTTCTTTTAAATTCATAATATGTAAATGTAAGGTAAATAGTTAGTGCTCACGCTAGTCGCGTTAGTTTTTAGTAAGATTGGAAGATTTTCCTCAACGAGCGACTAGAACTAAAGGTTGGTTGCTAATTACTTTTGCCAAGGATAGAGGCTTAAACCTTGTCGCTCAACACAGTAATTTGAATCATTATCCACTCAGTTATTCTGGCCTTATATATTTGCATGCCACAGAGAAGAATGCGATTCATGTCTCATATTTCACGTTCTTAAATTTTTTTTTTAATATTGTCTTTAATATAATATTTTAATAATATTTTTAATATTCTCTCCATTAGAAAATTGGAAATTTTATCTATTTAAATTTTAATATAATCAGTTAAATTTCGGTGAATATTTAAATTTTTTGCCTTTGAAAAGCTTTAAAAATTTGTTTTAATTAAAATTAAATAAACAATTAAAAATAAACAATTAAAGACCTAAAATTAGTTTCAAAAAAAATCAATTTGAAAAATTTTTTAATTATTCTTTAAAAGTATTTAAACTTATAACATATCTTGACAAAAAATATTTCAAAACTTTGCACCTTAAATTTTTGAATTTTTTGAATTTTTAAATTTATTTACTTACTTAAATTTCCAATTGTGACATTTTCTCGATCATGATCTTAATACCTTATACTTAATATTATAATTAATATACCTTATACTTCTTAAGACATTTCCTTTTTTATCAATCCGCAAGAAGGAATTATGGGTAGTTGCTTCATGGAAGTACGATTTTTTCTCATTTGGGAAAAATGTATCTGGAGTCCAAATATTTTTAACCACATCAATCCCAATTGTCAATGAATTTTGATCATAGCTTACAAACGAAAGTCGAGGATCGCACCAAAATTGTCGTAAATACAAATCGATTGTATAGTCCTAAGGATATTAACCAATTTTAAAATTTTTAAATCTATTTTTACTCAAATTTAGCGACTTTGCGCTGATTTGTTGCTATAAAAACATATTACCTATAAAATGCTCCCGAAAATATATTTTTACTGGTTATTAGTTTCCGCGAGATATAAAATTAGTTAAATTAAAATGGGTGCTGGCTTTATGGGTGCTCTAAATTTATGCTTTAGAAATTAAATACTTTACCATGGACACTTCGGATATAGCACTAATTGTCGTTATATGAGCTGTAACATTCACTATTGTTGGAGGTCCTATAATTTAATCACACATATTAATCAGACATACAACTAATTATTCAAAGATTAATATCGGATCATCTTATTTTATATATATATATATATATAAAATATTTATATATTTTATATATATATATATATATATATGTATAATACACATTATCATTTTAGATATATATATATATGTATAATACACATTATCATTTTAGATATATATATATGTATAACAAACATACCATATGTATATATATCCAAAATGATAGTAATAATAACGTTATTCCAACCAACAAAAAGCAATTTATTAAGCAATTTTTAGTGAACGGTAGTAAATTTTTTTAGCTTTTTTTTCGCAACCACTTCTTTTTGCTTTCTTACGCACAGCAGAATCACTAAGAAACGCAAGATTTTTGCTAATTTTGCCACGCCAGTAGTAAGTACCAATTTATATTTTGGAAAACTAATAACTCCGAATAATAATTTGATTCTGAATATAGCTGTGGAATTTTTTCTAGGAGAAAATCATACAAAAAATTATTTTTCATTCTTTGTTTCCTGGAAGAAATTGATTGAAATAATTTATTTTTTTGCAAATTTTATTTAAAAATATGATGAATAATTTATATAAATAAAATGGGATGGTTAAGAATAAGAGAAAAAAAAACAATGAACAGCAGCAATTTGCGCTTTTGCATCTAAAAGTATTTTTGAATTCCGAAGTATCTGAGAACGCGGTAGAAATTCGTTGTTTGCATGGGAAAATCTTAAGAATCAGCAATCGAAAAGACCTTTAAGGCCAGTCACGACCACTATTTGTATTATCAATACAAATGGTATTAATTTACCTCCATAATTTGGTCGTATTCTTCTATCATGACTTGCAATTAACTGATTCAACAAAAATGTTACGTTATCTTCAAGGCGATGCTGTATCATAGGAGTCATCTCAGGCCTTATAATAATAAAGTTCATTAGGTTCAAGATCCAAGCAAATTTTAAATAAAAACTTTAAAAAACGTTAAACTTTTTAATTATTAAACTCTGAATCAGATATTTTAAAAAAATTTCTATAAATAATTTTTATAGAATTCTATAAATAATGGATTAATGGATATGGATAATGGGTTTTAAGTTTGAAATGGTATTGTCTATGTTATTGCGAGAATTTTCACAATTTGCATTCTTTATTAATGATTTTTAGCTATACGATCATCTGAATTTAAGTTTATAGCTATTATTTCTTCCAGCGATTAATATTATTTTAGAATTATCAGCCGAAAATGGGGAAAAAGCAAGTAAGTAAGTAAGCAATTAGATCACCATTTCTATTCAGGCTAGCTCCACTTGTTAGCATGGTTAAAAATTTTGTCAAATACAGGTGATTCGCCATCAAGTGAGTTTAAGCAATATTTCAATATTTCAGGAACAAATTATAAAACACTTCAAAAGTAATTTCTGAATTTTTTGTCAAATCTTCCATTCTCTGCCATCTGCTACCAAATTGAACTGGATTTAATCCTGGACGCGGTTGCAGTCCAGATATTCACGTTAAGAAAAATGGAACATTTCAAATATTAGCAACCCATCTTCACGTGTTTTATCTACTTTGCAGCTGCCTTCAATTCAATTGATAGAAGGGCGTTGTAGAAGATGATGGAACTTGACTGACGGTGTTTCAGAAAAGATTATTCGACTGATAAAGGCATTTTATTATCGTACATCAGTACAGGTTTGTATAATTTTTTCAAAATAAGAACTGGTGCCCTTCAAGGCTGTGTTCTTTCCTCTTCACTATTTAACTATGCGACTATGTGACAGATTGGATAATGGACATTGGTTGTCGGAACTCAAGAGATGTGCAGATCACTCCAGAGCATCATAGTATCACAGATTTTGAATACGCTGATGACCTAGAGTCCTTTTTATGACGAAATGCAAATAATGCTAAATAATGAGACAACTGCAGTGAGAATCGGACTCAGGATGAATGAAAATAAAGCCAAAAACTCTGATAAAATACCATCAATTTGTTGCCGGTTGGGGAAGTGCGTAATAATTTTAAATATCTTTGATCCACTATAATTCCAAATGTTCCAGCAAAATACGAAATTATATCCCGATAATGGTAGAAATGCGTTCTTCCCATCGGCGAAATCTTTAAGGAGCCGCCGCGAAACCTTCATAAAGACGAAAGTTCGTATCCATATAAGTGAAATTCGCTCGATCTTGCTATATGGCTGCGAAACATGGCTTACGAGAGTGGAAGATATTAAGAAGTTATCTACCTTGTCTTACCTTGCAGCCATCGTAGCCAGCCTAACCAGTAATATTAGAAGATGATGAAGTTTGCGTTAGTAACATCTTCATAGAGCTGTTAGCTATATTTTTCGCCATCCTTCGTAGAAATTGACACATAACTCACTATTTGCAGCTCTGCCATGATTTCTTCGAAAGCGGGAATAAGAAATTAAAACCTGAACTGTTGCGCCATGTTACTAGTAATTGAAAAAATTTTGAACTCTTAAACAGCCAAGCGATATATATTTAGAGGTGGAAAAGGAGTGGCTTCTATTTTTTTTAGACAAGTAATCGGGCCGAAAGGTTTAGAAACTCTTGTAACTAGTCTAATTAAGTAGGTAGTATTAAAAAAATAAACTAAATTTAAAAAATAGCGATTAGAAGAAGCCTTTAATGAACTATTTTACCTTGGTTGACCAGTTTGAACTGGAGATTGATATCTCATCCTGGAATCGATTTTTGATGCAGCCTGAAACCATTTTTAAGAAATGTAAAAAAATTATTCGCAATTGAATGTTGTCTTTGATCCAGCATTTTCCTTTAAATCTTTAAAAGCAATACCCAATAGTTCCTTTAACTTTTTTGATGAAGATTTAGACTAATTTTTCCTTGAAATCTTATGCTTTTGTCATTAGAATCAGCGTTTTCAAAAATTTTTTATTCAGCGAATACTGCAAAAAAGACGAAGCTCAAATTTCAAATCCAAATATTGAAATATTTATAATATTAATAGAGTTAATACATAAAAATTTGAATCTAGATTATTCCAGATAAATCTAAATCTAGATTAAAATTTAGATTGCGCTGATAATTTCTTCGTCTAGAAAAACACGGATAGTCAGAATTGGCGAGTAAAATTCAACTGAATAATAATTATTCACTGATGATAGAAATTGCTTAAGTGCATGAAATGTAATAGTAGTGCTTATTTTATTATTTTAAATGCTTGACAGCATTCATTTGCCATATTTGGTTCGACTGGCTCCATTGATAACTAGGATGAGATCACCGTAAAACAAAATGATTTAAAACCGACCATTACTCCTAACAGCATTCCATTTTTAATATGAGATTTACGTGCAATCTCTATGAAATCGTCCACCATTAGCGCTGATTTACTCACTATTGCATAACACTTTAATCATTTATTCTCCAGTTTTGTTCAAAACCTCAAAACCAGTAAAATCTTTTCTCAGTTATTAAAAAGAAAATTTTAAGCGATCGTTAAAAAATTTAAAATTCTAGTGAAACTTATGAAAGTACCAACTAATTACGCTGTACAGTTTATTCTAAGAAATAGATTTTTCCAAGATTTTACTCGTTAAAAAACTTCTTATTGGCTTATGGAAATAAAATCTCATTTTATTATTTCAAAGGTTCTAATTTATTCAAAAATTTTTCTTAAATATATAAATAGGCGTCGATGAGGACAATTTTACTTCTTATGAGAGCTCTTTTTTTAATAATTCTTGCGTTAGTCGTCACTTTAAAGTTAAGTGGGTTGGCCAGCTTCACTGATACTATTTGCATTATTGCATGTGTAGCATTAGGAATTTTTTCCAGTTACCACTTAACGACGAAAGTATAGGCACAATAGGTTTATTCCTATTAACACGATAATTTAATCGCTATTATACCTTATTGCCTTCCTTCCGAAAATCAGCATTCGATTGCATTTCTGCAGAATTATCACATTACCTTCATTTTTAAAAAGGAACTGGTCTATATGAATAGACAATATGCGTAAAAATTCTGCATTCGGCTGAAAACAACTTTTTCTTGGTGCATTTATTCTAAAAAAGCATTTCATTAAAGCTTTCATGTAGCTGATTCGTAAGCATATTTAATACAGCAGTTAATTCAAAATAATTAAAACTTCTTTTATTTGCTGATTAAATCGCAAGAATTTGAGAAAAATAATGATATTATTTTCAGTAACCTTTTTAATGTTTCTAATTTCCAATTACGTTGGCATAAAATTTATTTTACTTTATTACTTATCGCAGATATGAGCAAACTTGCCGAGTGATATGTTGTTTAAGATCTGCCGATCGAGCCCCATAGGCTCATTCCGATTCTCTAATATTAATAAAGGTGTCATCGAAAAATTCCGATGATGTTGATGGCTATACTTCTATTCTGGTTAAATTTTAAATTTGAAAGAAGAATGAGTTATTTACCTTCATTAATTTAGTAATTCCTTTTGAAAAAATTCCAATTTATACGACCTGTTATATTGAATTTCCCTTATATAGAATGGCAAAATTTTTAAGAAAATAAAACTAATTAAGAAATTTGTATTCCAATTTCGATTTATTATTACTAACTGGCACAACTGAAACAGTTTAATTGCATTAAAGTGTGAAGTATTTTTCTTATAGCAAATTTGCTTAACATAAATCAGAAGAACTCTGATGCGAATATAAGCGATTATAAGCGTACTCATTTATCATTATTTAAGGATTATTTCGGTTTTCAATACCAGATTGGTCAGATTGGTCCTAAAACTGCTACACGATTTTGTGGTTATTCCTAATAGTCAAAGGGACTTATTAAATAGAAAATAGTGAATGAGATTAAAAGAAGAAGAATCCTTAAGAATCCTTAATTGAGCCACTGTTAAATGGAATTTTTGAAACAGAAACCACTTATTTCAATAATGAGACCAATCGTATTAATTGCTTTTGAAATATTCGTTCTTATTTTTGATACAATATGAACAATTAGCTGTTTTACTATTTGTAAATTTTTTTGCAAAATTGAAAAAATTTCATTGTGAAAGTAAAAAATTTACAGGTAAGTCTTTAGCATCGCACAGATTTTTAATAGTTTCTTTACTTTTACGATAATCTAATACACCATTCGTCATTCTCATTTCATTCAAAATAATAGTACAGAGGGAGTAAAAGACGTCGTCTTTATGATAAAAATTTGAGATTTCAAGCTACTAAAATTGCATAAAAATTGATGAAAACCAATGGAAAAAGGAAGCTTCCCAAATTCATCGATATATATTCATTTGTTAAATTATTTCCAGCGAAAAGATAAAGAAGTTTCACGAATAATTATTAAAAAATTCAGTAACTTAAAGCCTCTTGAAATGCTGAAAACCAAAAAGAATTCTTTTCATCTTTACAGAGGCGAATATCTCTTTCACGAAGGAATTATTCAAAGTATTCCAATGAAAAATTCATTGGCAAATATCAAAGAAAATTATTCGAAATATTTACTCGCATTTATTAAATAATCGAAGGTACTTTCATCATACTATTACAAATAATTTTACAAATTTATATTTTGTAGATGAATTTTTATCCATTGTTTTGTGGTGAACAAAGGTTAGCAAAGTAGACTCCTTTAGTTTCATAAGCGCACACTTATTACTCATGGAAGTTGCGGTAGTTCGAGTAGATCATTGCAAATTTCTTTTACTATAGAATCTGTGTGTCTTTAAAATATCATATCAAACAATAATATTTGATTATTTCTTCCATTATTTTTTTTATTTAATGATGTTTGAAATAGCGATATTTTTTAATTAATTGCTTTGAAAATAATTCCATAAATTTTCAACATTTCATAACATTCGAGTGAATTTTACTATATCTTTAAAGTTTTATTTAATAAAATGAATTTATTCCAATTTT